TCTGTAGGCTGTCTGGGGACGCAGGGACACCGAGCGTGCTGCCTGTCCCCACCGCCCGTCTGCCTGCACACATGCAAATGTGTGGCAAGTCGCTTTGTTGAGTGACGGTGGAGATTCGGGGGGGGTTGTTGCTTGGATTAGTGAGGGACCGGCACTGTCGCGGCAAGGAGGAGGGTGAGGAGCATAAAGGTCCTGGCACTCGCCGGGCTTGCAACAAAACAAAGCACCAGATGGTTTCAACTTCGGCATAATACATGGTGAAAAAGTGTTTGAACTGGGGCTGAAAAAGCAAATGTGGAAAGAGAGAGAGAAACAAAAGAAAGGAAAACTCTGCCCAAGTGTCAGAGCAGAAGAAAGAGTTGGAGAAAAATGGCAAATGTTGAAGACCAAAACAAAAAGCCCTCTCCCAGTGCGAAGCTCATGGCAGGCAACATCTGCCCAGCAAAGTCTCTCGCCAAGGCCCCCTTCCCTGTAAAATCACCTTTTTCCTTGCCTCCATCACTGTTGTGACATGGCCCCATCCCTGAACAGAGTGTTGGGGGACGTGTTTGGTGCTGCCATGTCCCATGGCCATGGCATTGGCATGGGGGCAGCTGGCAGTGATATGCAGACACTGGGGCAGCAGTTACCCCTGCTGCTGTAGCAGGCTAATGTTTTATCATGGTTTTTAGCTCACATATGGTGTCCCCATAGCCGGTAGGGCTGTGTGGTAAACCAGCTCACATCTCCATTGCAGGGCCTCATGGAGTTTTTAGTTTGGTTTCCTATCGAAGGCTTATGCAACCTGCAATGTGTGCATGCATATGGCTGCGAGGCTTTTGTGTTCCCCTTGCTCCTCCCCCATAAACATCTTGAACCTGCAGACCAATTTCAGAGATGCCTTAGAAAACGGAAGAAGGCTTCAAAGTTACTACATCCCCTGGCATTTTTGCAAAATGAGCAAAATAAGCTCATGCAATTGTGTGAGAACAGATTGCAGTGTTAGTGTGTGTGTGTGCATGTGTGTGCACATGCATGTGTGTGTAACCCCTTATTAGCCATCAGAGAACCCACAAGCCACAATCCTCCAGGACCTTTGGCTTCCTGCCACTCAGCCTGTGCTGCTGGCGCTGAGCTGGAGTGTGAGCGGCTGGTCACTCCAAACTCTGATGGTTTAAATAAGGGTTTGAATTTTGAGGTGCCCATGGGAGGTGCGTCAGTGCCCTGGACCCTCACCCCTTTGGAATGGTTTATGGGGCAGAGGGTGTTCCCTTTCCCCAAAGCGAGTGGAGGACACAGGTGGATTTCTGTGCTGAGACTCCATGGGTGCTGGAGTGAGTGACAGGGCTGGGTGCCATGAGGTGCAGCATGGTGACACAAGGACACCCATGGGGGATGCCAACTCTGCAGGCCCTGGGATGGCAGGGATCCAAGGTGCCATGTCCCCCAGGCAGGGGACAGTGGGGTGACATCATGCCGTGACCTTCAGACATGGGGCAGTCCAGATGTGCCATTGTTTGAGTTTTGTTTTAATGTAATGAAGGGCTGCAGGGCCATGTCCCGAGGGGTGCAGAACAGTGGGGAGCCGGGATGATGCCCCTGGGGTGCGGGATGGTCACAACTAACGTGATGCCACCCAGGGGGAAAGGACAGCGAGGCCCACGGCGGTGCGAGACACAGGGCGGACCCCACGCAGCCGTTCGCAGCGGCGCGGGGCGCTGCCGGTGCCGGGCACGGGGCGGGACCGAGCGGCGCTTGCGGAACCCCGCTGCACAAAGGCCGCCGGTCGCTCCCGCCCCAGGGCCGCCCCGCACCCCCGGAACCGCCCCTTCTCCGCGACCCAATAAACGCCGCTGCATTTGAACGCGGCCCCGCCTCTTTTCCATTCCGTTCGATTCCGCTCTCTTCGGAACGGTCCGCCGCGCCGGCAGCTGCGCCGAGTGAGCCCGGGAGGGGAACGGGGCCGCGCCGTCGGGGGTGGGGACATACCGGAGCACCGCGGTACAGGGGCCACCGGGCTCCGGAGCTGGGGGAGGGGGGGGATGTGAGGCTCTGACCGCCGCCGGTCCCTCCTCCGCGGGCGGTGCTGGGGCGCAGCCCGCCCCTTCCAACCGTGTGTGCGGGGCGCCGGCCCGGGGCGGCGGGATCGGGGAGACCCAGTCAGGTGGGTGCGAGGGGAGAGTTGAGGGGTGATGGGGAAGTGAGGGGGGTCCCGTAGTCAGAGGGTGCGATGTGGTGATGGGTTTTGAGGAGTGAGGGAGCCACGGCAAAATCATCTCGGCACCGGTGGCAGAACCCTATCTCGCGGAGCACCTGTGTCCCCGGACAGCTGACTTTGATGGCCACCCTTGAAGAGCTGAGTGTGCTGTCAAATGATTTACTGGTATTTGGGTGCTCTGAACGGCCCAGAATGCTGGGAATGGGAGCCGGTTCTGGCCCAGTTCTCTCCGGGTTTGAGAAGCAGCAGGCTGAGGCTTGAGGAATTTGTAACAGCAGTTGTTTTGTCGTAGGCGAAGTCCCCGCTGTCACCAAGGCGGCAGACAGCATCTGCTGTCTGGCCGCAAACCGTGGGCCCCATCACCTCTGGCGCATCCGGGTAAGGATGAGGTTGAGGCTATGCAACCCAAACGCTCAGCTTGGGGGGGTCAGCCCCCAAAGCAGGGTGCACCCGGGGTTTGCCGCACAAGCGGGTGTCAGTTTGGGTATGTGTGTGTTTATCCTGCCCGTCTTTCCCATCTGCTCACCAAAGCAGGGATATGGCAAAGACCCGGTCCCTGCAATATGATGGGCGCACAGCGTTACCGCCGTGATTCAGCATGGACCGGGTTTATCGGAGCCAGCACGGGGCTGCGCTCCACAGGAATTACTGTATCCCTGACTTCCTGGTGTGCGAGGTACCACTGGTTAAATTGACAGCTCGCTTTGTTTACTTCCGAAATTAGCAGCTTTGTGCTTCTACCTTGGGCTTTATGGAGCGCAGGCTCTCCCCCAGTTACTGCCGGCAACTCCAGCCGGGTTTGAAAACCAAACCAGATGGGCGCATTGTTTTTCTTTATGGAGGGGAAGGCTGCTGATTGAAAGGCCCTATTACAATGCACATACCAGGGTGGTGTGAATATTCAAAACGTTGCCTTCTTTTGAAACTCTTTACATAAATCGATAGTGCTTTATATGCTATCACTGCTTTGCTAATCTGGATTGGAGCTTGGTTAACAGAATCTCCTTTCTCTGCCAACTTTGGAGGGTTTGCGTGTGTTTTGGGAGCACGGTGAGAGGTGGCATTGAGGTGCAAAGCAGCCAGTGCCACAAAATTATGGCTATGCTCAATGGGGAGGAGGAACCGCCAGCTGTAAAGTTTGACTTCATTGGTGACCCTTGAAGGGTCGGGTGTGCTGTCAAGTGATTTACTGATACTTGGGCGCTTCATTGCCCTTTTGGGTTTTGTTTTTCCCTGTCTCCTTGGTTTCTTGGTGTGACCCTTTGTGGATGGGTGCTGCAGGGTGGGCTCAGCTCAGAAATCACCTTGACACAAGCAGTGGTGTGGGGAGGTTGGGTGTGTACTGAGTGAATTGCTGCAGCTGCCACAGATGAGATTGCTCATTAGGGGAAAGAGATAATGAGTTAGATGAGACAACCTTAGCTCTGAGTTTCCACTGGGGCTTAAGGGTCTGGTTTTGGTGGCTGATGGACATCTTGTCGTAAATCCTGCCATTAAAAATTGGAGTCCTGGTGGTTTTTTGCCAGTTGTGTTCACATCGTCCTAGTTGGTACAAGTGCAGGGAGACAGGGAAGTTGCTTTTAACCTGCTCACGCCTGGCCTTGCTCTTCAGCATGGGATGGATGCCACCAAATGGTTACATCTCGGGGAGTGGGTGTTCATGTTTTGGAGGTGGCCACATGATGCTGCTCTGTTGGGCACTTACCTGCATCTAATTGCCAGGCCTTGAGTTGAGGCAATCAAGTAAGTAGGGGCAAAGTAGCATTTTCCATGCTGTCTCTTGAAGGAGATTACTTGCTCCAGGCTGCTGCCTTCTGTGGAGGGCTGGCTGGGATGGAGGCAGGGTAGCCCATAGCCCTGGAGAGGGGCAGTTGGTGATGGCAGCCCATGAGGGCATTTGGGCAGAGCATCCCTAAAATCCCCAGCTGTGCCATTGAGCAGATGCATGAATACTGTTTGCATTAATACTGGTTTGCACCAAAAAAAAAAAAGGCATTGTGCTAATTGTGGTGTTTTTACTTGATGGTGCCATTGAGTGACCAGGTAATCTGTGTCTTCATTGCTCAGAGGCTGAAGCTTCGAGCTTGGTATTGATTCCAGGAATTTAATATGCCAAGTGGTAATTCCTGCTTATGCCTGTACTGAGTTAAATTTAGCTGCAAATTCAGTTGTATCGGGCCCCCACATTGTGTGCTGTGAAGGTTATCTGGCTCTCAGGAGGGGGTGGATCTAAAGGAAGGGAGGAAAGAAATGCTGGTGAAAACTTTGTCTCATGATCCCTGAGCGCTATGCTTCTAGGGACTTGTAGGGAGAACAGGAATAAACAGTAATGTGGTTGTGACTCCTGCATCTTCCTGTGCTGTCTGCTCAAGCCAGTCATTTGGGGAGACTTAGCATGACACAGAAGGGCAGCTATAAATCTGAACAAAGTGATGCCCTATGTGGAGACGGGGGAGCCCCCACTCAGCTGCTGCCCACCCCTATTATCCTGCCGGGTGTGGGTTGCCCTCCTGCATCTCAGCTGCTGGCCCATCTGCAGTGGAGATGAAAGGCTGGGGTTTAATTCGGGCTTTGTGTGCCTCTTGTGCTCCTCCTCCCCCCAGCCCCCTTAGCCCTTTCTCCATTGCCAGTCTCCCATCCCCTACCCTGCAGGGCAGCTCCAGTGCGCGGGTGCAGAGCGTGGCTGTGCGCTGGGGCTCTGATGCCACTGACCTCATTATTTTGACTGCTGGGTGATGCCAGGCAGCCTGTGAGATCATCAGGTAGGAGGGTTGGGCTTTTCTTTCATCCCCCCCCCTCAAAGTGCTGCTGAATAATTCAGCTGGGAGTAGGCATCTTGGGTCACCTTGTGCAGCCGGCTGCCTGCTGGAGCCGGCTTCCTAAGATGGAGGTTGTGCAGGATGCGTGCAGGATCGCCTGGCTGCCAGCAGCTTGCCATTGTTGACTGACTGCAGGTAGGCGAGGAGCGTTGTCATTCTTTATTTCTGATGCTTGTTATGTTGAAGGTGTGGAATCCCCTCTCCGGGCTGTGCGAGGATGGCTGGGTCTCACTGAGCTTGTGCGGGGCTCTGACCATCCCTCTCCGTGGGGATATGTGAGGCTGGCGGGGCCAAAAACCTCACCGGGGCTGTAGCGCAGGTCTGCCCCAGGCAGGGGCCATGCACCTGATGCTCTTCTCTTTTGGGGATTGTATTTTTCTTTTATGGGGTCCCAGGGTCCTTCAGCCCATCTGGACTCATCTAGGATAGGTTTTGGGGGCTGCTTGATGGTATGGCTCTGAGATAGGGTGATCCCAATGTTCCAGCAGCATGGGTGCTTGGGGACATGTTGGGAGGTGGCATTTAGGCTCTTTGTGCTGTCTGACTGGGGGAACTGGTTCTGGTGGTGTGATAATAGGGTCAGGTACTGGAGAGAGAGGTCTCTGGTGGGCAGGAGGTGGCTGACCCTGAAGTAACTCAAAAATGCCTGGGAAGCTCCATGGGTCAGTTTCACCTTTGCTGCAGGCTCAGCTGTGATCTCTGGATTGGGCAGGGCTCTCCTGATGCTGGTACCCAGCAACACTATGGAGCCCCATGTGTGCTGAGCCACGGGTGTGGGTGGGAAATGGGGTTGCTGGCTTGAGAGCACAGAGTAGTCTGTTGCCTTCCTTCTGCTAGCAAATACTTGAGGTTTTGGGTGCTGACATCTCCTCTGTGCCCGGAGCTGAATGCAAATGCATTTGTATCTTTACCTCTTCCCACAGTGCTAAAGCAGCTCAAGCAGCATCTGGGGGGGGGGGCTGTAAACCAGGGGAACCCAAGGGTTGGGGCTCAGGTGGGGCAATGTGGGGTTGGGGGTGGGATTGTGTCCACTCTATTGAGATGTTCTGCGATGCTGCCATCCTTGCCCATGTTGGCAAGGGAGGAAGGACAGCCAGGCTGGGCTATTTCTGTCCTGTGAGCCCTGCATGCTGCTTGGCACCAGCCCTGCATCCCTCAGCAGGCACGGGAGTCTGGTGCTGCTCTGCACTGTCATCTACTCCTGTGGCCGGCAAAATCAAGGACACGGCTGCTGCAGTGCTGCCCTGGATGTTTCCCACTTACCCAGCCACATTGCACAGGCTTTTCTAATTGCCTCTCTGCCATGGGGTGCTTGTGTGAGCTGATGGGATGGCTCACGATGTTCTAGAAGATCAGTGTTCCTCGAGGCTGCAGTAGTGGACAGGGCGTAAAATCAGGCTGCACCTTGCAGTTGGGGCAGCTTCACTTGTTCCGGGATGTCTGTGGGCACTGTCAGTGACACAGGCAGCTGCAGGCACCCTGCAGTGCTAAGAGGGACAGTGGGAGGTGGCAGCTCCATGGCAGGGCTGGACATCGAGGGGCTTTGGATAGGGCTTCATCTTTGGGAAATCTGGATGGGGTGACCTGCAGCAGCATTGGCAAAACAAAGCTCATGCAGAGACTTGGCTGGCTCTTGCGTAATGGTCTGAGGCTGGCTGAGCATCTCTGGGTATCCAGTTGTATCCTTGGGGCACTGGGTCCCTGCAATGCCTATTGCCACTTGGCGCACCCTGTCGGTGATGGCTGCAGTGCCTGTGCATGTCTGCTGCGGTGGCTGTGCATGCCAGAGCCGTGTCATGGCACTGGGTGCTGCTGCTGCTGCATTAAACCAGTGGGGAGCCAGGCTGGGTAATGGGATGCCAGCTGAATCCTTCATTTCAGACAGGAAATCTCCCTCCTTGTTCCCTGCCAGAACAGTTCCTGGGGCTGTGATGCTCTGGTTAGCAATGGGATGAGAGAGATGAGAAATTGTTGGCTTGGAGGGGAGGGTGAAGCTCTTGGGCAAGTGGTAAGGAAACCACCTTGGCTTTGCTTGCTGGTGCAGGAGACCAGGTATGCTTCAGCTACCTCAGTGCTGGGCTCAGCTCTGCTCTGGGGCTGGGTTTGCTGCCATCCTAGCAGTGTCCCCTGTCAAACAGCTCTGCTTTCAGACAGGGTTTGATGTGAAGTACCTGAAGGAGAGCAGTGCCATGGGACTGGGCAGTGATGCAGCGAGGGACACACTGGGGTTGTGGAGGAAAGAAGAGATGCTGCATGCTGGCATCAACAGGGCTGACAGTGTGTTGGTGCTCCTGAAGTCAGGCCAGCATCAAAATGAGCGTATTTGGCACAAGGATGTGTTTTGTGTTCATGGAGGGAGGTGCATATGGTGGCTGGCTCGCTTGAAGTGTTTGGGATGAGGGCAGAGGCAGTGGTTGGGGTGTCTTGCCCTTGCCGTTGCACACAGAGAGCCCCATGCTTTCCTCCCTGCCACTGGTGAGCTGTGGCTGCTGGAGTCATTGTTTATCTTCTCGCTAAGGTGGGCAAAGCATCACCTGTGACACCTGGGAACCAGAAGGGCTCAAGGGAGCAGTTTTCCCTTGCAGCTCCTCAGCTGCTCCAGCTGAGACACTAATGGAGACAGTGTGGGGTGGCTCCGCAGGCTTGTCCCTGTGGTCTCTGTGCTGTGCAACTCCTGCCTTCACCTGGTGGGATGGAAGAGATTGTAGCAGTGGTAGAGCACCAGGCTCACTCGCTGTGAGCAAACAGATTCTTGGGCTGCCCCTGTACCAGCCCTTGGGGATTTTAGACTGCTGTGGGCACCGTAGTTGATGTTAACTGGCCCCATCTCTCCCTGCAGGTGAGCGTGGCAGGCTATGGGATGGATGAAGCTGAGCAGGACCAGTATGAAGCTCGCCTCAAGGAGCTCTTTGACAGCTTTGACAGCACAGGCACAGGGTCCCTGGGGCAGGAGGAGCTCACTGACCTCTGCCATGTGCTGCACCTGGAGGAGGTAGCCCCGGCGCTGCAGCAGACCCTCCTCCAAGACAACCTCCTAGGCAGGGTAAGTCTGGGGTGATGGTGGGGGACAATGGGGGGCCTGGGAGCAAGGCAGTGGCAGACAGCTGCTCCTGTGTGCATGGGAGGGTGATGGAAAGAGGCTGAACGTCTGTAACCTGTGAATGTCTCTGTGAGAGGCTCTGGGGCTGCAGGACTGGCAGTGTCTGTTGGTCTGCTCAGCAGGGAGAGCGCAGGGCAGCTTCCGAGAGGGGGATCAGTGATAACAGGGAAGGAAACTACTCACTGATGTGTCTTCCCTGACTGGAGGTGGTCTCCACTCTCAGAAACAACCCCTGTATGTTTAGCCTTGCGTGCCGACGTTGTGCTGATGCATGGCGTGTTGTCCCAGTGTCCAAGGCTGAGTGCTGGGTCCCTGCTGCCCTCACGCTGGTGCTGGGCCCAGCACATGCTTGTTAACACTGCATGTGTGCCCCCAGCACTGGTTAGTGCTGCTTCTGGCCTAGGTCATCTCCCCAAACCAGCTCACCGGGTGCTTGCACAAACTGCGGGGCTGGGGAGGTACAGGCAGGGCTTGAGCCTGTGATTTACCTTGACTTAAGCTGTAGTTAAACTGGTGGAGCCACATGCAGTCATGCACATTTCTGGGAAGAAGAGGCTATTGTCCAACACTGGCAGTCGCTGGCTGAGCCACCTTTGTCTATGGTACCTGGTGCTGGGTTTTGGGGACCAATGGCTCCTTCTGCAGGGCTGCAGCGTCCCACCAGCCTGGGGAGGGGAGCTGTGGCCAGTGAGCACATCGTCCTTTCCAAAGTGACTTTTTCAGTTGTGGTTATACCTTTATAGAGTTAAATGCCAGGTTGTTGAGAGGAAGCTGCTTGCCCTTGGGGGGATCTCCATGTTCAGCATGGATGTCCTTGTGTTGGTGCATTATCTCTTTACTGGCACACTGTGCTCAGAGAGTGTTGGATGCTTCCCTCAAAATCACCCTGAAATCCCATCACTGCTTACTAATATCAGAAAATGCGGAGCAGGCAGCTGGGGCTCTCGATAGACATGAGCTAAGCAGCCGTCCTAGCTCCAGTTTCCTATCAAACTCCAGCTTTCACAAAACAACTCCTTTAGTGAGCAAAGCCTTCTCTTCCTTGCCTGCCCTTGAGCAGTAGCTCTTCTGCTGAGAGTGAGCAGTGCTGGAGAGTGGATGAACCCAGACAGGGGTTTCTAACCTTTGAAGTTGCAGTGTGGCACTTGCTCGTGCACTGGAGGCTTTCTGTGCTGCTTGGGCATCCTGAGCTTCCTCTGCTCAGATGCTGTTCTCTGGCTTTGCTGCTTTCAGGATAGTGGGCTAGAGGTGAAGGAAGAGCAGTAAGGCAAAGATATGGTTGTCATGCCCGATCAGGACTAAAACAACAGTGCCCATCCCTGTAGCCTGCTCAGAGTGGGAGGAAAGCAAAGTTAAATGCTGTAAATGCTCAGCCCAGTGGCACCACAAAGCTCCTGCTAAAACATCCATAGCGCTGGTTGTGCTTGCCCAGTCCCAGCCAGGAGCTCCATCCCTGTGACCTGTCCCATGGCACAAGACACCCTGAGGAGCATTTTTATTTCACTCCCCCGCTTTGTCTTGGGGGAATGGTTCTCGTTTACAACCTGTGGATTGAGTCATGTCAGAAGAATCCGTCTCCTGTGCTTCCTCCCATCTCTCTGGCATTTGTGCTCGTTAGCAGCAGCAATGGCCCATGTCTGAGTGTGAGCCTGATTTAATAGCTATCGAATCCTCTGGGTTTCCTAGGGAGCTCATCGGGAGAATAGCAGCAAACATGTTGCTCCCCGAGTGCAGGCTCCGTGCACCTGCCCTGCCAGCTCCTTGCCGCAGATGGTCCCTCTGTGTGCTGGGAGCAGCCTTTGTTTGCCTTCACTTCCAGAGCCTGGGTTTTATGGGAGGGCACTGGGAAGGGGGGCGGCGAGGGACGGTTTTGTCTGCTGAGGGGCAGCTCGGTGGGGCCACGTGCTTGCTTTTGTGCGGGGGGCTCTGCTCTGGGGATGAATGCTCCATGGTGGGGCTCTGCTCGGTTGGACCGAGAGCTGAGCCAGCATCCCAGCAAGGGGCTGGAGGAGCTGCATCCCCGGCACACTCGGTGCGATGCTGTGGGGATTAGTGGGTACGCGCTATTTCTGAGCTGCGGCGGGGGGTTGCAGAGCCTGCCCTGACTCGCAGCAGAGCCAAACCATCCCAGGACCGCTTTCCCCGTGCAATTGCATGTGGAGGTGATGCAGTCACAGCAGTTCCTAAGGTTCTTTGGGGATGCTGTTTCCTCTGGCCCCTCACACTTGACTGCAGGACCGAGAGGATATGCACAGGCCTGTCCTTCTCGGCTGGCCTCCGAGAGGTTTTGCCCATTAATTAGCTAATGCAGAGTGGTGTCCTGGGGACAGTGCTCGTGGGCTGCAGGATGACTGTGGTTATGTGATCTGCGAGGATGGGGCGAGTCGAGCACCTCCAGACCCTGCACAAGGACCGTCCTCAAGCAGGGACAGGGAGTTCAGGTTTCACCCTGCCCTGGTGCTGTTGCATTAACAAGCCTGCAGCAAGGACACTGTGGCATGGGGCTTTGCTTTGCTTGTAAGCTCCTTTTGATGCTTTGGCTGGTGACCTCTTGCAAATATACTCCCTCTGAGCCAGCTGTGGTGCTGCTCCCCTTACATGCAGCATCTTTTTGCATGCCAGGCAGGAGACTTGGTTGTGAGATTGCCCTGTTCCTGTGTCTTCCTCACCTGACGTTTCCCTCTGCAACTGTGCATTTGCTGCTGCTATAAGGGGTTTGCAAGCACGGACAGGGCTTTGGGAAAAGGACTTTGCTTGAAGATCAAGGAGAGGGAGCTTGAAGAAGACACCAGTGCTGGTTTGCCCTAGAGTCTGGGGTTGCAGACTGCTGCTTTGCATTCCAGGGACAAATAGTGAGAAGCAGCAGGTAGCTTGGCACATGCACACTCTCTTTTTAGTGCTAATAAATCACAGCTTCATAGGAAACTTGCTTTAAAGCTGGCGTCGAGATTTCTCAAAGATGCTGGGGTTGCTCAGTAGCTGGCAGCTTGGCTGGTCTCTCATGACTGTGGGGAAGCCAGCCTGAGCTCACTGTGCCTGTGTTGATGCATTAGTCCTCTTTGACTCTGATTTACTTGTTCTTGGGGAAAAGCCTCCTCTCTGGGGACTTCATATGCCTGCAGCACTGTGCAGAACCCTGGTCTCACTGTGGGGTTTGCCAGTATCCGTGTCCTGTCCCTGATCCATGACTCTGACTTGGCACAAACAAGTTCCATGTCATTGCCTCCCAAGCTCTGTTGTGTTCGGGCTGGGTTGGATCGGGCCTGCTGTTCAAGGTCCTTGTGAACAGATGCGCAAGTTGGAATCTTGTCCAAATCTAGTCCAGCATATTGAAAATACTATTAAAATTCAAACACTGCAACAGTGTTTTGCTGGTATGTGCTTTCTGTCCTGTGTTTGTCAAGTTTTTGGGTTGGTTTGAGTGTCTGAGGCTGTTTTCCATAAGTGGATGGTGCTTTGTGCAGCGCTGCTGCACTTAGTGCTCTCCTCCCCAGGGCTCTTACACCTGCCCTGTGCTGGGAATATTCTCTAAGCCAAACCCAAGGGTTGTTGCTGTAACTTGTGCCTTCCCGTGTGGGCTGTCACATCCCTGGATGTGCCCCTTGCCCTTGCAGGGTGCCCATACCCTCCCTGGCATGGGCTCTCCAGGCAGGAGTGTGACTCTCTGTGCCAGCACATGGGTGTGGAGGTGTGCTGGCATCAAGCATATGAGGGTTTCTTTAAAATAGGAGTCACTGTAGTTTTTGTGGCTTTGCTGTCAGGCACAGTGCCTTGCCTGGCTTGTACTTGAGCACACCTCTGATTTAAGCAGTTGTGTTTCCCTGAGCACTCTGCATACACACATGCAGCGTCTGACCTCAGTGGTGCACCACAGACACCTAACCTGGTCATCTGGTGTTGGGATAGGCCAGAAACTTTCCTAAAGGGAAATACCCCCTCTGCTAACTTGGGCTGTGTCTCCAGAGTTGGGCGCTGCTGCTCAGAAGATGCTGTGGGACCCTCTGAGCCTGTTCCAGTGCCTGCTCTTGGATCTCTCTGCTGCTGATTTGCACTTTAAATCCTGCTGTGTAGCTGACCAAGGCACTGGCATGGGCAGGGGGGACTGGAGGTTGGCCACCTCCTGCCCTGCAGCCTCATCTTCCACGGGCTTCTTTGGACACTGTGGGCATGGTAAAACCACCCCATGGCCTCGATGCTGGAGCCATCTGTCCTGCGTGCAGCTGTGGCAGTGAGGGCTCAGCCCCCCTCCTGCCTTCCTCCCCTTCTTTAGTGCTTCTTGGCAAACACGAGTTATGGGGCTTGTTAAGCAGAGCAGGTTGCATGTCAGTGGTGCTGTCTGCACCTGCATAGGTGGTTGTACTCATGCAGTGTGTTCGCATGAGTGATGCAAAGTGATTCCTTATTTTCTTCCTGCCATGAGGTCCCATTCAAACCCAGTGCCAGCACTCATCTGAGGACCAGCTGTGTCTATCCCTGTGATTGTTGTCCCTGTTCCTGAGGAGATCCCAGCGGAGGGGACCTGTTATTCGAACACCCTCATCTTTTATTCATGCTCATTTAGTCTAAATGTCAAGTTTTTTGAATTGGACAAATTCTCCTGTCTCTGTAAAATGTCCTTTTGAAGTACACCAGTGGTTGGAAGTGAATGGCAGCAATGAGTATTCACATGAAGGCATCCTCGACAAGTTTCTTTGCTGAATATATTTCTAGCTGTTTAATAACCTGGGGAGCGTGCATTTTGAGCCACAGGGATGATTTGCACCACATGCGCTGCAGTGTGAGGTGCTCCCTGCTTGGGGCCCATGGCTGAGCCCCCAGATCCACTGTCATCCCCTGTCTGCCCGGGAGCATAGCGTTCTTTTTTGGGGCTGGTTCCATCCTAAGAACAAGTTGGCAAACTTCAGACCTGACTTTGCTTCTAATGCTGCTCCCCCACAGCATTAGAATTCTCTCTGACTGCTCCTCACGCTGGATTTGCAGCAACAGCTTTGCCAGCAAGGGCAACCTTGGTGGGTTCTTTAAGTAAAGTCTCTTTTCCAGGGTAAAAATGCTCTCCAAGATTTATTTAGCCAAAAGGAATCACAGCAGCCAGCTTTGTCTCGCCACTGACCCATGGCAAATAGCTTCCCCAGCTGTCCCTGGGTTCCTGTCCCCTACGGCTGGAATTGCTGACATTCCCCAGCGCAGCTGTGGAGAATGCTGTAGCCCCTTTGCAACTGCTCATAGTGGTGAGGCAGGAGGCTTTCTAGGAAGGCACAGATGGGAAAGGGTGGGGGGGAAAGCCCCAGTGGTAGGATCATCCCTGCTCATGTTTCCCATAGCCGTGCTCCACACATGGTATTTCCATTCCAGCTGCTTTGGAGCCGCAGCAGGCTGGGGCTGCCCTGGAAAGGACACTGCCATCCATTCAAAAAAGCGGTTTCTAAAGCTTTATTAGGGGAGTGGAGCATTTCCACAGCTAAATAGCTCAACCCTGCTCAGGATTGGTATCTCACTGTAGGAGCCACTGGCCCTGGCCAGGTCATCCCAAGCAATAGAGATGCTCCCTGGTCCTTTGGATGTATCATTTCATTGTCCTGCTTGTAAGAAAAACCCAACCAATGCATTAAAGCAGTGGCTTTGAGTCATTCTATGGTAGCAATCATTTTTCCCACATGCTCAGAGATGCTGGTTGTGTCATTTCCCCAGCGCCTAAGTCTGAGGCGCAGTCTTGTCCCTTGCTGAGGTGATTAGCAGATTCAGGCATGCTCTTGTCTCAGTGTGGTGGGCTGAGTGTTTTGCATTGCTGCCTGTCTTCCTGATGGCTTATTAGCATGGTATTTAATTTTCTGCACCAGTTGATTTCTTCCTTTCTTTCTTTTTTCCCCACAGGTCCACTTTGATCAATTTAAAGAAGCACTTATCCTCATCTTATCCAGAACCCTGTCAAATGAAGAGCACTTCCAAGAACCAGGTAAATACTGAATTATCTAAACCAGTCCATTTTTCTTTGGCAAAGCAGATATAGGTGGCTGTTACAGAGGAGCTTAGAAAGTGCTTTCTAGGTGCTAAGGTAGGCTCTTCTGCTTGGATGCCCAGACCTGGGGAGAATGGAGAGTTAGGGTCTGTTGTGGAGCCTCCTACAAAAGCATTTTCTGAGCTATTAGATATTTATATCCCATTAGCACGATCTGAATGCCTGGAGAGGCACGTGATGTCTGTGTGCAGACCCCTAATGGCACTTCAGATGCTCAAGACATCTCAAGGCTGCTAAATGTGCTGGGGTCTCTCTATCCCATAACGCTGTCAGTGGCCAGGAGCTTTGGGTGCTCTCCAGCTGCAGCAGATAGTTCGGGGCAGGCAACCAAATGGCCACTTTATTGCTGTGGGTGCTTTTTTCCTAGCCAGGGCTGGCACATCCCCTTGCCCTCCACTCGAGTGCTTCAGCTCTGCGGTGATGTGATGTGGCACAGAAGCCCCAGCTCAGCAGAAGGCCTGAGCCAGTGGTAGCTGCTGTGCTCCTGCCGTGCCTCTGAGGGGCTGCTGGTGGGATCTGTCTTGGGGGACAGCAGTGCCTTGCTGGAAACTTGTGCTGGATTTAGGTGCTGCTCTTTGTTGTGAAGGTTGTAAGGGAAGCTCTCTACAAGATTTCCTCCTAGAGATGGGCTGCTCAATGCAGAAATACTCCCCCTGTCTAGCACTGATTTGCATTATTTTTCTTTAAAGTCCATACTGTTTTCTTGTGTCTGAGATGAGCAGGGTGACCTCAGACCTGTAGCAAGTTAACTCTGAGGTGACTTTCTCCCAGGGTTCTGAACAAGACAAGCCCTCTGACAAACCAAGCTGGGGCTGGTTGGAAAAACAGTGGCTGCTGCTCTTCCTTGCTGTCCTGCTTTTTATCTTGCTTTGTTTCAATGTGCCAGGAAATGGGGTCACAGGTTTGGTGTGCCCCCCTGTTTGTGCATGTGGGCTGGTGGTGCTGGAAGCACTGGGGAGCTGTGGGGTGAGGGCTGAGCCCCTGTGGCTCCATCTGGAACTGGGGGGGTGCGGTCTGCCTGCTGTCACACCTGTATGTAAATCCCTAATCCTGCCTTTGGAGCAGCAGGGCTGTGAAATCCCCAGAGGAAAAGACAGTTTAGCAAAGACCGAGAGGGGAAACTCCAGGTTTTCTCTCCTGGAGCATCAATCTCAGCTGGAGCATCCTCCACTGGAGAGCTCAGCCTCTCAGCAAAATTACAGCTCTTCCCATGAAACAGGCTGCAAAAACCGCAGGGCCCAAGATATGCAATTGATGGATTGCTTTTATTTTCCACCCCTCATTTCCAAAGCTCTTAATGCTTAGAGGGATGTGGGCGATGACAGCACTTGCACCCGGCATCCCTTAATGCAATTTCCCAGCACAGGTCAGTAGGGGCTCAGGAGGCGCCTGGCAAGAGGTCAGGTCTGCTGTGATCCCTTACAGCCCCTCAGAGGAGCTGGCACAGAGGAGGAGGCAGCCCCAGCACCCCAGTGAACCAGAACTAATCCAGCGCTCTGCATTTATTGGGGAATCATGTGGCTGAGAAGCTCCAGCTTGATTTAAATATAAATAAATCTTCTAGAAAGGGCTAAATTTGGGGTTATTGCAGGGGAAACTACAATTGCAGCTGGCAAGAGGCTGTGTTGGAGCTGGAGAGCCCTCCTTGGGGACACGTTTGTCAGCTGGGTCTTGCAAGGCAGGTAATCAAAGGGCATGCAGTGCAGGTAGGGAGCCTGCACCAGGCAGGCCTGGGAGGCATTCATTTTTAATGCGTTTTGACAGGTCGGTTAACGCCAAAGTCTTTGCTGCTTTTAATTTAGATCAAACTTGAGATTTGGAGAACAAGCTGCTTTGTGCTGTTGGTGTCAAACTGTCAGAGGCTGCGGAAGTGCTGGGGTTCCAGCCCGCCCCGGGCTGGGCAAAAATTGAGTTAAGACCTTCAAATCATATCATTTAAATGAAAATTTAATTGGGGGGGGAAGGGGGCAAGGCACGCAGATCTCAAAGCTGTTTGCTGCATCTGCAGCTTGCTCTGCAGGGAAGTGGCTCTGTACCTTGATGGCGTTTTACCCAGGGACTTGGGTCTCAAAAGGCCCCCTGGGGACAGTTGGAGGGCTTGTGTCTTTGATCTCCAAACCAGCAGTTCCCAAACAGCCTGTGGACAGGGGCACGGGGACTGGGCAGGGGAAAGCATCCTTGTCCCCGTGGGTGCAGTACAAGCTTGCTCAGGGAGGGTGGCTTGGCACAAGGAACTTCTGGATGCTGGGGCAGCCCCCGGGGTCGCAGTGGGTCCCGCAGGCTGGGGACACGGAACCAAAATTGCCATGGGATGCAAAAGCAGTTCCTGCAGAAGTGACTGATGGAGCTTTCCTTGGTTTTTTTTGGGGGGAGAAGCAGCCAGGCTTGCAAAGAGCAGCTGATGTATTTGTTTTGGGGTGGTTTTATTCTTGACAGAGAAGCTAAACTCCCTTTCTGAAGGGTTGGCTGCCAGGAGGATGGTCCTGATGTGCTGCAGGCACTTTGCCTGGAAAGCAGCCCTGAAAACCAAGGCAGGCAGAATTCCCAGCGCTGCTGTCATCAGTTCCATCCCTTCGAGGATGTGGGGTCAGACCCAGCTGTGTGGGTGTGAGGTGTGGGGACAGACCCAGCTGCAAAGATGGGCATCAGCCAGTGAGGCAAACCCCAGCTCTGCTGGGAAGTGGAATGGCTGGGCAGAGGGATGGGGGAAACGCTGGGAAAAGCAGAAAAAGGCCTGAATGTTCTAAAAATAGTGCTTGTTTTAGTGTTTGTTTTAGTGAGTGCCAGGGAGACCCATCACCCCCAGCAGCACCTTGTGCAGAGGTAGCCGGGATTGCTGGGTTAGATGTTCTGGAGAGATGCTACTGCAGGGCTGGGGCTGAGCCTGCTCCTGCTGGGAGCCCTGGGCTGAGGGCTGCTGCTGCCAGTGCTCTGTGTCCATGGGCCGCTGTAGCAGTGAGAGAGGCCTGGGGACAATAAAATAGATTTAAGGGTTTGAGAAGAAAAAAAAATCAGTTTTGTGGGTGATGGGGAGGGAAATCAGGCAACTAAAGTCAGCTCTGTGTGTTTGGAAGCCTGGATAGGAAGGGATTACCAGGGTGGAGCACAGGATTACAGGAACACCCAGGACAAATTAAAGAGCAGCTTGACATCATCCTTGCTGCGGTCGTGAGGGGCTTTTGGGTTGTTGTCTTCCCAGCACATGGAGACAACAGAACTGCCCTCCAGAAGAGTATCTGATGGAGATGATGCTCTTGCAGGATTCCTGTCCATGGGCAAAAAAGGTTGCTCACATGGCTGCAGAGGTCTGGCTCCTGCTCCACAAGCAGACCAGGTATAAAACCAGTGTCACTGTCCAGACAGGGTGACCTAGACACAGGTAATGCCTTTGGGCCAAAATGCATTGCTGTGGGGCTGTGGTGCCCAGCCATTGCTCTTGTCCACCTCAGTTGCAGAGCCCGGAGTGTGAAACAGGCTGTGAAAGGAGTTCAGATGGTACCTGGTGTCTTGGAGGATTATGATTTAGCAGATCCCAGCTGTGATGCGCTTTGTCCACTGAAGGCTGGCTGCTGCTGTGAGGAGGATCCCTCCCTTCCAGATCTTAAGCAGTAAAGAAATTCATCTCTAAACGGGCTTGCAGGATGAGGGTCTTCCTCCCTAAACCTCCTTTTGTCTGCATTTGGTGCCTTTGATGCTGGGCCCAGGAAAACGCTATTTGGCATCAAGGAGAGCCCCCCCTCCTCCGCAGGCATCTGAGGGCAGAGTAGGATTTTGAAAATACTCATCTAGCAGAGAAAGGCAGAAAATGGAGTGTAAATCTCCAAGCATGGAGCATTTCACTGTCAAGGTGGGTGGGGGGAGCAAGCCAGGGAATTGATGGCTTTTGTCTGCAGCGCTTAAATCAGGGGAGTTCTTGTGAAATGCTTTGGGTTTGTATTGTTTTTCAGGAGACGTTTGGGGGCCACAAACCCCCTGGGCAGGGGGTCAGGGAGGTGAGAGGCTTGCTCTCTTGGCAGCTTCTGCTTTTACCCCAGCCCGGGGGCAGTTCGGGGGGCATATCAGACCCCAGTGTGTAATTAGCTCTGGAGTGTGTTTTGCTAAGCCCATGCATTGCCGAGGGCTGTAGGAAGGAGGGAGCATTCCTCCTATTTTCTTTTTTCCCCTTTGTCGGTGGCTTGTCAACCACACAATAGGGAGGATCTTGGAGGAGCAGCATCCCTCCTTGCTGCTGGTTGCAGACAGGGGTACCAGAGGTCAGGCTTGAGGAAGAGTAGCCTCCCTTGGTGTTCAATACTGAGATATATTTTACAGCGTTTGGGATAAGTAGCACACAGGGCTGTCTCATGGGCATTTGCCTCACTGAAAGCTTTGATTATTTTTTTTTGACATCTCCCTTCTGTTTCTGTGCCTTTGAAAGAACATGTGGATTGAGCAGCTCTTTCCTTCCTCTTTTGGCTGGAAATGAGAAACTCAGTTCAGCTCATCGATGAACGTCGCATTTGGGGAGCATGGGTTGCTGCTATTTGCTGGCATGTGTGCTCAGCTTTCCCTAAATACTGGGAATGGGCAAGAGTACCAAGAGCATCAGCTGCTTTGCTGGGGGGTTGGGTTAGAAAAGCAGGAAGATGAAGGGACTTATAGGATGCTGCATGCATGGGAGGTATCCATGCACAGCTGGTCCAGAGATGATGGTGCACGGAGTTTTCTGCAAAAGAGATGGGTCTGTGCTCCCAGGGATGGGGCTGCAGGCTGCTGTCTGTTATGCCAATCCAGTGCCATGGCCCTGTAATGCTATTGCTTTGGTCTGCACTGGGTACCCAGCAGCCACCAGCACAAAGGTGCATGGGCTAGCAGGGAAAGAGCTGTAACTCAGTATTAACAGAAGCACTCTGGCTCTGGAAACCGGGTTTCAGGGTGCCTGAGTTGGGATTCCTTCTGTAGCTGGGCTCAGGCACAGTCTGTTTTGAAGTTGGCTTTGTAAGGCAGGAGTGAAGTTTCTGCTCTTTTCAAGCTGTGAAGGGTCACCTTTCCCTCCTGGGGATGTTCTCAGGCTTCACCGCTTTTTAATTGCACAGGAAAAACAAGCACACCCAGATGCTGAGACCAAAGAAGAGGGACAGAAGTCAGTTGCCAGCTTCCAAGTGCTTAAAATGGAAAAGGGGGGAGATGTTCCCATTTCTGCTTGCTGGTAAAGCACTTGTAGGGTGGCATGGTTTGAAGGCACCTGTATTTCCACATAAAGCTGGGTTTTCAGCTGCAGCAGTGGCTAAACCACATTGTCAGGGTGGGAAGCATTGGAAACGGAACCCTTCTGAGCATTGGGAAACCCAAAAGGAAATTTAGCCATAGCTTCATTATTGCTCAATTACAGCTTCTTTTCCCCCCACATCTTTCCAAAGACAGATGGGTAAGGAGGTGTGTTTGTCCTAGAGGAGGAAAAGCTATTTCTCAAAATCCCAAAGCCCCCAACCCCCCCAGCCCTCTTCTGCAAGGGCAGGGAGATGGCAGCAGGGAGAAAATAAGAGGGTGAATGAGTAGCCACAAACATTAGCATTTCAGAGAGAGCTGCTCGATGGAGATTGTTCACCACCAGGCAAGCTTTAATAGGAGTGATAAGGTTTGCTTTTGTTCTCGGGCTCTTACTTAATCAGCCTGTCTCATTGCGATTTTTCTATCGGCACACTTCATCACACAACTTTCATGTGCGAGTCCCAGCTGCAGCAAATCTTGTTAAAATGGCCTTGTTCAAACACGGGCCGCCGGGTTTGTTCCCTAGAGCTGCAGTATGGGTGGATGGAGTGCGAGGCTGGAGGAATCAAAGGACTCCTAGGCCTGTGTATTTTATAATTCATTGCATAGCTAAGTTGCAGAATATTTTTCCTCTAACAAGCTTGAAGCTTTCTTCCATATCTAAAGGAATATTATCCAAGGAGGCATTCGGGCGGGGGGGGTTCAGAGATTCTCTACTTTCTGTGTACCGTTTGTCAGTGATTGAACAGCTTCCCTGTGCCTTATTAGTATTGCACTGTGCATTTGTTTTGTACCAGAGTGCTCTGCAAATACAATTTCAAAAGGCTGCTGCTCTTGCCACTGCCTCAGTGTGCTGCGAGTGGCGGAAAATAAAGATGATCAAGTCCTGGGGGGGTTTCGATGGCAGGGATAGCAAACACCGAAGCAAAGCGCGGCAGAGAGCCTTTCCCTAATTGAATCCCTGGTTAATTTGGTCCTCGGTTTAATTTGCCCCCTGCTCCAGACATTGAATGATTCTCACTGAAAATAGCCCAAAACATGCTTATTTATTTTTTGGTTTGATCCTTATCAGTGAGTGCTCCTGGATAATTCAGTCCCCAAAGGCAAAGGGCTTGCTTTGGGAAGCTGGAGCCAGGGAATGTGAGCAGAGCCCCCTGTAATTAGATGACGACTCCAAAGGGTTATTTAGATCTTGCAGTTGGCATTAGTTGCACAGCACAAGCTGGGACCTGCCCCACTGTCGCCTGAATTAGCCGCTTGCCTTGACCCCCAGGAGATGTTTGCCTCCAAACTTGCCCAGTTTTTCTTCCACTTGCCACACATTTAATCGAGCTGTGGTTTAAATCCACCAAAAGCAGCGGCAGTCGCCCTGGTGTCTGCATAATCTGGAGACTTGAGCTGCCTGAGTGCAATGCTGTCCCTAATTAAACCTGCCCATAGCTGGTAATGAAGATCAGTGCAAGGAGGAGAGACCTAATGGACTTTCCATCCAAAGCTGCTTGCAAGGTTGGGTTTTTGGGTTTCTTTTGCCCCATCCTGTTAACAGAGCAAACGTGATCTGGGAATTGGGAAAGGATGAGGAGCATGGAGCCCTGATTTCACTTGGTGACAGCCTTTTCATTGAGCAGGACTCATTCCAACTCCTCAGGCCAGATGGTATCCTGAGGGTAGTGGTCCTGGAAAGGAGCAGCCACCGTTGCCTGCCCAGGGGCAGTGCTAGTGGCAATTTGGAGCTCAAAGTGCTGCAACCAAGCCAGTGCTGTGTGGTGTGACCTGGGAGCAAAAGTCATGTTACCGATAACGTTTTGTTCCTGACTGTCACAGATTCCTCCCCGGAAGCACAGCCCAAGTACATCAAAGGCGGCAAGCGCTATGGCCGGCGGTCCCTGCCGGAGTTCCAGGAGTCCGTGGAAGACTTTGCTGAGGTGACCGTCATTGAACCGCTGAGGGAGGAAGCGTGTCCCCCACACATCGCCTCCAGCGGCTGTGAGGAGGTGAGCGGAAGGGGTCCTGGGTGCTGTGGGTGCTCGCCATCCCTAGACATCGCTGCCCCCCACGCCATCCTGAGGTGGTTTGGGTGTCCTTGGGGCCTTCATAGCAAGGAGGATGGTCTCCCTCTTTGCCTGTCCCCAGGGATCAGCCATGCCTGGCAGCACCTCCCTTGCTGCAGCCCCAGGTTCCCACCTGCAGGCAGGCTGCTGTGGGGAGCTGGGGAGGATCTGGGCGCTCGGTGATGTGCATTGGTGCCGCTGATCTTCCTCCACTCCTGGCTGCAGTGTGGACCAGCAGTCAAGTGAGGGCTGTGACGCTGCTTCTGTGGCTAATGAAGTGTGGGCCGGGAGCTAAGTGAGCAGAAGGAGCATGTCCTCATCTATTATCTCATCTGCAAAAACCTGGCCATAGCTCTGGTGCTCTCGGGTAGAGAGGATTGGGAAGAGGGGTGGTGAGAGCTCTGCAGCAGGCGGCTGCCTTGGGATGGTGCCCTAAATGCAGAGCCACCAGCTGCTTCTTTCAGTCTTCTACTTTTGATTTTCCCAGCAAAAATCTTTTGCACCAAAGCTGCATTGCTCTCACCAGCCCCCATGCTTGGTTTTGTGATCAAAATTTGTGTCTCTTTGTGCCAGTGCTTTCAAGCCTCGGAATCTTTTCTCACTTGTTCAGAACAGAAGAGCAAAAGGTGAAGAGTGGTTGGGCTTGATGGGTGTGCATTAGCATAGAGCCACAGCAGCACTTCTCTGACACTGGGCTCATTCCAGCCTGCCCCAGTTTGCCAAGTATTGTTGATTTAGTGCTGCATGTTCAGGAGCGCACAGTGGGAGTTTTCCACTGGAAAGGAGGAAACTGTGCTGCTTTCTTCGCTCATCTGTCTCCTGGCTTCACTTGTGCTTTCCTAAAGATCTGGGGGCTCTGCAGTCATTGTACCCAACACTGCATGGGGAAGTAAGGGAGAAATTTCCAGGTTTCCAGTGTTATTCCTATGCAGCTGAGCTTAAAAACTTTATACATATATATATATATATATATACACACTTTTTTTTTTTTTTAAGGCTTTTCCACCAGAGCCAGCTTCCTTATCCTGTTCTCTATGATGCTTGCTCACCACCACAGGGATGCTCATCTCTCTCCTGGTGCTGGCCCCATGGGTTGCCCTGACCTTGAAATCAATGTTAATCTCCCCACAAACCCCAGGGAAGCTATGTTCTTGATGGGAGACGTCCCTCTAATCTTACTTCTCTGTTTTAGCTGTCAAGGAGGTATAAAAGGCTAGTCTATTAACAAGGTCATTCAATTAACCAGTACATAACCACACTGTGCTTCCTGATGGGAACACTTGGCTGCACCTTCTGGGGTGGATGGGATGGTTAATTCTCTTGAACCTTAAACAAACCACAAGCTAATTTTGTTTAAATCCCCACTTGTCAACTTTATCAGCATTGCTGTCTTATCTCTGAAAGTTGATTCTCTTGGTATGCACAGAAACCAGTTGTTTGAAGGCATAGGGGGTCCTGGGGCTGAAATGCTGGGCAGTGTTGGAGACTCCTGATGCATTGACTTCTTGGTACTCACCACAATTAACAGCTTTTGCCCAGTTTTCTCCTGTTGCACCATAAACATGTTGTCGCCTGCATCTGCAAGGCTGCCTCTAGCGCAGGGTGTTTTGCTGGCCTGAGAACTGGGGCAGTGTGGCTTAATTGGTGCTTTCTTTCAACCAGTGCCAATTAAAAGGGCTCAGACTCTGTCTGAGAGGCTTCCTTCCCCTACTCATCTCTGTAAACAGGAGAGAAGAGGCTGAAGGGCTGGTCTGTGTGTGTGGGATCGGCTGCCTGGAGGTGCTCTGTGACCTCCATCCCTGGTGGCTTTCTAGGGACTGGACAAAGCCATGACCACCTGGGTGTGAATTCAGCATTGACCCGGCCATGGGCAGAGAGTGGTGTAGGGATGCCAAACTTCCCTTTGATCCACATGAGATTGTCCCCATGGATACTACTAGGAATATGGGTGGTGAGAAACAAGTGGCTTTGGCACTGTTATGAATGGGGTGCTAATGGAGCTGCAGCAATGAAAGCCCCTAGAAATGCAGTGTGAAAGTTTGTGGTGGTTAAAGCTGTGCATGTCCAGCACTTGAGCTTGTTTGTTCCAACTTCTTGATACAAATGATGGATCTTGGTGGGCTTGGGAAGCACTGACCATTTCCTTTCTGCCTTGTGTTAGACCTGGTAATGATCTGCTCAGTGGTGGTGATGCAGGGTTGGGATGGGGAACAGGTTTGGTGGCCATGGGGTACCAACCCCAACCTGGTGGTGGAGCAGCAGCGTCCTTTGGCTTGTGGGTTTGCAGCAGCACACCCCTGTGTACACAACCAGCCATGGCCAGTCTTAAGGCAATGCTCACTTCCAACCTTCAGTGCAGGGCTTCTATCATCTCTGCTTCCCCAGCTGCTTCCTCTGCTCTAGGAAAGGTCAGTCCTACTTGCAGGCTGTAGAAACTGCTGTCCTGTCCCAGCTCTGTCCCTTCACTGACCGCCAAAGCCACTCACTCCCCAGACATGTGTGTGCTTGCTTCTGCATAGGGTGGTTTCCAGCATGGCATGGCCTTTTGGAGCAAAACCTTCCGAGAGGGTCAGGCTTGAAGCTTTCCGTCTTCAGGTCCTGCATGTACAAATGTGAGGCTCGCAAAGGGCAACTGTCCTGTAAGGCTGGGATCTGAGAGAGCAGCTCAGGATAGCGCTTGCCCCACACAAGTGCATTATTGATGTGACTCTGGTGCTTTGCAGCTGAAGGCAACTGGCAAAGTGGGGTGTGGAGAGTTGCTGGCAGAAGGGGTCTGTGCTCTGGCTGCTCAGACGGGGGCACTGACCTCTGTGCACGCTTGCAGGGAGGGGAAAACCAGGGTCCATCATCATTGATGCGCAGGCTCACCTTGCCGCGTGCGAAGCAGAACAGGCTCAGCGTGTGCTCCTGATCGTCGTTTTAATTAGCAATATATTCTGGCAGAGAACAAAGGCCTGTCTTGCTGAAGCAGATGGCAGGGGGAGAGAGGTTGCTGCCTTATTATGGGGAGAGGCCACTGTGAGCAGACAGCACAGGCTGCAGATGCTAGCCTGGGCTCCAAGCTGGAGGGTAGCGAGCATTGAAAGCCACGGCCATCTGCTCCTCAGCCCGGCCAAGCACGTGCCTGCCCAGATAATAATGCATTCCTGGGATCTGCGCTCTGCCTGGATGTGTGTGACCTGCATCCAGCTGTACCACTGCCGGGGCCAGGGGAACAATGCTGTGCCTGACATTGGGATGCACTGTCCCTCTGCACCCATCCCAGATCTGCTTTGTCCTCCCACTGGCGGTGGCTGACCCTGAGTCCCCACTGCATAAAGGGACCCCCTTACCCTCCATAGTGAGGCCCTGGCATGGGGTGGGAGGTCACATGAGCTCCCCAGGGTCAGTGTCAGGGGGTTACCAGCCTGTAGCACACACACACGTGCACAGCCCTCCTGTATTCAGCCTCTTCAGGTTGTTGGTGTTCACAGAGTTACCTTGTGCTGCGGTTTGGGGTTCTTGGTTTTGTAAGTCCCCAGCTTGAGAGGGTCTGGTGCTAAACAGTTTTGATCGGATTCTGTATTAAAATATATGTTGCTTATGCAAAAATACTTGGACATAGCAGTGGATCCCACTTCTGAGCATCACTGCTCAGATTCCTCCTCGGTGTCCCCCCCAAAGACAAGGATGAGTGGCTGTGGCGTGGCAGCTCCGTCTGGCACCCAAAGGTTCCTTCTCTCAGTACAAAGTTGGCTGTTGCACATGCACAGGCACCTATGGGTTGAGCTGGGCTGGTGCCAGCTCATGCATTTTTGGGAACACAGGCTATTTTCTGTCTTTGCACTTGGTAGTTCAGTGGTACCTGTTGCCTCAGCTCCTGCTTTTTGTGTGTTCACCCTGATGGTTTATCAGGCAAACCAAGAATCTGCCACGTGAACTCCTCCATGGTGGTGCTGGCAGGACAGCACTCGTTTGGGCCAAAATCTGTAGATTTCTAGTGCAGTATTATAGGTGTTCTTGGCTTTCTCCAGAGCATCCAGCAAAGCTGCTGTGACTGCTTGCCTCGGAAAGCAGAGGTGAAAGCTGCCTCGCTCCATCTAAGGGACTCCCTGATTCCTGCTCTGTGACCCTCCCCAAAAGCAGAGGGGTACATTGGGACACTGCAGCAGCAAACAGCCCTTGCCTGGTCCAGGAGATGACACAGGAGCGAACAGCAGAACTAAAAAAAGGTCTAGTGAACTAATCCAGTTTCCATGGTAACATTGTAGATTAATGGCTTTTAGCTGTAATCTGAATGAGATGCATTGAACTTTTATATGATGATTTAGAGCCTCTTTATGTCCTGGGTGACTTTGACTTCAAATCCATCAGTCACATGCATGCAGAAGTATCCACTTGTAACAGTGGAGAAGTGACATCTGCCGCTGGTGCAGCTATATCAGGAGTTAATATCACTGAGCATTGTGTGTGATTAAATACCCTCGGCTGGGATGAGGGTGGTAGAAACATAACAACATGTAGTACATGAGGAAATCGCTTTAAACGATGTACTTGTGCCCTGCTCCCAGTGTCCCTGAGCTGATGTGGTATTGCCACAGAGGAAGCAGGATGGCTTAAGACCAGCAGATAGTATGTTGGGGTTTTGTTCTGCCGCTAGCTCAGTGGAGAGCTTGTTGGCAGTATAGTTCTGTCTCCTGACCTAGAGCTACAGCTGGTGGAGGTGGTTTGGAATGGGCTTGGCTGAGCATGTGCCAAAGTAGGGGAAGATAGGGTGCTGGAAGGAAGGGACAGCCCAAATTCAAGTAGTGGCTATATGCAGCCCATGATCATAGAGCTACAGACTGGTTTGGGTTGGAAGGCACCTTAAAGCTCATCCAGTTCCAGCCCCCTGCCACGGGCAGGGACACCTTCCACTAGACCAGGTTGCTCCAAGCCCCTGTGTCCAACCTGGCCTTGAACACTGCCAGGGATGGTGCAGCCACAGCTTCTCTGGGCAACCTTTGCCAGCACCTCAGCACCCTCACAGTGAAAAACTTCTTCCTAATATCTAATCTAAATCTCCTGTTTGTCAGCTTAAAGCTGTTCCCCCTTTATCCTATCCCTACATGCTCTTGCTCCAGCTTTCTTGTCAGCTGCCTTTAGGTACTGGAAGGCTGCTGTAAGGTCTCCCTGGAGCCTTCTCTTCTCCAGGCTGAACAACCACAACTCTCTCTTCCTGAATTTTTATCTTGACCACTGATACCTCTAAAGACAAAGCAGCGTGGTTTCCTTGGAGGGCAAATCTCTTCTTCCCTCCCCATCAACCTGCTGGACTCTGATCTGTCACCTCTCGAGGGTCATTTGCAGGGCTTTAGGCATCTTTCTGCAGCTGTGGTTTATCCCCATGAAAGAGCCTTGCGTGCCAGAAAAAAAGAGCATCAAAGAGCCATGGATTGCCAGGCCAGCCTGAGGGGAGTGGGGAGATGAAAGCCTGGCGGCGTTGCTGGAGCCCTGTAGCTCATGCTGATTGCAGAGTCTCTTTCATATGGGCGATGTCTTGCAATAATAATAACTTGGGAATCTTTTGTTTTCTCCCCAGCACTGGAAGACGCGAGACAGCGAGGAGTATGAGGCTGAGGGTAAGAGCAAGCAGCAATACTTGCATGTGCTTACTCTCTTTTCAGCTTTGAAGATGAATCAGAGGGGCACACTAAATGTCAGGCTATCTGGGTGTGCTGAGCAGTCCCAGCTTGGTGTGGTGCAGAGTCTGACAAGGTGCATATGGGGCAGGCAAGCCCCTAGCTGGGAATTAAAGGAAAAGTGGGGCTTCTTGAAGGTCAAAGTCTTGTGCCTTAGCCCTTCTGCCCTCTTTTATTCCTGCTCCCTGATGCAGAGGCTATCCTGCTACAGGTGCTTCTGGTCTCCCTGGCCTCAGCACCCCCAAGAGCGGGTCCTGGTCCCTGCTCCTTCCTGGGGGGCTCCTGTAGGAGGGGATGGTAGGCACTAGATGTCAGTGTGGACCAGTCATTAAATATTTCCTAATTGTCCTACAAGGGAGAGCAGGGTGACCCCCGGGGTGATGGTCGGGGTGACAGTTGGGCTTTGGCACCAGCCCTCATCACAACCTGCAGCTTGCGAAGGTATGTTTATAACTAAGCCATGCAGCTTTTAATCGCTTCAACACCTCTTCTGTATTTCAGCTGCACTCTAACACCTACTCCATCCAAAGGGACCAATTTTTGTGTTCTTTTTTTTTTTCCTTAAAAAGTTACTTTTTCAGCCCCAGGATGAGGTAGCGGATGCAGGGAGGTGTCAAGCTCTGGCTGGTTTGTGTCTAGTAGCATTTGCAGCTGGATGAGGCTGCACTCCAGGCATTTGCTGGAGGTAGAGGAAGTGTGTGCAGCTGAAGGCTATTGGGTTTTGAATTATTTGTTTTATTATTTTCCTTCCCCTGAAGAAGTGTTTGGAAGTATTTCTAGATCAAAACATACACTACAGCTTACATTCAAAGGGGATGGGAGTTTCGGAAGCACCGCTTGTGAACTGGCCTTTATGGAGACAAGCAACCATTGAAGTTCTTGACCTAGTCATGGTTTGGTATGGGTATGCAACTTGCTCAGTCCTCTCCCTTGACCTTATAACTGCCCAGAAGAGGAGGGGCTGGGTCCCTTCTCCATCCATACCAGTAGCCAAGACAGCAGGGGTATGCTTCTAGCTGCCAGCCCAGGTTGGCAAAATGCACTTTTCCACAATCTTCCTGGCCGTGGTCCCATCCTCACTGGTATGTGGGGTTCCCTCAGCTCTGGTGGCACATGTGAGTTGAGCGCTGAGCAGGATCTGCTTCTTCTTGTAGAGTCCAATAGCCATACACTGAAATAATGAGTGTGCTCTGAGGGGGATGGGGTAAGGCAAATGGTCCTGTGGGGTCTGACAAACAGCGAGGGATGCTGTGCCCGCTGCGGCAGCAAGTCCCCCAAGCCTTCAGCTGTGTGCAGTGGATGGGCAGAAACCAGAGCAGTTCTCTCCTGTTTCCAGGGCAGCTCCGCTTTTGGAACCCTGATGACTTGAATGCCTCCCCTGGCACCTCACTGCCTAGCCCGGACTGGATAGAGGAGAAACTGCAGGAGGTCTGTGAGCACCTTGGCATCACCAGGGATGGCCACCTGAACCGGAAAAAGCTTGTTTCCATCTGTGAGCAGTACGGGCTCCAAGCAGCAGCTGGGGAGGTGAGTGGCCATGTGCAGACCTGCTTGCTCCATGGTGCACATCTGGGTTTTGGCATGGCCCCCACAAAGTCTGTCCTGCGGGTGACTGCAAGCCTAAAGCACAAGTGCTGGTTCATAGGTCACCACTTGGAAAGTGGTTTTCAGCCCAGCTTATGGTTTTCCAGTGAGGCTGTTGGTGTCAAACCACCAGACATGGGAAACTGCTCTGGTAGAAGGCAGCTGCCAGCCTTACTATGCAGTGTGCGTGTCTTCTCATGCAGTCACAGAGTAAACTGGAATTTAAAACATATTCTAGATTCCAAACGTGTCTCCTTAATCCCAAAAATCTTTGAGCTAGACAGTACATATTAGTTAAAATATTCAGAGCTGGTTGCTTTTGACTTTGTTGAGGGCCTGCAGGCTGTTTCTGTCCTGCAGGAAAAATTCATGAGAAAATTATTTCTTTAGCAAAGAAGTTTGTCGCCGATTTATGGTGAGTTTTCTTAAAAAAAAAAAAAAAAAGACTGATTTGTATTTTAAAATACGAATTGTAATAATTTCCTTCATGAAACGTGTTTCTGAGCAAGTATTCCTTTGCAGCATTCATAATACAATGTTTTCAGGGTATTAAGGCACAAAATGGAAAGAATAAATTGTAAGTGAAGAAATAGCAAAGGACTAACCTTAACGTCTCTGGTCCTAATAAGGCTGGTCTTGCTTTGCAGAAAGCAGACTGCCCTGAAGCATACAACAGATTTATTAAGACCTTGCAGTGCTTTACTGTGTGTTTTGCCCGGTCACTTCAAGCTGCTGGGGGTTTGGTCTGTCTCACCACCTTGCACTTGAATCCTGAGGTGACTCTGTCTCAAGAGCAGAACGAAATGAGGTGTCTTCATGCTGCCTCACAAGATACGGAGGCTTCAAGAGGACCAGGAGCTTACATCATTCTACAGGCAGGATTTTCATAGTGTGTGTGGATCTACAATTTTCTATATGAAGGTTGCTGTACCAGTGTTAGGCTGATGCAGTGTAGCGGGCAACTCTTGCTTTGCCTTTTTCTTTTGCAGAGCCTTGGGAATAGGGTGCTTTCTGCTCTGCCAAATTGTTACCATGGTGGTTTTGGAAATAGCAAATGTGATTTGTATCCCCTGCCACTTGCAGGTGCTTGAAGAGGTACTCCATAACCTGGAGCAAGATGGCACCATGAGCATAGAGGACTTCTTCTATGGCTTGTTTAAAAATGGAAAGCCACTGACGCCCTCAGCATCTACACCGTACAGACAACTGAAACGACACCTTTCCATGCAGGTGGGAAACTGAGGTGGATCCTGGGGTAGAGGCAAGAGCAGGGGGGAAGTCCTGAGGAAATAGCTCCTAGCTTGCCTCCTGCTTTTCTTCCCCGTTTGTCTCTGTGGTGGGGCAGCTGTGACTATTCCTCAAAATGGGGTAGGCTGAAGACTGTGGGCATGCAGGTCCCACATATATTCTCTAACTATTTGGGGGATGGGGGGCGGAGAAGAGTTTGGAATCTTCTACCTATCTTTGCTTTGAAGCTGAGGGCTATAGCAAAAGCACCTGTGCATATGCTTCCTGCAGCCTTTTTAGGGGAGGTGACGCTTGAAACCAAAACCAGAGAGTGCAAAGCACTTTTGGAGCATTGAGGACACTCCAAAGTGCCTGGTTGTGCTGTGGTGCTGGGAGGTCAGCAGCAGCACTCCTGCTGGGTATTTGCTTGGCAGTGAGGAAGAGCAGACTTAATCCTTAATCTCCAGAATACTGTTAGTGAAATTACATTTCCAAGCCTTTCTCGTCACGGGGTGGGCAGATGCCTGGCTCTGCCTGTGCCCCATCACATCCTCTCCCCTCTCTCCACAGTCCTTTGATGAAAGCGGGAGGCGCATGATCACCCACTCTGCCATGTCCAGCACCATTGGCTTCTGCCTCTTCTCCAGCCTGGATGATGGGATGGGCTATGGCTGTGTGGAGGGTGTCCTTGACTGCTGGCACCAGGAGGGCATAGAGAACAGCCAGGAGATCCTGAAGGTAACTGACAGCTACATCTTACCTCTTCTGTTTGCCTTGTTTTTTTATACCCCAGTGTAGGATGCTGAACTGTAGCCAGTTTACTTCTTTTTTTCATTTCTTAGAGTTCCCAGTGCTAGTGAGAAGAGTCTAATCCCAGAGAGCTAGAAGTGAATGATAAAAGTGTAACGTGACTTCCAGCTTGGCTTGAAGAGGTCACCTGTATTCGTAGAAAGCAAATGATAAGTTGACTATGAACCAGCAGTGTGCCATTGTGGTCAGAAGGGAGAGTAGTATCCTGGGGTGCATTTGGAGGACTGTGTCCGGCAGGTTGAGGTTCCTGTCCTTGAGCCTGGTGAGGCCATATCTGGAGTACTGTGTCCAGCTCTGGGCTCCTCGGTACAAGATAAGGAGCTGCGGAGTAGGTCCAGTGGGGGTCACAAGGATGATTGGGAGAATTAGAGCATCTTTCTTATGAGGAGAGATTGTGGGAGCTGGGCCTGTTTAGTCTGGGGAAGAGAAGACTTGAGAGGGGATCTCATTAGTGCGTATAAACATCTCAAAGGCAGGTGTCAGGAGGATGGTGCCACACTCTTTTCAGTGGTGCCCAGCAATAGGATGAGCAGTGGCCATAAACTTAAACACAAGTTTCACCTCAACATGCGGAAGAACTTGTTTACATTGAGGGTGGCAGGGTGCCCAAAGAGTCTCTCTGGAGAAGTTCAAAACCCTCCTGGACTTGTTCCTGTGTAACCTGCTTTAGGTGGCCCTGCTTTGACAAGGGGGCTGGACTACATGGTCTCCAGAGGTCCCTTCCAACCCTAATGATTGTGCTTCTGTGAATCTAAATCCTTTACCTCGCTGAACAGCTGCTCCTGCAAACCTTTCAGCACTGGGATGTCCTGAATTATGGCCTGTGCTGAGTGGAGGGACAGAGCTTGGAAACCTTGCCCAGTCCTTAGTGTTTTATTATACAGAGTAAAGGGTAATGGGGGGTTGCAAATCAATCACCTGAAGTCATTCTGCCTGCCCATCTCACTAGAAGCTGTGGCTGGGAGACGATAGTCATGTGTAATTCTGAGACCATCACTGCATTCCCAGCAGCAATAATGGCAGATTTCTTTTGGCATTTAGTGGCTGTGTGGGTATTGATATCCAGGTGGTAATAAACTCTGCCATTGCTCAGGCTTTAAAACCTACTTGTAGACCAGTTTGATAACATGGTACTACTTACAGGGGACTTGTGTGATACGCCTTCTGCTTGTTGCTTTACTCTTGTAAGTTGCTTTGATGACACTGATGACAGTGTTCACAGTGTTTCAGTCCCACTGCCAGCCCTTCTGTGCTCCACTTTGTGTTCCTGAAGTTGAAGGAAATGAAAAGCAGTTGAAGGAGAAAAGAAGGCTGTGGGGAGACTTTAAGGCAGCTTCCAGTGGCTAAAGGGACTGATGCAAAAACCAGAGAGGGACTTTTGACAAGGGCCTGTAGGGATACGACACGGGAAAATGGCCTTAAGCTTAAATAGGGTGGATTTACATTAGATATCTATTAGGAAGAAGTTCTTCCCTATGAGGGTGGTGAGGCACTGGGGCAGGTTGCCCAGAGAAGCTGTGGCTGCCCCATCCCTGGCAGTGTTCAAGGCCAGGTTGGACAGAGCTTGGAGCAACCTGGTCTAGTGGAAGGTGTCTCTGCCTGTGGCAGGGGTTGGAACTGGATGAGCTTTCTGGTCATTTTCAATCCAAACAATTCTATATGATCGATTCTGTATGATTCCTTACTCTGTGAGAGGTGGGATACTTGCTATCAAATACCTCCTACAAGGCTGTTTCTGCATTTCTACTGCAAGAGCTGATTTTGTTTAACATGAGCATCTTCAACCACTTTCTTGCAGCATTTGAAGACATGAGAAGGGTGGTGTAGTTATGTCCTCTAGAGAATTAGTAGTTTTAATCAGGCATAGGCTTAATTTCCTGTTGGTCTTGCAGCACAGCCAAGACACTTTCCATCTCCACAGCTGTCAGCAGCTCTTTAACATAGGAAAGTGTCAGAGATGTCTGGTTATTGCCCCAAAGACATTTGTGACAGATTAGTTTCTTCTGAGCCTCCTCATTTTATTCTGTCACTCCATGCACAAATGTCTTCAGGCTCCTGAAGGGCAAGAATGCTTGTTCTGCTCTAACAATGTGGTGTTCTGCAGGCTTTGGACTTCAGCTTGGATGGGAAGGTGAACCTGACAGAGCTGACGCTGGCTCTGGAAAATGAGCTTTTAATAACCAAGAATGGAATCCAGCAGGCAGCCCTGGCAAGCTTCAAAATGGAGATCAGACACTTGCTGTAAGTCACCCAGATTGCCACCTCTGCTGCTTCCTCGCTGCCTCTCCCTTTGGCCAAGCAGACGCTTAAGTAGGAGCTGATTAATGATGGTTCACAGCATTTCTCTGAGGGGCATTGATGTGGTGCTGCCCTTTCGCTGGAAGGCAGAGCTCTTTGCTAGCTTGGTCAGAGACTTTCAGTGCTCTCGTTTTGCATGGTTAAAACACTCAAACCCAAGTACTGCAGAAAAATAGACTTAATAAAATCCAAGCAGTAGGCTGTTCCCAGAGCCCCGCTCTGCGGTCTGGAAATGGTCACTGCAATCTACAGTTGTTGATGGCCAAGGAATGCAAACCTGAAGATGGAGGCTGGTGCAATTTGATAAGCAGTACCTTTAATATTAACCGATTTCTTGCAGTAGCATTACATAGGTTTTGCCATGTGATAAAGGGATGGATGAGGTACAAAACCACCTTGGATCCCTGCTTTTTTCCTCTGAAAGTCAACATGGTTTGAATTTGCACTGGACTTGCCATGCAGGCCTCTCTATTAAGAGAGCATAGGAGATGAGAAGCATATTCCCCTGTCTGTATGTTTAATATAGGAATTATATGCATGTGCTACTGAACTCAAATATTTCTTCATATAGATACCAATGGATCACCTTGTCCACCACACTTTGGAGACAGCCACTCTAAGCATTGCACCCTCAGTTTTGCATTGGTTCGTTCCTCTTATGTAACTGTGGCATCCGTCTGCCATGTGCATGAACTCCAGTTGCTAGTGGTGTTTTGTTTGTACTGTAAATCTTTGAATAGCTTAGATAATTATCAGCTTATGCATTCAAACCCATGCAACACCACAGATGACTTTCACTGGTCATCAAGACTGCAAGGTCATTAAGTCATGTTACTTGTTGGCTCACCACTTGTGCTTGCAAGTTGCCCACTTTGCTTGTATGAAAAGATGAGGTTTTTGTTGTGCTTGCATCTACATGTGTAAATAACTTATGTGTGAAGAGATTTGTTGTCAAGTTATCATCAAGAGAACTGCTCAGTGTAGCAGATCTTACCAACTTATGATGAAAACCTGGGTGGGTGTAGTGTAAGGGTGAAGTGGTAAAGGTAATAAAACAAGAGAACAAATAAACGGGCGGAAAGTGGCCTGTCAAAATGGCATAGCACTGCAGTTTAGGGGTCTAGACCACAGCTGAGGAGTTCATGCGTTGAGGTCTTGTGGACCTAGGAGGGGATGTCCAGAGCTGTGTGTGCAAGTTCACACCTAATGACTAAATGCATTTGATAAGACCCTTGGAGAGCTTTCTGAGCTGTTTTTCTCTTATGAGCCTTTTGCAAGGATCTTCTTTGGGGGAGCTCTGAGGGATGACCTAATCCAGACCAGCTGTGCTTACCCTAGGGAGAGAGCTGACCAAGTGGCCAGAGAGAAAGAGAAGCTGCGGTCGGACTTGGAAAAAGCTGAAAAGTTGAAATTCCTGATGGCCTCCGAAGTGGATGACCACCATGCTGCAATTGAGCGCCGGAATGAGTACAACCTCAGGTATGGTATCCCGGTTCATCCCTCTCCTCTTTGGCATCGTTGCCACAGTGTTTCAGGGACTCAGAGATGGAGGTTAGCAGCTTTACACCTGCTTATTACCACTGAGCTTCATTTGCAGCATCACTGGCTGACTGCTCCTTTTAAGAGCTCTTCTTACTTCCGGTGCCTTTGTAGGAAGCTGGATGAGGAGTACAGGGAGCGAATTGCAGCTCTAAAGAATGAGCTCCAGAGAGAGCGGGAGCAAATCCTGCAGCAGGCTAACAAACAGCGCCTGGATCTGGAGCAGGAGATAGAAAAGCTGAAAAATGATGAGAACTACATCCGCGACCGCCTGGCCCTTTCCCTGAAGGTAATGGGCACTAAATACGGCTCTCTTTTTCCCCCAAAAGACAAAGGATGCCCCCAAAAGACAAGGGGAGCACCACTTGCAGCATGGTCCTTGTTGAGGAGATGTGTTGCAGTGCATGCTGAGCTATCTGAAAGTAATTTCAGCAGCAACATACAGGCCTATCTATGAGAACTGGGTTTTTTAGGTCACCTTGATAGGTTACTCCTTGGATTAATAAAGCTCCAGTTCGAGTTTCTGCTGCCATCAAGTGTAGAGTGTGCACGCGTATGGTTATCAGAAGGGCTGTGTGCCCTGCTGGCTGTTTGGCTGTCCAGCCAGGAGCTAATTTCTTGACAAAGTTTAAATTGTTGTTTTAAAAACAGACACACAAAACCCCTCTTAAACAAGCTTGCTGCTATCCCTTTTGATGATTTAACTGCTGCCTAACGCAATGGCATTACTCACCCATGACTCCACAGATTCAATTCCTGTTCTAGGTATTTTTTTTTGTCTGCTGCTGATCATGTAATTAACTTTTGCTCAGTATAAAAACAAAATGTAATCAGTAGTGGTGTTGTCTTATGAACACAGGAGGGAGCTGATGCACCCTTACAGTGTTCAGGTGGGAAGCTTTATAAAGGGGGTGGTTGTCCTGTGAGCATCAGGGTCATTGTAAAATGTTCTTTCTAAAGAAGCCAGCTGAAAGGTGAGAAGAGCCAGAGGAGCGCACACACTTGCTGTCCTGCTTCAAGCAGGAGGGTTGCATGTGCATGGATTCACAATTTTTGTCTTTGGCTGAAGTTTTGTAGCAGTGTCATGCTCTGATTTGACTGGGAGAGTGTGCTAAAGGCTTCTTCCTCCTTCCAAATCTGAGGCTGTTGGGGTGGTTTCTTGTTTGCAGAAAAACAGCCGCCTGGAAAGTGAGCTATTGGAAATGGGAGAAAAACTGTCCAAGTATGAAAGTTTGGCAAGCAAACTACAGAGGAACTTGGAAAACGTCCTGACTGAGAAGGTAAATCCTCCTCTTCCCAGTATGCTTCCAGAATTAAATTGCTTTTTGGTTACTGCACTCAAGCTGCCAATTTAATACCTGGAGGCTCTTGTGGTCCCTATCCAGACAGTACCAAAGCACAGCCTGCTTTTTGATGTGGACTGCCTGCCTCACTTCCAGTTAAGGAAATTAGAGATACTCCATCTTAGTTGTAGTTTTACACTAATTAACAGCAGGGAGCCTTACGGTGAAGCAATCATCCTGCAGACCTGCGGGGATTTTGTTCCCCAGCACAATGTTTTGGATAGATCTAATATGCAGGCCCTTTCTAGGGAAGATGATACAAGAGGTGTATCTATGCTGCATCTTAAGTGAAAAGTGAGGAGAACAGCTGATCATGGTTGTATCACAGTAAACTCATCAGAATAACAGCTTCTTCAAAGGCATTTTGGGGTGTGTGTGACTCTATAGGCAGAGGCTTGAGTACTGTGATTCTAACCTAGAAGCTATCTTCCAGACTTCTTTAAAGCTGGAATTATTTATTAAATTGAGATGTGCATATGCTAAGATAGAAAGTTGAGGTCTGAAATAAAAGTTAGCATGAGAGTTATGGCTAGTATCTTCTAAGGAGGTTGCTCTTTGTCCCTTACCAGCAGTGAAGCAGAGCTTAAAATAAGATAAACAGAGGGGAGGGGGTGCAGGCTGCCAGGCTGCCTGTGGATGGCACCCAGGTTTTGATGAGCAGGTGATGTGATGGGTGTAAGAGTAACTGTATTCTGTTTATGCCATTTCAGTTTGGGGACCTGGATCCCAGCAGCACAGAGTTTTTCCTGCAGGAGGAGAGACTGGCACAGATGAGAAGCGAGTACCAGCAGCAGTGCAGAGTAAGTGAAGTTCAGGGCTGGAGACCTGGCACCTGTCTGTCCATGTTCATCAAGAACATCCTCACTGCAGACATCAGCACAGAGCAGCAATAGAGTGCTGCTGAGTGTTTTTCCTGGCTGAGCTAAAAGGATGAAGTTCCATAAGGGAGGGCTGGGATGGGGTCTGTGGAGCCTCCTTCATTCCCCAGCTGTACATCAAGCCTGACTTCTTGCACAGTTGTGCACTAGCATTTTTTTTGATTTATGAAATAATCTTTGTCCTAATTTGTATCCAGAGTTGCAGGAACTCTACATTAGAAATAAGATATAGCTCAGTTTTGCTGGTTTCCAAAACAGTAGTGTTTCTTAAAACTGAAAAGGTAAAACTTGTCTTCTCCTCTCCACATCTTTTATGGCTGAAATACTTCTTTATGGGGGGCCTGCAAGCTGTCTATTTACATACCTGTTTTCTGATGACTACAATGGTTACCAGCATTTGGCTTATCGGTTCTGCATGATCCTTTTCACTCAATAAAGGACTGCCTTGGCAAAAGGTTTTCTAAATTGAAACAGAACAGTAGCAGTTGCAGTTTAAAGGCAAAAATTGTCTACAAATATTCATCGAATTGATTTTGATAAAATGTTGCTTGAATATGCAACTGATTGTCTTGAGTACTGGCAGATATGAATCAGGATTTGAGGTTTATTTTCTGAACCTTTCCAGTCTTCAGAATTGCATTTACACATTCAGGGATTCACATTCCTCAGTAAATGCTGTTTATCAAGCTGAGCGCATGGCATCTGGCACAAACACTCAGGATATTCCATTGGCAAGTGGGCAGAAGTACCAGATGGTAAATGCTGTAATGAGGGTATCTCTTTCCTAATTTGACATTTTTGCTTCTGATTTGATTTTTCAAGTAGATGGAGTTTGAGGGGGTGTTTCTTGACTGTTTGAAAATGTTCCTAAACTGCTGTTTAAAAAAAGGTCATCAGAAGAAAGAATAAAGTGAAAGGTCCTGGAGCATGATATACTGTACAGGCAGAATATACACAGGCTGTCTGAAGAAGGTTCTGCTCTTTTAGTAAAAAACATACTTGTTGCTTGCACATGTTGTAACCTGGAGAAGGGTGTTGTTTTGCAGGTAGGAGGATGACTAACTCTGGCATCATAGCAGGATTATTGACGAGTCTTTACCTACTGTAATTCCCTTCTAAATGTCTTATTGTGGGAGTGTGTGAATGTACAGCTGCTGAGCTGTCTTTGGTTGCTTTCACTCAGGCTTCTTGTTCCCCTCTTTCAGGAGCTGCAAGACCAGATAGATGAGCTGCACTCAGAGCTGGAGGAGTACCGTGCCCAAGGCAAAGTGCTCAGGCCTTCGCTGAAGAACTTGCTGTCGGAAGAGTTTGACATTGATATGAAAAGTCATGGCAATAGTGGTATTGAGCCTGACCAAGGTAAAGCACATCTCCTGTATAACGAACTTCTCTGCTGTAGGTATGGTAACATCTTAGAGGCAATTAGTAAAAACTTTCTCAAACCCACACAGTAAGACTCAAACACCACCTCCGTTTTGCTGTTTAATGTGGAATATGGCTGTTGTACTATCTTCAAAGCTGAAATTAATGTTCGTAGTTTTTTGTCTGTGTGTGCAGTGGGAACGTAAGAGCTGCAAGTCAGCTCCCTAAACAAATCTAAATTGAGGAAACAATTCTGTTGAGAATGTATCTCTTTGGCCTCCAAGGAGATAAATATATATATATATATATATAATTACTGTTTTTGAAGGACTTGGTTCAGAAGACTGCAACCCACTGAATATGAGCATAGAGGCAGAAATGGCTATTGAGCAAATGAAGGAGCAACATCACAGGGATCTACATCACCTCAAACAGGAGCTTGAAGACACAGTAAGCTATTTTAACTTAAAATGAAGCTTCACCCTTTTTTCAGTCTCTTCAGAGGTGGAAGGCTCTTGAAGAAGGACTTTTAATTCCTGGTCAAATTATAATCTTTATGTGAACCTGAGCCTTTAGCTTCCCTGCTCCTTCTTCCCATGGAGGTGCACTGGAGAAGGCTGAATGAATGCTGTGGCAGATACACATGCCACCCACCAGCTAAAGAGAGAGCAGTGAGCTGTTCCGAGGCAGTATTGCATTTCCTGTAGTGAAAGCCTGCTGTATCTGAATTAGCCGCTTCATTCCTGCTGGCATGGGATAATTGTGGGTTAGAAAGGCTGCTGGCAGGAGTCTTCATTGCTAAATGCTATGCTTGTGCAGCCTGGTGGCGTCTGCTGAAAACTGCTGTTATGATACGCATGCTACTGAAAATGGGCAGTCAGCTTCCTGTTTCCTGTGTGTCCATCTGCGGTTATCCTTGCCATGCTTGCAGAAATATCTCCATTGGTTCTACGTGGAGATAGACTGGGTCTGGGTGGGCTTTGAGGCCCCACTGTAGTGCCTGGGGTGCTAGGGTGAGCTGGCAGAGGTCTGGACATGGCACAGCATGCCCACTGCCAGCCTGTGCTGGCATCCCTGGCAGGGTCACAGTGTTCCTCTGCAGGTGAGGTGCACTGGTGTAGAGATGGCCAGACTCATTCTGTGGGAGTCAGTCCAGGAGCAGAAGTTGGGGGTCCCATCAGGCTTCCCCTGTGTTTATCAGATATTGTTATAGGACTATAGATATTCATTTCACATATGGCGTAACGAAAGTACATTGAAACTGTATTGTGCTGCAGCTGGGATGGGAGTGGGGAAAGGGGGACTGATAAAAAATCACCCCAAAATAATTACTTTTCCTTAAGTATTTGTCTCCTATCAGTTTGGATTTTTTTGGGTTTTGGGTTTTTTTTTTGGGGTTTTTTTTTTTGTTTGTTTGTTTTAAAGGGCAAAACAAAAAAAAACACACAAAAAAATCTGCCTCCAAACCAGAAAAATGCACCAAAAGTCATCGGTGAAATACAGTCCACTTGCACTTTGCAAAACTGACTTAGGGCTTCAGAGTAGTCAGTGACTTCTCTTTTCACAAATTCGTTTAATGGAAAAGCATGAATTTCACTGACTTCTATGTAATAATCATTTTTAACCCACCAAGTAAGAAATTAAGCTAGGCATTAGCATTCTTTGCAGGGGAAATCAATGTAAGGTGCTAATGTGCAAATCAAAATATTCTGTAGAATATATGGAAACATTTTGTGCAGAAATGTTGAGAAAACATTTCTGTAGAACATTCTGTTGAAAACGAGCCATTCCAACCTGGTTTCCTTTTTGTAGGTGAGCCATTATGAAAAGCAGCTAGATGAGACAAAAATCCACTCTGAAAAGCAGCAAGAAGATATGAGGAAGAAGTACACTGAAGAGATGCATGTCATGGAAAAGCAAATAACTGGTCTTAAAAATCAAATCGTAGAACTGCAAGGAGAGGCAGCAGTGCTCAGAGAACAGCAGGAAAAGCTTGACTGTAAGCACAATGATGAGAAAAACAAATTACAAATGCGTTTTGATGAGGAAAAAGCCAATCTGCAAGAACTACTGAGGCAGGAGCATGAAGAAGACATTAGAGCCAGACTGGATCAGATAAATGAGAAGTTTAGTCAAGAACGGGAAGAACTGATTCAAAATGGTGTCTGGGTGGAAGAAAAGATGAGAGTTTTAGTGCAGACGCTGCAGGAAGAGAAGGTAGAGCTGGAACGTGGCTTTCATGAGCAGCTGAAAATGATGGCTGAGGTGCATGCCCTGGAGAAGGAAGAACTCCAGCAAGAGCTGCTGAGGAAGCATGAGCAGGACCTGGAGGAGGAAAGGTAAGTGTCACTGCTGGTAGGGACAGTGGTGGCATACACTGACCTCAGTGGCTTGGCATGGTGACCATGAACCTAGTGCAGAATTGACTCCTGATGTTTAATTGAAGTACAAACTGTACAATGCTGTTATGTGTTTTATTCCACAACACTGGGGAACTGTCAAGGGGTTGTTTTTCTTCTGGCCTTTCTTAAGCAGGTATTTCATATTGATTTTTTAACTCACACAGATGCAACAATAGTTTTAAAACATAACCAGACATTAGTGACTTGAGTCTCTGCTCAGGATCTCTGTGCTTTACAAATCCCTGCTTTGTACTTGTAAAGCATTTGGGTTTTCAGACTTCTTTTCTGAAGAGGTAACAGGTTGGATGATAAATGCTTTTAGCTAAGATCAACTGTTAAAAGAAACTGAAACCCTCCAGAGATGACAGGGAGTGATGGGGGTAAGAACATCTGTGCCTACAAATCTTATCACAAGAATCGAAGGGCATATATTGTACACCAAAGCTTTCCTGAGGATATTTCATGAGTTACACTTTTCCAAGGCAATTAGGTTTTTATTTTTGAAAGGTTCAACAACTTGCCTCAAATTTAACTTTGGCTCTCAGAAACACCCATCACGTAGTACTTCATCTAAAACTCAGGGAAAAAGTGGGGGTTTTTGTCAGCTTGTTTTATTCAACCTAAAAAGCCATTTGAATCTGTTTGAGTTAGCCCAGAGTTTAGTAATATCTTATGCTAACCATGTTTAGGAAAAAAATGGGAAGTGACTGTAACAGGAGAGCATCTCATGTGGAAACTCCGTTTTCTGCCAGCACACAAACACTTGTGAATAAATACGAAGAAACAATCCAAAATCTGGAAGGACATTACCAGCGAGAGCTGCGTGAACTTGCTGAACAGCAAAGAGAGGCGAAATCTCAGTGGGAGTTTGAAAAGGATGAAATTGCTCAGAAGGCTGCTGAAGCCCACGAGCAACTGAAGGAAAGTCTGGCAAATGAAAAGGCCATTTCTTCTGCCCTCACCCAGGAGAAAGATCTCCTGGAGAAAATCTTCAAGGAAGAAGTGAACAAGCTTGTGTGCGAGAGGGAGCAGCTTCAGAAGGAGCTGTGGGATCTGAGGAGTGCTGCTGAGAAGCAAGAGAAAAGGCTGAATGATGAAATAACACAACTCCAAAATGACCATGAGAAAGAGCTAAAGAGCAAAGAGGAGCATATATCTGTGGTGGAGGAAAATGGGAAGCTGTTTAGGCAAAAGCTGGAGAGACTTCACAGTGAATATAAGCAAGAGAAAGAAGACCTCAATTCCAAACTTCTTGCTTTGGAGAGTTTAAACCAGGACATTTGTGTAAGAGCAGAAACAGAAAAGGCCAAGATGAATTTAGAAATCTTAAACCTTCAAGGGAGAATACAGAAATTGCAGTGTGAGACCCATTGTTTTTCTGCACTACAAAATCGTTATAGGGTCCTGGAAAATGAGTATACAAACGCAAAGAGCAGAATTGCTGCTTTTAGTGGTATAGCACCTCTGGGAGATGATGTGGATGTCCTCTTAAATCTGCAGAAAGTGCATGAACAAGCAGTGAAGGAAAATGTCAGAATGGCTGCTGAGATAGTCAGGCTGCAGCACAAATTGCAAGCAGCAGAGCAGGAGATGGTGCAGCCTCCCAGTCCTGGCTGCTCCTACTCCAGCTCAGAACAATCTCAGCTGCCAGATGAAATGGATCCCATCTTTCAAGAGTTGCCCAGTGACTGTAACAGTGCAGACAAGGGAACAGATTTGAATGTCCATTCACCTTTGGAGGCTGATTCTACAGACCTGGAAGAAATGACTGAGATGGATTCAGAATTGGAGAAACCATGTGTTAAAGCCAGAGCAGGCAGCCATGCCTTCAAGGTGCAGGTGTGTCAAATGCAAGGAAGGAAAGCAGCACTGGAAGCTGCTCTGGTTAACGCAAATGACATGCATCTCCACAGAGAGAGAGAGGAGAGGCAGACAGTGGAGCACAGCTTACAAAGCACATGCACTGAGCTGCAGCAAAAAGTTGATCTTTTGAGGTAACGTACACTTGCAAAACTTCGTGGGAAATGTGCTGCTTAGAAACTAACCTAGCATCCCACTTGTTGCTTTGTAGCCACCTGCTTGCTGTATGGCTGCTGCATTAACCACTGTAGTTTAACTCTGATTAGAGATCAGTGCCTTGGACTTGTAACTACTAGCAAGCAGGCTGTTTAATCGTGGATAACGACAGTTGAAATGTGTGACTTACTCCTCTCTGACCGTGACCTAACATGAACGGTAAAACAGGAGCAACCTGCCAGCTGTGTTGTCTGTGGATGTAGTCACCTTTTCAGTGTGTAGTTTATGGTACATCAGAAACCCCTGTATTTTTATGTACAACATACTATGGTAACACTTCCAGAATGCTTTTATCTTTTACTAATATCACTTCTTCACTCAGTTTGCACCCTCCTAGTACTCAGTTACTTGGAATGCTGAAAATGCTTCTGTTTTTTCCAATATTTAAGTTAATACTCAAGAGATATGGTAACTTTTTCCCCAGCAGGTGCACTTAGTGTTAGGAATCCATCAGGTATGTAATATGGTAAATACAATTATAACACAGAGAATATAATAGGTTTTACCTACTTGTTTATAACTGCTCTATTATTTTGGGGGGGTTTTTTTTGAGGCCATGTCATATTTTAAACATTATTCTCAGACTAATTTGTAACCCAGCACTATACCAACTACTAGAGAGAAAGTTAACTCTATCCCAGCTGAAACCAGGATGCCATCCACTCCCTATTTCATACCATTCACATCATGACACTTCCCACACTTCCCACCATCACCTTTACCATCTTTAGATGTATAAGTGTATATATATACACACAGAGATCATTCCCTTAGTCTGTGGGCCATCCCTACAAAAGTGGAGTTCCATGATCTGGGACTCCATCTGTCATAACAGTTTCTCTAGGCAGAAAGGATGGATGGTGTCTGTGTTGGATTGTTGCACGCTGAAGCTCATTTTAGTTCCATCAGTGCTGCACTGGTCCAATTTTATCAAAGTTCATTCTTCATTAATGGGGTGATCAAAAGGGAGTTAGGTTTAGATCCTCAAATCTGAAGCAGTGGAGATGGGTACCACAAGGTGTCCAGCACAGTGATGGATTGCTGCAGTAAAAGCACTAATATTTAATGTTATTCAGCATCATACAGTTTAAGTAATTGGCTATTTTAACCCAGAATCAAATCTTTTTGAGGTACACACCGGACTTCCCCATCCTCTGCATTACCATTCAAGTACACCCACATCCTTGAGCAAAAGTGATCCCATGAGTGGGTTTGCCTTTGGCTGAGGCAGGAATAACCCAGACTGTCTTCCCCAGCAAATTCTTTATGTGCACCACAGGAACTTTACCCCCTTCTATGGTATGTAGGAGTTTTGACTGGGCTTGGCCAGCCCGGCTGGCAGATCTTAGTAACTAACCACGTGACCTTTGCTAAATGTGTATTCCAGTGTTCGAAAGTTTGGGATGGGATGACATCCATGCAGCCATTTTATTTCCAAAAATTGGATCTCCAATGCAGGTCCCTTGATCTTACTCTGTTTTAAGGCAAACCAGCTTTCAGAAGGACCTGGATTATTTTCTTTCTCAGTGTATTGAAGGTGTTCCAGAGCTTGCCCCTGTTCCAGTTCCCTCAGGTACTGGATGCCCCTCTCTATTGCCTACATCTTCCTTGAAGGGATACCTTTCCTTCACAGCTGATAGGAGTCACTTCCAGAGGCTGAGGGATTGTATCCCTTTTCAAATTGACTTGTCAACACCTGCTTCCCTATAAAGTGACTCCAGCTGCTTGGATTCTCTACCCTCGAAGACCAGGCTACTCCTGGACTCTCCATTGTCCCAGCATTGTAGCAGCCAGGTGATAATGTGCTCCCATGGACAATGGCTGGAATCTTTTAGTATCTCCTGCAGCTCACTTGGAGACAGGGACCGAGAGTTTACCTCTGGTTCTACCACTTCCTCTGTTTCTTGTGAAAGCCCTGTTTGTCCTGTTTCACTACTCAAGGTGGCTTCCATGTCCCTTTCTTTTTCTGTACAGGAGTGACTGATAGGGGCATGGATTGGTTCTTTGGTTCAGATGCAGTGTCTTTCAGTGGGATTGGAGTGGCTGCAGCATCTGATGTCAGAGTTAGAGTGGAGTAGCTGCAGTGCTCATCACGGGGTTGGAGTAGCTGCTGTGCTCGTTGTCGGGGTTGGAGTAGCTGTGGTGTCTGTTGCTTTGCCATCAGATCCAGAGACCTTCTTTTCCTCTTGAAGGTACTAGATAGTGTTGAGCAGGGCTCTGTAGGCATGGGCCAGGTCCCAGCACGTTGCAGTTATTTGTATCTCTCTGGTATTGCCGGATGACAGTGTACTTTTCTAAAGGTTTTACTAGTTTTTCTTCAGATTTTGCATTTGCTAAGGGGTGAAGCTCCAAAGCACTGGAGGGGCTCACAGACCTAGATACTCACCCATACTATCTCACACACCCTGCCACTCATAACTGTTCAGCCTTGAGGAAGATCTCTTGGCACTATTCTTAAATAGTTGTTTAACCTTAAACAAGACTTGAACCATAAGCAGTATGCTGGTTCCCAGCAAAAAGGCCAGGTTGGTTTCAAGGATATTCAAAATACCCAAGGGATATTCAAAACCTTTGAAATTCTCAAATGCTACTCAAATAGGCTGGTGGGGAAGGTGTGGAAGTTCTCCTCCATAGGTTGGCCCTCCAAGAAGAAAAGGCAAGCAGTATAATTATTAATAGTTCCCATTAGATAGCTTCCAAAGTATAGAGGTGATGGCAATGCTGAGTACATATGCAATTAGCTTCATGACCAGCAATAATATCATGTTACAAGGCATTATTAAGAAATGCTACAAAACCAAGAACCTCAGCCCAGGCACTGTGGATGATAAACATCACTGCAGGGAGCACATACTGCAAGGGTTACATAGTGCAACTCTGAGAGCAAATAAATCAACATTGTGATCTGTGACTATTAAACCAATGCAGCAAATGTTTATAATGAATTTATTTTGACAGGCTCTGGTCAGATCTGTTGTTATCTCAAACCTTTGTGCCCCATGTTGGGCATCAGAAAGGACCCAGCCAGTAACCCAGCACCACACAGCCCCTTGCTCACCCCTCCCTCTGCCTTTCCCCACCGGGTGGGATGGGGAGGAGAATTGTGAGTTAAGAGCAGTTTAATAACTAAAGTACAGTATTATACTACTAATAATTATAAGGGAAATAACAAGGGGAGAGAAGATAGAACTAAAAGGGGAAAAAAATAAAAACAAACTAAAAACCAACCAACAAACAGCAGTGATGCCCAATACAATTGCTCAGCACCCACTGACCAATAACTCAGCCTGACCTGAGCAGCAATCGGTCCTTTCTGGGTAACTCTCCCCCAATTTATATCCTGGGTATGACATGCTGTGGTATGGAAATACCCCTTTGGCTAGTTTGGGTCAGGTGTCCTATCTCTGCTCCCTCCTAGCTTGTACCCCTCCTCACTAGGAGAGCATGAGAGACTGAGAAGTTCTTGATCAGGGTAGGTGCTATTGAGCAATAGTAAAACTTTGGTGTGTTATTCAGCATTGTTCTCAGACTGAAGCCAAAACACAGCACTGTGCTGGCTAATGGGAAGAAAATTAACTCTATCCCAGCCAAAACCAGGACAGGAAAGTAGCTGCAAGTAGCTTAATTATTGTTCAGCACCGGCCTCCTGCAAGAAATTGCTCTTTCAGGTATTACACCATGGCTAAGTTACTTCCTTATAGTTGCCTCGGGACAGAAAAGGCATTTTCCAGTGCTGCTGTTCCCAGCATACTAGACTCCTGAAACATTTCTCTCCTAGCAATCTGCATATTGTGGTGTTAAGTTGCTTAAAGTTATGTTATTTGTAACTTAAGGGCTGAAAGGTATATTACAATATTAGTGTGAAACTTTTATTAGGTATCTTAGAGTTTAACCAACTTCAGCTGTACAAAAACATGCACAAAAAGCCTCTTTTCAGTGATCTGGGGAGCCCTCTTACTAAATGAAACGTAAAATCCATATACTGTTCATACGTAAGTCAATTGTAGCTTTTGCCTGAAATAGTACAGGTAGCTTAGGCTTTTGGTAAATCTTGTCTCTGTGGGTCTAGATGATATACAGAACCAGTTTTCACTTGTCTCGTTTCTCTGTCACAGATTTGAAGCTGAGAAGCTCAGAGAAGAAAATATTATTCTGAAAAATGAAGTGACTTTATTGAATGAGGAGGGTAGTGCTTCCAGCCTGAAACTGAGGGAGCTAAATGGGTCCCAAGAAGAAATGCGGTAAGAATTCAATGGGGCATGTACTGCATATATGCCTTTGGGCTCTTACTGCAGTGCGAACGTGCTGGTTACATCCCTTCTTTCAAAGCTCCTACATGTGTTGGATATACTGTGAAATCTGAAATGGCCTTATTTTCTGCAGTTAATCTGGCTTCTGTTAATAAGCCTTCATTTTTCTTAGGCAAAAGATAGAAGCTGTGAGAAAGGAGAAAGTGGCTGTACAGAAGATGGTTGACAACCTGAAAAAGCAGGTATACGGGCTGAGCCCATAACCTTCTCTGTAGAAATCATCGCTGTAGAAAAGCTGTTCCTTACACGGTCACAAAGGCAGTAGAAATTACCATTGTATATATTTAAACTCTGATAATTGTTCTTATTAACAATGTGGGATTAATGTGAGGCTTGTTTGACCTGATCAGGAAACTGCAATGCTACTGTAACTACCCATCTTACAGCCTTGAGAGCACTTTCCATGGTCAACTTGGAAAGTTTATTTAATAGAAATATAAAGTTAAAATATTTCTTTTGTAGTTACCATGAGTAATGCTCTGCAGTAGCCCATGGGAAGAGAGAGGTTATGTGACTCAGCCTCTACTTATTTCCCAGCTATCTGGGTCTAGGAATGCTGCCAGCCATGACCCTTTGTTCGTATCCATGAGACTGCTACTTTTATTTTAAGGTTGGTTTGTTATGCTAGGCAAAGTAGAAAGTTTAAGTAGTTCTTACATTCACTCCCCTTTTAGTATTGCTTAGTAAAATTCTGCTTGCTCAGAATAATCTCCTAGCTCACCAGCACAACCCTCAGAATATACATCACATGACAAAGAGAAGGAAGAACAGAGTGGTGAGCCAGATGACTGCTGTTATAATTGATATAATTGAGGCCAGTTATGAGAAATCCTGTTTGCAAGGCTGATCATGCATGCAGCAGGTCATCAGGAGGACTCCTACTCCTAAATATGATTCTACTTGATTTGGCCTAAAATTAGAGCATGAAGCAAGTTAAAGAGCTGTAGGGAAATAAAGCAAGCAGTACTACTGGACTCATGACTGTTACATAGAGTAAAGGTAACAGCTCCGCACCACTGTTCAGAGTCATTCAGTTTACTCCCCAGTGTAAAAGCAAATGTAAATGACTGCTTTCCTGATTCAGGTAGTAGATCTGAAGACCAGAAACCAGCAGCTGGACTCTGAAAATACAGAACTCAGCCAGAGGAACTCCAAAAATCAAGCAGATGTGCAGGATCTTAATCAACAACTGGCAAGGGTGCTCAAGCAAAAGGAAAGAGAATCAGGAAAGTGTACCCTGGAAGAATGGGAAAAGGAAAGACTGGTGCTAAAAGAGGAACTGCAAAACTCCAAAATAAAGGTAGAGGATTCCGCTATCTCTAACAGTATGAAATAATTGAACTTCTAGGAGCGTGCAGGTGCCATGGAGTTAGCATCCCATTCCTGAGCTGTGTTGTGCTCTTTCAAAACTGAACTTCCAAATACTAGCTGCAGACTTGCATGTGGGGGGTGGAAGGAAAGTCTGGCAGCAACCAACAGCAGGAAGGTAGAAGTGTTCAGGTTTGCCTTGAAAATGTGGCTTAGTGATACTAAAGATTTACCTGCATTTCCCAGCATCTGTTCTATGCAGTACAGTGCCATCCCAGCTCCAAGCATGTCACTGGCTGCAGCATCCTCTGGGTAATCTTTGTTACTCTGCATGTCTTCTGTGTTGAAACCTGAGCCTTTTACTTTTTGCAGTCATCAAATATGGTGTCTTCCTTGGAGACAGAGCTGTCAAAAATGAAGGTTCAAGCTCACATGCTGGAGCAGGAGAACCACATTCTCAAGCAGGAACTTGAGAAGACAAAACAGGTATGGAAGCTCATTTGAGTGCTGTGAGAGAATGCCGGCTGCCTCTTAAACATGTCCTGCTCTCTTGTCAGAGTTGGAAAGAGTTATTTCTCTAAAGAAGTTATAACAGCAGGGCAATATAAATCCTCTTGGAACAGTCTCTGGGTACAATGCATAGTTGTTCAGATAAGGTTGGTTTCACTTAGCCCTTGCCCGAATGTCTTCCAGAGTAGTGGACCTACAAAGGCAGGCTTTGATAATGAAGGCAAAGACTTAAAGCTCTAATCAAGGAATAGATAGGGCTTTTCTAGTTTATGCAGATGGGATAGAACCGCATATTATATAGTCACAGAACGGTTTGGGTTGTAGGAAACCTTAAAAAACCATCTAGTTCCAAGCCCTCTGCCACAGTCAGGGACACCTTTCACTAGACCTGGTTGCTCAAAGCCCCATCTAACCTGGTCCTGTGTAGCTCAGTTTAAGGACTGGTCTCTGCCAGCACATCATTTCAGAGCGAATTCCTATTGTTAAACCCATCTGGAGACTTCAACATCTCATAGCTCCTGAGGATAATTTCCTGGAGAGCCTGGTTATCACCTGTCTAAGCACGGTTCAATTGGCTGTAAATATATGCTAATAAACACAGATAATGAAGGCTACAAATGAGTTAGCTCTCTTGATTAGGGCTTCATAAAGTAATTCTCTTTACAGTGTAAAGTACTCATTTGATGTATCCAATGCTTAGAATAGATAATGGTCTTAAAAAGCAAAAGCAGATGAGACCTATTCAGTAGAGAGTGGATTGTGGCTTGGGTGTAATTAAAGACAGAAGATTGAGTGGGCAAAAACAGAACAGCATAGGAGAAAGCAGAGTGTTCACATAATCACAAAATAGTTAGGGTTGGTAAGGACCTTAAGATCATCTAGTTCCAAACCCCCTTCCACGGGCAGGGACGCCTCACAGCAGACCGTGTTGCCCAAGGCTCTGTCCCACCTGGTCTTGAACACTGCTAGGGATGGAGCGTTTACTTCTCTGGGCACCCTGTTCTAGTGCCTCACAACCTGCACAGTAAAGAACTTCTTCCTTATATCTCTCTGAACTTACTCTCTTTAAGTTAAAACCCAATACCCCTTGTAGTATTGCTACAGTCCCTGATGAAGAGTCCCTCTCCAGCATTATTTTAGGCCCCCTTTAGATACTGGAAGTCAACAGTAAAGTTTGAAGGGATTTTTTCCCCTTTCATAGAAGAGGCAGAGAAGAACCAGCCCTAATGCAAATCCCAGGAATCACAGGGCAATTAGGAATCCTTAGCACTGCTGTTGCAGAAAGGATCCCTGGATCATATGAAGTATACTCATATGGTCATTTGTACTGAATTGGAGTACACTTCCCTCTTCCACTCTATGCAGAGTGGGACGCTTGGCCTTGAAGAGAAGACGGTGTAACACTTGCATGCAAAATCTGAAACAGCACAGAAATGTAAGCGAGGGGTTTGTTTTCTACAGCTGCCCAGATGTCCTGATCTCTCTGACCTTCAGAATGAAGTTGCGAGCTTAGTTTCTAAAAACGAAAAGCTGCAGAAAGAAAAGGAAGCCCTGAGTGAGGAATTAAACAGATGCATTGATAAGGTAAGAAAGAACTGCAAATTCGTATCACTGCTATGTGCTGTGATGAGCTGTTAAAATTCTTGTATCATTATCTGTCACCCTAATCTGTAAAACTGCTTTGGATTGTTTTCTTTTTTATTTCCCTTCAAGCCAGATAAAGGCTTAATTGCCACTGCCTTGTTTTGTTTGGTGGGTTTCCCCCCTAGCTGGTCTTAAAGAAAAAGCTTCAATTTTGGAGTGCAGCTTTACTGTAATTTGATTACACAGAAAATTCCAGACATTGCAAGGGACACAGGCCTGGCTATACACATTGCAGCAGTACAAGGAAGACAGTGTTCTTGCACTTGTATTGCAACTTTTACATCTTGTAACTCTGAGCTCGAGCAGTGTAGCTAGTATGCACACTGTAAATAATGATCCTGTTGTGTGGAGATTCAGGGCTGGGAGCTGGGGAGGGGATGGTCTGCTCTCATGCATTTTCTTTGCATAGCTGTAAGGCTCTCTAGCTTATCTCTCAAAGTCAAATTGAGTTAAAGCAAACCCTGAATGACTCAGGCTTACCAGTGTAATCTTATTTCAGGTGGCTAAAGCAAGCTGCTTAGAGAATGAAGTTGGCAGCTTGAAGCAGGAACAGAAGTCCTGGGAACAGCAGAGTCAGACACTGAAAATGCAACTCACAGTTTCACAAGAAAAGGTATAAAGGTGTTGTGAAAGATGAGTGGTTTGGGGTCTCTCAGACCATCAAAGGTATTAGCAAGAACAATTTTAACATGGTTTATAAAGGCACGACTTAGAAGAATTTGGTAGCAAGATTCACTCTATTACTTACTACATGGATGAAGCATACAGAGGAAAACAGAGGTAAAATCGATCTAAAGATGATTGATACAGAGACTGAAGGCACAAAGGATAAGGGAGACTCTCCTGTTGAGTCATGAGGTTCAGATTGGACCCCCTTGCTTTCTAAACAGCTAAAAGAGCCTAGGCACATTTTAGTCTCAGAGTTTGTCAGTGGTATTTATCTAAAGGGTTCCAAGTGTCATTAAGCAGCAGGTTGTAGTTTTAAAGTGAATCACACTTGATTATTAAAGCTAATACACACTTGTAATCAAATACCTGAACCGACACACATGCACACACGCATAATATATATATGTACATACATATGCATGTAAAGATATACATATATATATAAAGGATCCTGTTAAAAAATTCTCTCAGATGCAGTGAAAATACTCACATAGGCTTTCTCAGCATTCCTCAAGTGGTGAAGGGTTGAGTATCAGTGAGCAGAAATAATGGCCCAGGTAAATGGTTCTCCTATTTTGTAAACTTGAGAGTTTACAGACTCTGAGAGGTGTTCCAGTCAGAGGGAGATACCTTGCTGCAGTCCACTGTGGTCCAGGAGAGCTCAAAGGGTCTCTCTTAGGATCTTGGCTTTAGTCATCAGTGAATTTCCACCCTGGCCTCAGTTCTATGTCAGTGTCACCAGTCACACAACAGTTATGTTTTAGGTTGTCAGGGAATGACTGATCATCCCAAAAGAGCTCCTGGTATGACTGGGGAATGCCCAACCATCCACATTTGTGTGCTGCTCCCTACCTTTGCTATGCAACCAGAGTTGTTGGTAATGTCAAGGAGTGCCCAGCTGCCCAACTCTACATCTGTGCAAAGGCTGAATTCCTGGGGAAGCGGAGAGGTCCAGGAGGCAGGGAAGGGGTGGCTTGCATCACCACAAATAGTGATTTTTATTATAGCCCCAGATCAAAAGCATTTTTATAATCTCTTGTACTGTTTTTTTTTTTTATTTATTTAAAAGCAGCCGTCTTCTAATGTGTACAAAGATGTCATGCAGCTAGGAATGGCTGCTTCGATGGGCTTTCAAAGTGATGTTCTTAAAGGGCAAGAGGAACCCTGTTAAATGCAGTGAGGGATTTTTTTCCCCCAGAATAAGCTATGTTGTTTTGCATCTACGGCCAAGTTACTTTTGCTAGTTCATTCTGCTCAGTTATACCTGAAATACTGCAGAGGTTCTACTGTTGCCGTCTTCTTTTCTGGCAGTGGCTCATCTCTCTCCAGGCAGGGAAGGGGAGCGAATGGCTATCTGCTTGGCCGACAACACTTGGGTTTTCTTGTTGGCCAGGGGCTGCCAGGAAGAATAAATAATTCAAGAGAAATATTCACTTCCCAGCACATCACTGTAAATATTCAGGGAACAAGAATGTGTCTCTGAATGCAGTGTTGTGGCTGAATTCAAAGTGGATCGCTACTGATTGGGAACAGAAAGTTAAAATCATTTGGCATTTTTAAAGAGGGCTGTCAGCATTGTAACTTCTTCGTTCCTTTTCTTCTCTCCTTCTATCAGAGACCCTAAATGTGTGTGGTATGTGGTGCATACACGTCGAAGCAGACCAAGGTTACAAGAAATGTTGGTCCAGCAAATGCCAAGCTGTTTTCTTGCTCGTTACAGGTTCAGAGTCTAGATGAAACACTGCAAAATACAAACCTTCAAATGTCCCGACTAAAATCAGACTTACGGGTGATGCAACAGGAGAAGGAAACTCTTAAACAAGAAGTGATGTCTTTACACAAGCAACTGCAAAATGCAAATGAAAAGGTAACAGACTTCAGGTGCCTCAAAGTCAGTCAACTTTGCATGTCAGAATTACAGACACTGGCTGCTGCTTTTCTGTAGCTGCCTTCTTTACAATGGCTCACCCACTAAAAGAACACATAGTGCTGCAGGCTTGAGCAAGTAGACTGAGTTGTGCAACTATTGATTTCTTATTATTATTTCTAAACAAGTGATGTAAAGCTAATAATTAACAAAAAAACCTGAAAGGCAGTGGGTACAAAAAAGCCTTATTTTAATGTTGGCTTCTGTATTTTGTAGTTTTCTATTTTAAAATGGCTAATTATAATTATGTTATTATATTGGCTATAGTTATAGGTAACTATAATTAGTCTTGTTTGATTGTATATAATGTGCAGATTTTAAACTTATTTTTAGAAAACTTACTGTAAGTTTTGAACATAAGGACAGGGGATAGTCAGTGCGTCTCCTGAGGCTGCGAATCTGTGGACAATGTATAAATTTACACCTATCAAAGCTATAATCATTGACAGTCAAACCAGTAATTGACAGGGGGGTTCTTATTTAAGTCACACTTGGTTTTGAAAGGCATGGTATTATATCAGCCTCAACTGATGAGGAACTGTAACTGAAGGAGGGTGTAGACAGCGGTGTTGGGATTGGTATTATAAATTCAGTTAGTACTTTGGCTTGTTTGCCATGTAATTAAGGAATATTTAATGTCCCCTTGGAAAAGAGGCTGTTTCACAATTGTACAACAGGAACTAAATTACAGCTATTACTGAATAATATATAATACTGAGTTCTATTATGTGCTTGATAAGGCTGTGAAACGGAACAAAATTGCTGTTTTGTAGTGTTAAACTCTGTGCACTCCTATCAGCTATTCTGATGCAGCACTATTAGCTATGATTTTAGCAATGGGAAGCACTTCGGGTTTGCAGTGCGATTAGGGTGTTGGGTTTCTTAGTGGAAAATGGTGTGTAGGCTGGGAGGAAGACTGGAATCCTGTGACTTTAGAGTCTGCAGTTACTGAAAGCCTACTTAAAAACTCACCTGAATAGAGAAAATGTCTGCTTCTTTGTTCAAGGCCTAACCCTGCAATTCTGTCTGTCTTAAGAATCGGGTTCTAGAACTGGCTGTGCCTTCCTCAGGGCTGCAGGACCAACAGCAGCAAATACACTGGGATGAGCTGGACCAGCTGACGAAACAGGAGCAGCAGCTGCTCAGGCAGGAGAATGAGAGGCTGCAGAGAGAAGTGCAGAGTGCTAAAACTGACCTGACTCACTCCAGGGAGAAGGTAACCAGAGCAAGCTGACAGATCACAGAGGCAGTCTTTAGTGATTCTTGTTCAGCAGTGGGTTATAAAGGAAGGGAATGTTGTTCATTAGCTTTGAATAGAAACGTTTGCGGAAAGAATGTGTAATGGAGTAGAGTTTCTTTATATCTGCACCTAATTAGCAGACACGCTTATGATGGTCTTAAACAGCTCTTCATTTAAAAGAAAATCCTGATAACTCCTAAGTTTCTGATCTGACTTCCATTTAACACACTTCAATTTTTTTCTTTATAAAAAAAAATAAAATAAAATCTTGATATTCCTGGCACTCCTTGTGCATTTCTTGGCTCACAGTATTAGGCAGATTATGGGGAGGAGGAAGGGAAATAAGGATGAGATGGTCAAAGCTAAAATGTCAAAAAATCTGTAACGAGTTTGAAGTCCATTGGTACTCAGTATTTTAGATGAAGCAGATGCGATTTGATTTTTTTTTTTAATGGTCTGGAATATCTGTCAACATCCGTTCATCTCTGGTCTCTTTAGATCCGACAGTTGGAATCTACTATCCTTTCCCTCAAGCACCAAAAGCATCAAAGCCAGTTGGGCATCATCAAAGCCATAGAGCAAGAGAAATTAAGCTTGAAGAGAGAGTGTGAACAGCTTCAGAAGGAGTTGTCATCTGCAAACAGGAAGGTTAGTTTTAGAGGGCAAATACGTGACTCAATGCGGTACTTTCCATCTCTAAGAACTAATGTGGTAAGCAGTGAATTTTCTTCTTTTTCTCTGAGCTTTCAGCTTTCTGTCTCTTGTGAATCCCTGTCCCAAGGAGCTGATTGTCTTCTGTAGTTCTGCAGAGCATACAGCATGGAAGTCCTGCCAGGGTGCTGCATGCTTTCTAGTTGGTTCTAGCAGTTCAGTGGTGGAACATAAGAACTACAAACAAAATGTCACCTGTTCCAAGTGCTCAGCAATACATAGGGCTTACATTACCACTTCAAGATTAAACCCGGCTGATTCTTTACAACTTGTCAGAGGTGCTGCATAGCATTATCTTAGACATCACTTTCAGCAAAGCATTAGGCTTGTCTAAATACTTATGTCTTTTAATCCTGAATTGTCTTCATGTGCAATGATTTGTGACTTGCATATGGGGGGGGTGTGGGTGGATAAAATAAGGAACTAAGGAAACTTCTTGTCTTTAACAGATCAGTCAGATGAATTCTCTTGAACGTGAACTGGAAACCAGCTCAGAAAATGAAGGGCTAAGGAAAAAGCAGGTCAAACTGGATGATCAGTTAATGGAGGTACTTGTCAGTCAGTGCTGAATAGTGTGGGGCTTTGTCAGTATCTCCCTGAATCTATGAATTTATTTAAAAACAACTTTTAAATGTGTAGGAAAAGTGAAAACTTAAAGGAAACCAGAAGAATTAATCTCCCCCAATGCCTAATCTCATCTTCGTGATCAAGGTGTTAGTGTGGCAAACTGGCTTCTTTGAAGCATGTTGTGGTTTATCATAATTCATGTAAGCCTTCTGATGTCAAATCAAATAGCAAAGAAATTTATTGCTGTGCTTGAGGCACTTTCCTCTTCCTTCCTAAAACATGTCATCTCACTTTTCCTAACTAATATTTGTATAATGCTGCTCTTAATGTACAAACCTGTTCATACTAGAGGAATAATTTGCTGAATTTAAGCCTTGATACCCTATCTAGATCATGACAGGGCAGCAGTCTTGCCTAAACTTGAGGTCCTGAATTTGAGATTAAAACATAATATTTAAAGAAAAACCAAACATCGCAATTTTGACTTGTTCCATAAATCAAAGCATCTTCTAGTTGAGGACTTTGCAACACTTTATTAGGAGACTTCATGTTTTTCATCAAGAGAGCAAATGGGAAACATTATGCTGAATATAGTATGTAATTTGCTATAAAATTGCGAAAACTTTATTAGAAAAGATCCGATTTTTTTACAAGTTACTGAAAAGACTGTTTATGTGCCATCTGTTTTTGTTTATATGCTCTTAATTGAGCTTTGGGAAAACTCCAAACACTGTTAAACTCTTCAATATTAACACTAAGCATGGAATTATGTTTTCTCCTAAAATTTGTATTTCAAACATGCAGGACTTTTGTTACTCCTGATAACATTTTCCCAGCAGGTGTGTATAACACTTAGCACTTTATGACTTCTAACTTTCTCTTTTGTGCCTGTTCTCCTTCTGTTTGTGGCTAACCTGTCTAGAACTCAGTGGTTGGAACTAGCAGAGAAGGGTGCAGTTCTCTTTCTGAAATAGTGTGCGAAGGTAGAGCAATCATTTTCAATGTACTACCACAGCATGGAGATAACGTGTTTCTTTTATGGATTTTTTTTTTCTTCTGTGCATCTCTTAAGTAAAGAAGCCACTATTCATTTTTATAGAGTGTCAGAATGGTCTGGGTTGGAGGGGACCCTAAAGCTCATCCAGCTCCAACCCCCCCTGCTGTGGGCAGGGACACCTTCCACTAGATCAGGTTGCTCAAAGCCCCATCAACCAATTTCAGTGTAAAAGTTTTATTCTTTGTTGTTAGTATATATCATGCAAGTTGACTCTGTATGCCAAGAAGTTGCATACTTCTAAGGCATTGCCATGAAAATGGAAAGAAATGACCAACTGAATCCAAAAGAATTAAACTCAGCATAAGAAAATGAAAAGTGGCTCAACTCCTTCCTTTTAACCTGTTGACTGTGAGGCTTGAAGGTGTTTGCATATTTACTCTGATATCTGCATGCTTTTTCACCACTATCAAATGTTTCCTTAATTACTTATTAATTAATAACACTAAATGAGATGTGATTACACTTAGTGTCATCTCTAGTAGTTTAGCAAGTTTGTTACTGTTCTGTTTTCTTCCACAGAAGAATGCAGTAAGTCTATATTGTTTTCATTAGCCAAGCAAATGGTATTTATTTTTAAGAAGCGTTAACATTGACAGTTTTTTCAGCTGTTTCATTAGATACTCATGTACATCACAACCTTACAGGGAAATCCTAAACAAATCCCATCAAAACCTCTTTAATTTCACTGTTTATATTATCAGTAAAGAATAGCTCCTTTACAGACAAGTTGATTCAAGAGAATCTTCTCACAGCTTTAAAAAAAATACAAATAGTTTTATTTTAAGCTACTTTAACATATTTCCTGTCTACCTGGGCCAGCAGAGATGTAGAGAGGCAAACATGGCAAGAAGAGCTGTGCCATTATGAAAAATGCTTATTTACATTAGAGATGGCCTCAGTAACTGAAATATGTTAGGAAGTGACGCCTTAATTGTACCACTTGTGAAAGGAAAAAAAAAATTAGACATAATCCTATGTGCCTTTTCCTAAGGGAATAGAGTAATGGTTTTCAGGTAACAGGTGAGAATTTTATGAGGATGTCAACTGGGGACCTTTATGGAAAGAAAGTATTACTCTTATGCAAATTCAAGCTGCAAATCGGCTTGTCTGAAATGTCAGGAGTGTTTACTGTACAGTTCTGGTCTTTTATTAGTACTATTAACTCTTACAATGTGAGCTAGTCTTACCTGGATTTCCCCTTAGTCTAGAAAAATGCCGAATTGTTTCATGTGACTATCTTAGCTCTTAATATTCTCTGAGAGATCATCTAATGCTGGGACAGTTATCTAACTTGGTCTGTCGTGGTTGCAAAGCTACTATAGTAAGGCAATGTCAGAAATGCTTCTTCTCTAGCCACTTCGACCCAGTAACTGTCACAAGCACTGCTTGGCAGCAGCACTCACTGAAATGTGGGGAAGCTAAACTGTTTGGGTCAAGTCTGTTCTGAGCTGCAATCTTTGCTGTAGCAAGGACTATCAAGAGTGTGATCCTTTTGTCCCTGGTGACATGCCTAGTTTTACCAACAAAAACTTCTTTGGTACCGTAATTTTAACAACCACCATTACACACAAACTATCTGTTAGTGTCTGTTGCCTTTACATTAAACAGACTTGCTGATGCATTTTGTAAGCTTTTATTTTCTTACTTCAGATTGTTATGTGCATCCTTCTGTATCTCAGGGGCCCCTCTGAGTATACTTTTGCTTATGTAGCACATATAGTCAGGTCTCCAGACTCAGTATCAAACTCTGCTTGTGGTATGTCTCAAAATGAAAATTATAAAATATGTTAACATTACTACAGTCAGTAGTGAACATAAGGGAAAATATATGTGGGGTTCCAGATACTCAATTCTGAATACTATAGCAGCAGGCATCAAATTACTTAAGTCATCATACATGACACTGAAAATTCATTTTGCCTTTGAGAATGTTCTTTCTCCATTGTGGATTGAAGATGAGAAATACTCAGCAGTGGTGGACAGTCTCTTCAGCCTGCCTCGTGCTAGTGTTATTTGGAAGTGGATGCTATTCTTAGAAAAGCTGATGAGATCAAGGTTAAAATTAAAAAGCACTATTAAGTTAAAGCTCACCACAGGCACATTTAACTATGATAGGATTTTATCAGAAATTCAGTGAATTTTTAATTCAAATCTGAAATTCATAGCATCCTAGAATGGTTTAGGTTGGAAGGGACCTAAGATCACCCAGTTCAACCCCCCATGCAATGGGCAGGGACACCTTCCACTAGACTAGGTTGCTCAAAGCCCGTCCAACCTTGTCTTGAATGTTTCCAGGGATGAGGCAGCCACAGCTTCTCTGGGCACCCTGTGCCAGCGCCTCACCACCCTCATGGTAAAGAACTTCTTCCTAACATCTAATCAAAATCTACCCCCTTTCACTTTAAAGCCATTCCCCTTTGTCCTATCACTACATGCTCTTCTAAAAAGTCCTTCCACAGCTTTCTTGCAGGCCCCTTTAGGTACTGAAATTGTAAATCAAAGCTCAGATTCCTTTATATTTCAGAATTGCAGATAAAGATGCATTTTTTTGTCATTGGAAAGAGAAAAGCTGCCTCTTTAGCTTCTGAGTTCAGGCTTGTTTCTCTTTAATACAAGAAATTGTTCAAGAGTAAACCAGCATCGCCAAAAGGTATCTTGTATGTATGGCAGTGCTGCTTTCTCCTGATGGCTGATTTACTCTGCTCTTCAGATGCTCCACTCAAACACCAGTGTGATACTTAGCCACTCACCGCATTCCCGGGAGCTCCAGCAGCAAGGCTGTGCTATGGTGCCCAAGGAACAGTTCCTGCAGCTCCAACACCAGCTACTACAAGCAGAGAGGAGGAGTCAATGTCTTCAGGAAGAACTTGAAAACAGACCCTCTGAAACAAATATGCAACAGGTAAAGCTCTCATTACTCTACAGGTTACAACTTTAAAAGGGTATCTGCTTTGTTTCTGGGTTTTTTCAACTTCTGTTGAGATCCGTTCTCTGTTTATGCCAGTTCAAAAATTAAAATTCATTCTATCAAACATGTACAAAACAACCCTTTCTTATTTAGCACGTTCAGCTTAAGCCATAGCTTAATTCTAAAGTCCTTGTAATGTTTCTGAGCTAAAAAAACATTCCCATCCACACACAACTGGCTTTTCTCCTTATGATCAGTGTGCAGTAAGTGTTTGTAGGTTGGGGTTTTTTGTTTTCTTTACCTTATGTTGATGTCTGGAAACATTGTTTTAAAAAATACATTACCTATTGCACAAGCACATACTCATCACATATACAATACTAGTTTGGGCTGTTGCTGTCACATGGAGTTCTGTCAGCTGTAGTAAAGCAGAATTCAAACAAATTAATCCTTGTTATAAGGTCATCTTATCTTCATTATTTGGCCATGAGAAAAGATGTTGTTTAGAGAGCACTGCTTTTCCTTAGAAATGCCAATGTTGAAGTTCCTGTATGATGGTAACAGTCTAATTCGAAGGGAGATTACATCCACTGCACATACTCAACAGAGTCACGTTTAGTAGTGTTTGTTGGGTTTAGCATGTAAAACTGAATTATAGGCAATAAGTAGAACAATTTGTCTCTCCCATATAAAAATTAAGTTTGGGACTAGGCTTACCAAATCATAGCATCACAGAATGGTTTGGGTTGGAAGGGACATTGAAGACCATCCAGTTCCAACTCCCTGCCACGGGCAGGGACACCTTCCACTAGACCAGGTTGCTCCAAGCCCTGTCCAAACTGGCCTTGAACAGTGCCTGAAATGGGGCAGCCACAGCTTCTCTGGGCACCCTGTGCCAGTGCCTCACCACCCTCACGGTGAAGAACTTCTTCCTTTTATCTAACCTGAATCTCCCTCTGTCAGTTTAAAACTGTTCCCTCTTGTCTAAATTTCTGTTTGGCTCAGGCCATAGGTCTTACACAGTATTACAACTTACGAGAAAAGATAAAGCTCTAAATAACTCTAGATAAAATACTAACACTTTTATTTATCTCTTAACAGGAAAAAAAATACCAAACAACAAACGAACTTTACATTCTAAACTCAGATATCAGTTACACTTTTTAAAAAAATAAGACCAAGTCTTTGAAGTCTAAAAATATCTGAATGTGTTTATAGGATATTCTGGAAAAAAAGGTATTATGGAGAGAGCATATATACAGTAGCAGTTTCTGTAGTTTCAAAAAATCAGAGTAAGAATTCTTTTTTTAAGAAAGGCATAAATTCAAAGTTCCCCCCCCCAAAAAAAAAAAATTGCTTAACAGCAACTAATATAGGATGAGTAAATCAATTGTAAGGTTCTCTGCCTTTCAGCTGAGTCCTAATAGAAGTGCATTACCACAGCTTAATGTGCTTGGTGCCAGACAGTGGCAAGTGAAGCCTGCCATTTAGTTTTGAAATCAATAAAAGCCATATTACATCAGCAGCATCTGTAAATGAATGTGCTGTGTATTGCATTAAGAGGGATAACTTTATCATTTTGCCTTTGAAAGCCTGAGAAACAGTTTGCAAACTGGTCACATCCTGGAACTTGCGGTTCTACAGATAAATCACTTCTACAGTTCCTGTAACAGCTTTTATTCTGGGAAGCTTCTTGAATTTAAAAATAGTTTCAGAGAGGCTTTGCAAATATTTGGTGCCAATGCACTAATTCAGTTAATCCATTTAATTTTTTCCTATCATGTTGGTTTTTTGTGTGGTTATATTGAATCAATATTCCAGTTTATAACATCTCCTACACCTTTTTTTTTATGGGCTTTACTAGATAACTTTGTAAAATCATTATTAAATATATGCATTCTACAACTATAAACAAGGCCAAATTTGTTTTAGTTTAGTCAAAGTGTCAACTTCGACATTTCTGTAAGCACATTTGCTTTAATTCTCACTGTTAATTTTTCTGCATTGTCCTGATGTTCAGCGTTAGCATCTAGTTGAGCACATGTCCATTTTAATGTCCCCTTTAGCATCTTGAAAAATTGCATCCTAATCTCTGTTCATCACCTTTTCACCAGTGAGTACAATATCAGGTTATGTCCATTCTGTCTGTGTAAATTTAGTCAGTTTTGCTACTACTGCTTTGCACTCTGCAGCTTTCTTAGATCCTGAGTAATAGGTATTTGGAGTCATCCCCTTCCACTTTGGAATTCTTGTGTTTATCATGCTTTGCAATTTTCGTTGCTTTTTTGATCATGGCTATGGTGATCTGTGTTTTTATCCATTTTGCAGTCAGTATTGAGCTATTGTCCTCCAAAACTACTGTCATAAGTTCAAATTTCACTAATTTAAAACTCCTGAGCCTCTTCTGCTGTGTATACCTGTGTGAACTCTTCTGAATTCCCAATGACTGTTTTTGCTCTGTCTAGTGCTGTGATTCTTGCATACTGAACAGTAACAACGCACTTGTTCTCATATTCCTTGCTCAACAACTAGATTTGGGAGCCTGTTAATGACCCAATCTTTCCTTAAGTCCTCTTAGAACATCTGCTAACCTATATTTTTGTCAAAGTACTTAGAGTTGCTCAACTTCCCCTTTCTTCAGCTCTATTTCAAAATTCAAATCACCTCTGACCAACTGCTTGTTCTCCTGCCTTAGGAAAAGGCTTACTACTAGGTTTAACTGCAAGTAAGCTTTCAAAGGTGGTCAGTTGGACTATACTTTTCAGAAATGTTATTTGGCAATTCGAGGTTTTATATATGCATGTATTGAGAGAGGCAGATGATTTCCTCTAAGAAACAACTACTAATTGCTGTTAATTAATGCCACTGATGGTTTTAAATCCCTCAAAAACATGGATGAGCCATCTGAAGAGTCCTTACATTTAGAAAATGCATCCTGAATATCTCCTCAATTGCATATGTGTAGTGCTAATACTAATAGAGAAATCTAATATGTAATACTCTGAATATTTTCTTGTGTGTGTGTTTTTGTCTTGTGTTGCTTGCTTTGCTTGTATTGGTGGTTTGCTTTAAGTATACATAAGTATTTAAAAGAAAATCTGGATATCAGGGTGAAGTATCCCACTTGCCTTCTTTCTCTAGGCCTTGCTACCGGAGCAGCGAGCAGTGCATGCAGATTCCTACCGGAGGATTGGGCACCTCTGACAGCTTGGCTGCTTATGATTTCATTCCTTACCATGATAAACACACACAAACACACGAACTGGCATAAGCTGAGAAACTTGAGGATCAAATTATTTTGTACTTTTTCTTTAAAAAAAAAAAGTCTCCACAGTGTTATTTATTTCTGTAGAAAGCTATTTTGTGCAAGTTTATAAGCTGTCTTTTTTAATTTGTTGCAAAGACTTTTTATTTATGTTATTTAAAATACGGGGTTGTTCAGTGTGGAAAGAGACTATTTTTTCTCAAATGGAACTAATTTTATATGAGATTTGAAGAAAACCTGAGGTGTTTATACTCCATTTTTGTATAAGATGTATAAACTTTTTAACAGGGAAAGATGACATTTTTGATGTAAATGAAAAATAAAATTGCTTTAAACATAATGTCTCTTGTCTTAATAGTATCAATAGTTTCAGCTTTGTGAACAAGATTTAACAAATTTTAGACACGGTATTTGTCTTTGATACCGAGGATTGTCATATCAGTATTTCTGGAAAAGATTTCTAATAGGAATGTACTTAAGTACAGATACTCAACTTCTCTATAGCAGATGTACCAGCACATGTAAGGAAAGAATTTGCATAGTACATGGGCATATTCTATTTATTGTAGCCATAAAGTAAACAGGCAGTGTGAGAAAGGGGAAAATTAACACACCAGTTTCTTGGACAACAATTTTTACTCTTTGTCTCAAATTACCAAATTAAACTAGATTTTTAATTCTTTAATAGGTTAGCAAAACACTTCCTTAAGGCCTGTGATTTTTTTCTAGATGGGAGCCATGAACCATTTCAGCTCTGTTCTCAAAGATCTTTTTGCTTCTAACTTTCTAATGACCTTAGAGCTAACACTGCAGCTGGCTTCTCTTGTTAAACATGAACTAATACAAAGTTAGAATGTTCTCAAATCAACTTTAGGGCAAAAAGAACCCCAGGTATCATGGGTGTTGAGACCACTATAAATTCTTAGTTTCCACTTAAATACTCACTCAAGGCTCTTGCAGCCCGTTGTCAGCTATGTTTTTGAATTCCAAACTATGAACGATAGCTCAAGATAACTTGGCTACTAAATCCCCTGCAATTTCTGCTTAGTAATAATTTTTTAATCCAGGAAAATATCCAGTCCAGCAACAGTGTAAAGCTGCTTTCTGTAGACTAACTTTTTTTCCGATTTTTCACAAGTTAAATAGTCATACAGCCCCTTATATAGATTTAAGGAATTTCTGGTGTTATAACAAATAAAATGTTGAGTGGACTTCAATCAGTCCCCTAAGAGGATCTTTCTACAGTAGTTTAGATGAGCAACTACCTACCTGAAACAATCTTCCCGCAGTTTTTCATTTATCTTCCCAGAAGTGTGAAGGTGCTTTGGTTTTGATGGTATGTCCTGTGGGGGAGGTTAGTGCTCTCTCAAAGTTAATCTTCTCAGGTGACTTCCTAGAATTAGAGTAACACGGTAGCTTTAAAATAAAAGACTCCCTTTCCTGGCTGTCAGTGTCTAAAATTCTCAGATACAACCAACCTTGCTTGTAGTTCCTGATGTTTCTGTTTTATTTGGGAAAAATCCATTCAAATGTTGGTGTAATGGGCACTCCAGTAAGTTGCTAGACTGTTACCTCGCTGAAGAAAAAGAAGAAAACCTTTTTAGAGTTCCTATTTGGTAAACACTGGTTATGAACAGCTAATCTTGTAAAAAAAAAAAAGTAAAAATAAGTTTGAGTAATAGCATCCTACTTTTTTAGGGTATTACTTCATTTCAAAGGGGCTTTGGTGTGGGAGAGTTGTACTGTCAGACTTGCCCTTATGACTTCACCTTAATTTTTTCTAAAATCATTAAGGTTTTGATTGGCATTTTGTTTCCCCCATTCAAAAGAAATATGGCAGCACCCAAGAACATAAAAAGGAAACTTCCAGATCTGACTATCACAGTAATGACAGAACTTAAATTTTATATCAGTTTCTCTTAGATCTGGTAATCTCAAGTGTAACTTAGAAAATTAGTTTAAGGCTGCAAGTGTTCTTTAAGTGTTGCCATAAAATAGTTTATTCATTTAGTCTACTCTCTAAAGTAGATTCAAATGGGGAGTGCCAGCTATTTTCTTAAGCATAAACTAGGGAAAAAAAGAAAAGAAAAATGAATGAGAACTGAGTTTTGTTAACTGATTCTCATGTAAATATTGCTTTACAGGGGGGTCATGAGCAGCTTCTAAAAATGATGGAAGAACGCATGATTGATGTTGAACAGAAATTAAGGCTTGTGAAGAGGCTTCTCCAAGATAAAGTAAATCAGCTGAAAGAACAAGTAGGTGTTCTTGCTCTCTTCCTCAGTTTGTCCCCATTACTTCTGTAAATAACAAGCTGCAAAGTCAGTCTTGCTTAGAATAGAATTAAAGTTGTTCTCCTTTTTATTTAAGGCTTCTGAGCTAAAGTACATCCTATTTGTCTAAAAATTCCTAAAACTCCAAATTGGGCTTACTTCTTCAGCACTGTTCTTTCTTTTAATTTATATTTATTTTCCTTTTAATTTGCTGAGTAATTCTGTTCTGTTCACAATTCAGCTTTCCAAGAACACTAAAGCAGATGCAATGGTCAAGGATCTCTATGTTGAGAATGCACAACTGCTGAAGGCTTTGGAGATGACAGAGCAGCGGCAGAGAACTGCTGAAAAGAAAAACTACTTACTAGAAGAAAAAATTGCCAGCCTCAATAGGATAGTAAAGAACTTGGCATCCCCATCATTTCATTCAGCAGCCGAGATAAGGTCATAGCAAAGACACGCAGTATGCCACGGTCCCATGCACTTTACTAAAATCATTTTTTAGCTTTTCACTGTGTTGCCTTTTTGTATTGGTGAATTTTAGTTAACGGGTATCTCCAAGGAGAGGACAGAGCTAAATCCCAAACCAGACACTGCCAAAACAGAATTTTTGTTTATTCCCAAACTGTTTTCCTGCTACGTTTTGTCTAAAAGTAATCTTTGCTATGTAAAAAGAACAATACATGGTTTTTTAGGTTAACTTATTTTGATACTTTTTTTTTATTTTAAATATAAATTATGAATTTACTGTACTGAATCAATTATTCATATCTAGATTGAAGCCAAGGTCTAATGCAAACTTGCATTACTGAATTCAAACCTTTAAAATACTGTTGGCCTTCTAGAATACTTCATGCTCCAAAACCAGTAATATTGATAGGTGAGTCTTCAACACTGTCAGTAGAACTGGTATTGAAAGCAAGACTTTCTTGATACGGTCTGCGTCCTGCAAACTGATTCTGGTTTCTGTAAAGCAATATGCTCCAGATGCATGGGGCTTCTGGGTTATTCCTCATGGCTGTTTCTCTGCAGAGCTCAGAGAAAAAAAAAAAGTTTTACTTAAAGTATGTAAATAGACTACTGCCTCCAAGTAAGTGTAACAGTGCTTCATCTGAAGAATTTTCCCAGCTGGCAACTGAAGACTGCTACTCTTTATCTGTTTTTTTTATGCTGTGCTGCCAGACAATGTACAAATTGTAGAGGCCTTAATTTTTTTTTTTGTGTGTGGAGATAAGTTACTAAGGAACAGAAGAGTCATTAAGCTGAAGATGGGAGTTTTGCTTACATAATTTATAAATTCAGTAAAGCAGCAGGACGAGTTTATTAAAGAACTGGAAGAAGAATGAAGAGGGGGATTTGAATCATTTCATCAGTGCAATCCCATCATTAGGCCTCACAGATGTGGACCTTTGCCATTAACGCAGTGTTTGTTTCAATCTGAGTAGTAATTTGGAAAGGCCTGTCTTTCGCATTAGGCCTTAGTATAGAATCTAAGTTTGTAATTACTTGTGAGGAAACATGTTCAATGTGACTATGAAGAACTCAGGGAATAACAGCCTAAGTTAGTTTCCTTCAACATTATAAATGTGGATATTAATGTGAGTGGATGAAGATAAATTTGCATTAGGAAAGGCAGGACAAAACAAACTGCACTTGGATGAGTATTACCTTAGTACTCCTAGGCAAACATGCAGAAGTTCTGTGGCTATGAAGGTAGCGGAGCATCAAGGTCCTGTTTGATTAGCCCATGATGCTGGGGAGTTGCAAGTTTTCTGGGAACACCTTCAAGACTGAGAGGGGTCTGAATTGGAAGCAGCTGAGTAAGAACTTGCATGCTCAAATGCCTGTATGTAACTTATTACTGCAAATAGTCTAGATGTCCTACAACTGCCTTGCCTCCATCAGACCAGTAAGACATTTAAACAATGTAAGTAAAACTAGTGAATGGGGCCATACCAGCAATGCTTCAAACAGGACCTCTTCATATACACGTGAATTGAGAATACAGAGGAGGAGAGCAGATAGTTTGTCTCCGAGACCACTAGTGAGGTGATGGTTCTGACTGCACTTGTAATGAGCCAAAAGTCCCCCAGAAATGGGGATAATACTGCCTACAAGCTCAGTACTGATCAGCACGTGGCTGTAAGGGATGCTCCCTATGTCCAAGTGGTTATTTACCAATTTTGGAGGGTTGAGGGACTGAACTAGACACACAGGCTGAGGACCTCCTGCTCCCTTCCTTCCTGCAGGGAATATAGTGGAAGTGGAAATACGATCACATAAGAAGAACACATTGGAGTATCAAAGTCTCTATAAATTACTTCACTGCTATGCTATTCTAAATGCTTTTAGTATGCTTTATTCCAAGTAATCTCAAATTCAGGGATTTATATATCCCACTTCTCAGAGGCTGCAAAAAGTTTTTCGCTGTGTGTCAGCAATACAGTAACTGAGCAAAATTTCAGAATACTTCCAGGAAACAATCTTAAGCAGGGTCAGATGATCAGCACTGTATTTTGGAAAATATTATTAGCTAGCACATTTTAACACTACTTCATATCTTGACCTAGGTAACCTTCTAACACTCAGTCTGTGACTGGTGTCTGAATGTCAGTGAGAAGGAACGGGTACTTCACTTAAGCTATTGTGGAATTAGTTTCACATTACTCAGTTTTAAAGGCTAGACTACTTAACTAATTCTTTTAATCTCCTGGTAGTTACCAGGCTTTTTTAAACCAAACATACAGACATTTCTAGAGCACAGTAGCAAAAAGGGAGCCGGGATGCTGGAACAGAGGGAGAAAAATGGAGTAAAGGGACTTTTGACTCCTCCCTTTCTCACCTAACTTGCTCTACTTTTCTTTCACTTAGCTTCTAAAAACTAATTAATCACAGGAGAGAGGAGGAGGAAAATGTTTGGTAAATATTTCTTAGGCAAAACATCAATTTCACTGGAACACTTGTGTGAATTAATCCTCAGAAGTGCCTTTTTTAATTACATATTCTAGAGCCTTTCTGTACTGTACTGGTTTTGTGGCTACAGGATAATTCAGGATAACCCCTTCCCAAAAGGAGGGAACACAGAGAAAAGTAGTGCTGCTTGCAAACAAGTGTCACGTTGCTTCTTGGTTCATTGTGTCAGCTCAGAGGATAAGCAGCTAGTTTATAAAGTCCACACTACTGAAAACAAGCATAGAAACACATAATTTATTAAGTATTAGTGGTATTTTGTGCATGAATGTGTATCCTATGCAGTACAGGCTTTTTAAAGATACTAAAGTATCTATTGGTATTGTTCCAGTTGAAAATCACTGAATTTCTAGGCCTCACTCATTACAACAGGTCTTGTCAATTAAGATACTAACTACCTTGTCACCAGAAGATGTTTTAAATGTTTTCAACTCTTGCTTTATGAATCACTGTGAAAATGAAGGCACATGGATATCTCGGGTTGGGAGTTTGGGAAGGGGAGAGACACCAAGTTAAGTTTATGTGTACTGAATTCACACAGTTAAGTGCTACTTGTCAATTTAGAATTATTTAAAAGGATACACTGTCACATGTTCTCTAATTACTACTTTAAATGTAAGGAAAATTGAGTTCTTTGAACCCTAATTGGAAAAAAAAAAAAGGGGGGGGGGAAGGATTCTACCATGTTTTAACTTAGCCAGATTACATGGAAGGTAGAGCATGGAACTGTTTGGCTCTATAAAGAGAAAGCATCCTTTTGTTTACTTTCAGGAAATGCTATCACTGTCTCTCAGGTTTTCCATCATTTACCTGTTAAGTCTCCTGTTTGGTGTCAGGTGCTGTCATTTCATGACAAATGACTTCTGTGTAAATGAGAACAATTGTATATTATTTTTTCTGTTGAGTTTTTTGTTCTGGTGTAATATATTGTCCTTGCAACATCAGATAAAACTGAAAGATGAACCAACTACACTATTTATAATGAATGTATTATATATAAATATATAAAAATACTGTATTATCCATATTTGTGTCATTTGTGTTTTGTCCAACATCAGAATACTTCAGCATCTTCCCATGGAAGTTTTAGGTAGTTCAAGCAGTGCCTGCAAATGTATAGACAAGGCTATAACAGGACAGTTTGGGAGCTACTTTTGGAGTAAGTAGTTTATTCTGTTATGAAAGTATGAAAATTGTAGAAAACTGAGAGGTAATGAACACGCCTCGTCTGTCCTCGCCTTCATATGGAAAATACCGAGAGTTTCTTGCTTTCCCATTTAACCTTCTAAATCTCACTTCTCGTCACTGGGGTGGGAGGCACGGCCGCTAGTCACGGAGCTCCGACTGGGCTCGAGCTTCCCACGGTGCCCCCTTCGCCCTCCCGGCCAGGCGAGGGTCCCCCAGCCCCGTTGCCTGCAGGGCGGTGGGGTCGGTGCCCCCCGTCCCCGGCGCCGCGCTCGAGGCGGGCCCTCAGGCGGCTCCTGTCCCTGCACCGCACCGGCGCAAGCGCCCTCCCGGCCGCGCGGGGGCGCTGTGGCGGCGCGCACTGGCTGCCCTCCTCTGCCCCGCGGCCTTCCCGGAGGGCGGAGGCTGCTGTCCCACAAGCCCCCGCGCGCCGCCCCGTTTCCCCCGTGTACGGTGTGTGCGCACCCCCGGCCCCCGGTGCGCAGCCATGAGGGCGCGGAGCCACCGCCGCCGTGCCTGAGGGGGCAGGGGCGGCAGGGCCCTGCTCCGCCCTGCCCTGCAGAGCGGGGAGCGGCGCCCGGCGCCGGGCATGCGGGCGGTGGTAGCGGGCCGGGAGGTGGGATGCTGTCGCGGAAGAAGACGCGAACGGAGCTCTCCAAACCGGGTGAGGTACAGGGCAAGTACGTGAAGAAGGAGACGAGCCCTCTGCTGCGCAGTGAGTGTCAGGGACCGGCTCGGCGGGCTGGGGGCCGGGCTGGGCGGACAGACCCGAGGACTTCGGCGGGGGCTGTGTCCTTTGTGTGTTGCGGCTGGTCCCAGAGGCTCTGGAGGCTCCCGGGGGGTGCCCTGTTGTGAGACCTGGAAAAGAAGCTGAATTTAAAAGGGAGCCCAACACATAGTGTATGTACGTGTTCATAGGTGTTCACGATAAACTTCAGTGGTTCGGAGCAGCAGTTGTTCAGTTTCAGCAGATGAGGGGTTGACAGTCTCCACACAGATACCGCTGAGGTGAATGGAACAGATCATAGAATCACAAAACAGTTTAGGTCGGAAGGGACCTTAAAGCTCATACAGTTCCACCCCCCCTGCTTGGACAGGATGCCTTCCACTAGGCCAGGTTGCTCAGAGCCCCATCCAACCTGGCCTTGACCATTTCTGTCTTTCCAGAAGTTAATGGTTGTTTTCCCAGTCTAGGCTGTGTGCACTGCCAAAAGGTGTGTGCTTTGAAAATGAGATAACTGTATGAGACAGTTGCATAAAATTCCTGTGGAAGCAAGTGCTCCAGTTCTTAAACCGTGAATCAGCTTGATGAGGTCACCGCTATGTACCTGGGACGCATTGCTGTTCTTGCGGTTAACCTGACATTAATGCCACAGTTCTCCTCGAACTATACAATACAAGTTATACTGTACAATACACGTTGAAAGCGCATTTAGATTTCTTTCTGTTGATCTTTGAAAAACAACCTGACACTGAAACATACTATGGTAGTATTGAAAGATTGGAGATCACTACCAGCAACAACTGATTTGCTGGCAGGAGCAGGTACTCTGCTTTTCTGGAAGTGGGCTGCATGAACAGCTGGTTCCTTACTCAACAGTCATAATCATTTAGTAGTCTGATTACATTGGCTTAATCCTTACAAAAAGCAAACAAACCAACAAACCCACATTTTTTTGCAGGCTGTGGGCGTGTGTAAGGGGTTAACACCTCTTAGACATTTAAGGTAGTTGTCATTATATAATGACCAGCTTTTATATGACTGCTTTGTAGTGATAGTTACAAATATATTGATGATGCCTTTTGGGATCTACTGATATTTACCCTGAGTTATAAGACTTTGAAATTTAAAGTATTTAATAATAAGCATAAGTTCCTTCTGAATGAAAGTTATCATTTGTATTAGCTCACCTGACAGGAAACTGCTTGTTTATATCACATTTAAAGTGGTAGTAGGGAGAACAGTAATGTATGCCTCAATAGAGAAACAGTGAGATTATATGAATGGGTGTCACTGTTGGTGTGTAAAACCTTTAGGTAAACAAGAAAATGAAATATCTTCATGATAATTTGAGAACATAATGTGTGAAGAATGACAGCATTTTACTGTCTGAATTTGGTGATTAGTGGAGAAAGTATAATCTGTTCTTGATTCTGTCATGAGTTCTGTGAGCATTTAGGAATTAACATCTTTAGTTCTGCTGAGTTCATAAGGACAATGGTCCTGATGAAGTGGTGGCCAGGACACATAGATTTTCTTGACCCATTTAGTAGTGAGGAATGAAGCCTGGTGTAGCCACAATACAGCATGAATAGCTTTTGGTTTTTTTGATGGGGTATGGTTTGGTTGGTTTGTTTATTGTAGATGCAGTTACAGTGGCAAAACTGCACTGTTTTGGCAGTAGTTTGTTGCTGGCAGAAGGTGTGATGATTTCTGTTGCACCACTACGAACTGCAGCATTACTGTTATGCTTGCATATGCATTACGGGTGCCTTAAAGGGGTACTAGCATTCAAGTCTCCTCATTTTCATGATGTAAGTCAGTATTGTGACTAGCCAGATACTTTACGTGTAAGTACAGTCAAAGTTCTTACTTCTTTTTCATGCTATATATCAGATCTGATGCCTTCATTTATCCGTCATGGTCCAACCATTCCAAGACGAACTGATATCTGTCCTCCTGACTCAACAACTTCTGCATATGCTTCTGGTGGAGATGGAATTGTTTCCAGAAATCAGAGTTTCCTTCGAACTCCAGTGCAGAGGCCGCCTCATGAAATAATGAGACGTGAAAGCAACAGATTATCTGCACCTTCCTATCTTGCAAGAAGTTTAGCTGATGTCCCCAGGGAATATGGCTCTTCCTCACAGTCCTTTTTAACAGAAGCTAATTCTGTTTTGGAAAATGGAGGTGCTGGTGCCCATTGTTACTATTATGACCATTTTTATGATGCCCAGAGGAGGCGTCATTTAAACGATCGAGTACATGAGGACTACAGGTATTATGAACACAACAGCGATCTCTTTCAGAGGATGTCACAGAATCATGGGAGGCACACTTCAGGTAAGTATTAATTGTTGCTTCTTTGAAAATATGTTTTTGTTAAGACTTTAAGTGCAGAGCTATATCTGCACGATTGGGATCATGTTTTTAGGACTTATTCTGTAGGATAGAGCTGCTTTTTAATTACATTTCTGGGATCCAAGTACAGTGTGTTCACATTTCTTGGACTTAAGAATTCGAGTGCACATATCCAGAAGGAAAAGTATACTTAAACCAGGATTTATTTATGAAATATATGGGCTAAGGTCAAGCAAGTTCTTCTTTTAATGCCAGGCACATATGCAGAACCTCTACACAAAGTTGAATCAGTTGCTAGCTAATAAGGGATTTTATTCATTAGGGGATATCTGCTATTTTCATGACATAGAGAATAACCAACAGCTCCAAACTGTGACATTGCCATTTCATTTTACTATTACTGTATTTTAACTATCATCATGTTACTATTTAGTTTCACTGTGTTAATTTGACATCAGTAAGTATAAATAGTCAAAGGGTGGCATGACTGGTTTGCATAATTAGCAAATTAGCATATAATTAGTGCTGAAATTGACATCCTAGTCCGTGATGCCTTTTTTCTTTTAGCTTGTAGTATTGTTTGTAAACATGCCTGTTTCCCCCCTTAATTTCACTGGAACCTGTCTTTGTTTTCTAAAAGAAGAACAGCGTAAGAAAGAAGAATCCAGTAAATACTACTTATTTAAATACTTGATTCTATATGTGGTGCCACTGAAGAATAATTCTTTGGTGCTGTTGTAAATCTACTGGTGGGATAAAAAGTCTGGGATTACAATGCTGGCCACAGAAAGGTGACCTTAAATGTAGTAAACTTTGTTGTATTCCAGCACTCTATATACTACAAAAACTGTTCAAGGAGTTTGAGTAAAACATTTCAAACCTGTAAATAATGTGCCTTCAGTATGAAATATGTTGTTAGTTCAGCATTACTTGTAATCTGTCAACAAAATGGCAAATAGTCTCTAGCAAAATAAATCTGTCTAGAAAAATAAATCTGGGAAAAACATTGATTTTTAAGGCTACTGACCTGGTGTATGGCATTATAACCAAACAATGCTTTGTGGGTTTTTTACTACAGACACATTTCCATGAAAAGTGACAGAAGAGTAGTGCTGGTGTTACTGCTGTCAGCCAGTAAATCCTGAATTACTAAATTTTAAGATTTGCTACTTCCATCCATGTTTATTTTGCTAAATGCTAATATATCTGATCTACCTAGATCTTGCATGAAAGCCTTCCATCTCTCTCAGTTACTGTTCAGCCAGCAGTCATTGAACATTTACCTGGTCTGCAAAACAAAAATAGGTTGTGTGCTGGGATATTGTAGGGAGGAGAGACAGGAGGGCAGGATTTCATAAACCAGTCCATCAGTTTAACATTCAAAATTACCATAGTAGCTGTGTGAGGAAGACTTAAAAAAAATGGTACTGCTGCTGGGCAGAACTGAAATGGTGTTAAGTGGAAATGGAGTTCTAGGTGTTAGTTTGCAAGTGGAGTTTAATCTAGAAAATTTTTAAACCAAGTTGAAAGTAGGGCTTAACAGCCATGTATTTCTCAATTGTAGCAACATGGATTTCTTTCTGAACAGATTTCCACCCCCCTCCCCCACCCATTTGTCAACATACCCCCTTGGCTACCTGAAATCATAAAGGAGCTGCTGATGTTTGTTTGGTCCTTTGTCATTCGCTCTCATACTTTTACATTTAATATCTTGAACAAATTCCATACATGTTTCGTAATGCGTGGGTATTCAATCTGCATTTGTGGGGAGAGACAAAAAAAGGTGAGCCTTCTGTCTGCCAGTGTTTCCCTTCTCTATTTTTTTTTCTTTGCTTTCATCTCAACATGAGTATGAGCTCTTCTTCTTTCAGTTTCACTGCACTAAGAACATTGACCAGTGCCCTTAACTTCTGTACATCTTTTCCAGAATTGTAAAGTAATTATGTGGCCAAAAATAAGAAAACCTTAGATTTTCTGACTTCTTTCATCTCACCATTAAGCTTCTTTTTGTTTGAACTATCCATTGCCTTCAAACCTTCAGTGTTTTCCTTGAGATCCACTATTTTTTCTGTAATTTCTAGATCCCTTTTTCCCTGCATTTTCAGAATACTGAGTCAGGCCTTTTACTTTTGTTGTCTTTGTCTAAATTACTTGCCTTACCATCTCCATTGTTGTTTTTAAACATTTCACTTAATCAAAATTCTTCTTCAAGAGATGTCAGAATTGCCCAACACCCACAGTTTCAATGTAAATTCTGTTAATTAGCTGGAATGTGTAAATGCTGCCTCCTGCCCTTTTCCTCCTTTCCCACCCTGCATCAGAAGGTGCCCTCAGTCAGTTCTGTTCATGGTTTGGGTTGATTGCTGTAGAAAAATTCTCTGATAAGCACAAGGTGTACTTGCTTTCTGTGAGTAATGCTTCATTTAGTGCTGGTTACAGCTGGGATGACATTTAGAAGCAGCAATCTGAAAGTGAAGAGGTGCATGTGAATTTCAGCTTTCATTCAAAATAAAGATTCCATTCTTACAACTTGGAGAGAAGTTAAAACCATGATTTTATTGTGAGCTTCATACTTAAAGTATTCAGCAAAGTATTTAAGAAAGTCCCATGATTTTTCAGCAGTTGATGTTGACAGCATTGTTACGTTCTTTCACCTTGAAGTCATGTTTTCTTTCTCAGTATGGTTCAGTTCTACTGTGTCCTTCTCTTATTTTCATTAGATTTGGTTTTAATTAGCAATCTAGGTGGTTTTCAAAAAAAAAAAAGAGATATTTGAGTTATGTCCTGATTTTGTACATTTTGCTACCTCTGTGGCATTTCTTGATTTTTATTCTTTTTTTTATCATGTCCATTTCAAACTTAAGAGACTTTACCTATCTTTCCTCGACATCTCTTTCCTCTCTTCTAGGTTAAAAGTTTGGGGAGGTCTGTGGTTGAAGTTATATCTACAGTATAGATTGGAACTAACTTGTAACCAAGACCTCAATTATTTGTACCTGTTTGAGCGGTAAGCTAAAACATTCTTATGTGTATATGAAAATTGCTGAGATTAAAATCACAGTGTAAAGGGACTTTCTGATGATGCATAGTAAGCAGTTGACTGTGGTGTCAGAAAAGAAAAGCGATTAATCCTGTGAGCAGAGAATCCTGTGTGCTTTAGTGAAAGTAAGGTCACCTCGTGTTAAAATGTACCCCTTAAAAATTGCAAACTGGTATTCATGCTTAATATAAGAGCAAAATAAAGAAATACAAATTATTAAATGAAACCTATTTAGAGGTAAAGTTGCAGCACTTTTCTTTTTAGGTGTGTACACTTAACTAATTTTTAAACAAATGTCAGTTCCTGCCCTTTTCTTCTTATGTGCTAATTTTGCAATAATTTCTTTGTAGCATACTTTTCAAAGCTTTCAGAGTACTTCCTGTCATTTCCTATTTTGTGAATATATGCGTACTTGGAATGCCCCATTCCCTCTGCAAACGAGATACTTCTGCTCAGGAAGTACCTTCAGATGCTTTGGAATGAGTTAGAAAGGCCTGGAAGCCACAGACCTTTCTAAACAAAAGTTACTGGAACTTCTGTTGCTTTTTTTTTTTATTACTTACTCCCTTAGAATTAAGCAGTTTGTTCATGTTCTCTTCCTGTTCTTCATCCTGCTTTGTTGAGGGGAAGGGAGAGGATTTTGGCATTCTGAAAAAAGGCTGTTGAGACAACTGACCTAATGAAAAATGAATTTGAAGGCGTTTTGTTTGGCTAAATCTGTTCTTCAACACTTTGAAATTTCGTTGAAGCTAGTTGTGGGGAGTTCATAGTCTGAAACTTCTGTGCCTACATCATCATTATATCTAATAAACAAAGGGAGACTTTCTACTCTCTTTGGGGATTTTTGTCACTTTTCCCTGCTGTGGTGATGTGGGTTTTCTCCTGTGCTTTCTACCAGGCAGCCCGAAGAACTGCCCTTTGCTGACCTAGAAGCCTTTCCTCCTAGGAACTTTGACTTCTTTCCAGGCAGAGTTTGTTTACAACGAAACCCCTTCACCGGGTCGTGAAAGCGTTAACACGTATCCCTTACTGATTTTTTTTCATACTAATGGAACAAACCAAACAGAATTTCCTTGATTGAAGAAGATACCACATATTTGTCACATTGGTGACATGACTAGGTTAAGATACATTTTTAAAGAGAAGAATATTAAATGGAAGAACTCTGCACCAATACAGTGCGCTGGAATTTGCATTGTATTGCTCAAAGTTAAAGTTTAGATTCTGGTATTAGGACACCCTATTGTTGAAGAAGTTGAAAATAAGACTGAATTTAGGGCCTGGCCTTACTTAAAACTGTGAGTGTTTTTAATTTTACTAATAGTAGTGATAAGTGGTTGCTGTCCCTTTGCACTTGTTTTTTTTCAAAGCATCAAGAGCATACACAGCAATACTTCTAAGCAAGCAGACTGCATTGAAGAGGATTTTACTATTCTGTGATTCTGTTGCTTTGGGACAGCATATAATGCCTCTCAGCCTGGTTGACAAATTATTTCAAGACCTTAAACTGAAGTTACTGTATTTTACAAGGGAAGGAAAAAGGAAAGCCACAAGTGGTGTTCAGTATTGATGTTACTTAAAAGGAGCAGCTGAACCAAAATACACCCAAAACATGTACCATTATGAAACATAATTAACAAATGAGGCTAGACAAGATCTAAAAAGGCAACCTGAAAAGATTTACAATTGCAAAAATTAAAATTCATTGTGGACCATTCTTGAGATGTGATAGTGCCACTCAGGGAAATTTATAAATAACTGCGTATCCTTAAGCAGAGGAAAGGAGACTTTCAACATTTAGAAAAAAGCAGATAATTTAAACAAGTCTGTTCCCTGGGAAAGCTGGGAGAATGAGAATTTCTGTCTTGACATAGGTAGAACAGCATGTGAACAAGAAAACCCCGAGTAGTCACAGTGAACTGGTTGGACAGTCTGCTTTTGTTTATCCTTCAGTGACAGGAAGATCACAGGGATTACACTAGGTATTTTGATAAAAATAGTTCATGTTTTAAGTTTGTTTTCTGTATATAGTTTGCATTGTATTAGGTACATCTCATACCAACCCATGATGCAGGGAATATCCTTGATGCACACAGTAATATCCTGTGTGAATCTTTGGGCTGCTATGAAAATGCTTTAGGTCAAAGACCAAAGATGATGATGATGATGACACAACATAGTGCTCACAGGAGATGGTTTCAGGCTGTCTTGTAACTTTCTTTTTTGATTTATGCTTTGGAAAACATCACATAGGAATGTGCTCTTCCAAGTGTTGTTCAGTCTTAGTGATACTTAGAGGTGTATATATATGAAGGCCAATTTTCATGTTCTCTTACTGTTCAGAATCATAGCAGGAGCTATTTCTCTTGCATGTGTATCCACTCTTCCTTGAAGGAAGCATGTGCTGAGTTTTATATGGAAAACCAACATACAATTTCTTTTGATCTCTAGTAACTCCAGGTATATAAACAAATGGCGTAATTGTCCTAATTGCTGATTTTAATGCCATAGTGGGTTGATGGTTGTGAGATGCTGTAAGTATTACCTGAGGTCTCCAAACTTCCAGCACACAGTATTTCAGTATGAGTTGTGATTTTAAGGGGAAAAATGCCCATTAAGACTATATATGATAATTACAACCTGAAATATTGCAACCATCAGTTTATAAATCTGGCCTTTGATTTCATAATTAGAGCTTGGTAGTTGTAGAGCCTGGAACGCTGTTCAAAATGGGTAACTGATACAGCTGCATAAATTATATCTTAAGAGTATGGCTCTCCTTCATAGGTGAAGTCAAAATAGCAAAAGAAATGTGTGATGTGCCTGTGGTCCAGTGTTATTTTTGTTCCTTGCATTTTAAAAATAAATAAAAAATAAGCTAGCATTGTAGCTATGTAGCATGAAGCTAGAATTAAATGATTGTGCAAACACAGAACTGCCAGTGTTGCCCTTCCGTTGGGTACAGCATTACTTTTTAGCCTGCTTTCTAGGTGATTTTCTATCTAACCTAGATTTTGGCTTTCTTCGCTATCTGAGTCCGTCTTCCAACCTTATCAGGCTTTTTGTATGAAGAGATATAGGCGTCGAGTCAAGAACTTGTGCGGAGGATGGCTTGTGCAACTTCTAATAACAATGTCCAAATGTTGGAAAGCATTAACCTGTACCCCAGGGAATGAATATATATGTATTTGATGCTGGAATCATGCTAGAATTTAAGTAGGAGGAACTGTAATAAAAATACAGTTATGTGCTGGTTTTAACAGTAAACAGAAAAATACGTTTATACCTCTGTGAAAGTTCTTTTCCCAGTCAAGTTTGTGTGTTCAGGTCTTCTGGTAGTGGTGATTTAATAGTCACTGTTTATACACACACAAAACCACAACACAGCGGTCCAGTTAATTGGAGAAAATACTGAGTATGTTTAGCCAAAGGTCAGGAAGCCTCCAGGATGTATTTTCTCACTGGAAGTAAAGGTCTAGGTTGCTTAATCATAGTATGAGATGGGAGCTGTCACAGGAAGACAGCCATCAACTTGCCTTTATAGAGCTAAAAAATAGGTAAGTACTATTACAAGAGGAAATACTTCAAGGCCAAATAGTTCAGAACATGAAAAGGCTAGAAAATGATCTGTAGGTGAGCACCAGTGTTTTAAAGACTGAGGAGGAAGTTTGTGAGATTTGTTTGTTTATTATTCGGTTGCTTTGGAGCCTTCCCATTACTTTATTGTTGATGACTGCTGACTTGTATCAGAATGACAGCCCATCCAGTTTTCAGTTTGTCATTTCATATGTAAATTAAGGTTTTAAAATAGTTGACATCCCTTGGCTAGCATGCTCTAGTGTGTATGTGTGTTGTTGAGAAGGACCATTGCCTTTGTCTGCCAGCAAAAGCATGAAATTGCCTGAGAAATATAACAACTTTGCTGCATTTTCCGTATAACTGTTGTCTTTTTGAGTTAACGACCACAGTTGGAACCTATTTTTAATAGTACTTCAGATGAGATGGACTTTGCCTTTTCCATCTTGTGATGGGAAATAGTAACACACAACCTGATGAATACTGTGGTTGAATAGATGCATTTGATTGTGGGATTAAAAGATAATTGGTATTTCTTTAAAGCCAGGGACTGTTTAACTGTAGAACTGGGGGTAACTGAAGGTAACTACTGTAATGAATTTTAAAGAGAGAGTTGAATTTGGGCCAGCACTTCCAGTAGGTAGTAGGCTTCCCAGGAATGGAAAGAGACATGCGGAGTTCTTGATTATATCACTTGGGTTTTGTGGTTGGTTTTGTTGGTTGGTTTGATGTTTGCTGTTGGTTTGTGTTTTGTTTGTTTGGATTTGGGTTTTTTAGTTTTCCGTAATTATTATTATGGCTTTTATTTCAGCTGGCTGTCTAAGTATCCATAGTGTACAGAGGGAAGGAAAAGATGGAATTGAGTTTCTTTAATACATCTCTCAGCATCCAGCATGCAAATTTTTAAAATATAAAACCTGTGTGTATGTTACAGCAAATCACATATTTTAAAATGCTAACAAACAGTGTCTTAACTTATTTAGTGATAAATCCTGTGTTTCTGGGACAGAGGTGGGAACTTCATCAGCTACTGGTCCCAGTCACTTCTCAAACCACCAATACATGTAACCTAGGCTTTAGTTCTCTTGCTCAAGAAACCCTTCCACTGCAGCCCACAGCACCAGGAAAAGCTGGAAATTACTTCTTTTCACATTTCTCTTCAGCATTCTGAACCATAAGGGCTCACTTCGAAAGAAGAGCAAGATCTAGAGAAGCAGCTATACAGCCCACTAGATAACAAAACTTCCTTCCAAGATCTGTGGGAATGAAGGAGGAAAAGGGTGGAGGGGGATGAGGGGAAGAGATGGGAGATTTTGTGACTTGTTCTGAAAAGGTCTGTGGATCTTGTCTCGTCAGCATTTGAGCAGCGTTATATCATACCCAGTGTGCAGTGAAGGGCTTGTGCGGGATTCTCCATGGATCCAGCTCTTCTGTTTTCTCTTGTGACTGCTGACGCTTTTTTAGCCATGATTGCATGCACTTTAGCAGTAACACTCAGTGCAGGATGGTGCTAACTTATATCTCATTCCTTTATTAGTTTACCTGGTCCTGCTACTTGACTGGTTAGTCTGAAGAGCTTCGTTGATATTCAGTGATTTTTCTGTCTAGTTGTAATACCTGGCTAACTAGAAAAAGAAATAGCTGTGGGGTTTTTGTAGATAAACAGTTTTGATGCAGCTGTAATAACATTAACAGAAACAGTTATTTATGTAAAGCTTTAACATTTGTAATCTTATTATCAGCTCTCTGCTCAGCAAATTGAGACTGCAATAACAGCTTCATCCCTGTTATGTATACTAATGTATATCTCTAATTGAAAACAGCAAGTATGCTTTAACTGTCTCTGAATGAACCTGTCTAGTGAATCTGGAGCTTGAGGAGAGCAAAACAAGTGAGACTTAAAAGGGAAGAGCTATTTTGACTCAATTGCCCCTTTTTACTAACATACAAGTGCATGTGCCCTAAAGGCCATGATATTGTTTAGTGTTCATAGAGTGCCTGGAGGGGGGAAGTTGACTCGCATATAATGGTGGGGTTTGGTATTAGTAGTTCAGCTAAACATTGCTTTCCCTTTTTTCTTTTTAGGCATCGGTAGAGTTGCTGCTACATCTCTAGGAAACTTAACAAATCGTAGTTCTGAAGACTTACCTCTTCCTCCTGGCTGGTCAGTGGACTGGACTATTAGAGGAAGGAAATACTATATAGATCATAACACTAATACAACCCACTGGAGCCATCCACTCGAGCGTGAGGGACTGCCTCCAGGATGGGAGAGGGTTGAGTCAGCAGAATTTGGAGTGTATTATGTAGATCACATCAATAAAAGAGCTCAATATAAACACCCTTGTGCTCCCAGGTAAGGCATCTGCCTTCTTTTCTGTGACTGTTGTTTTTTTCTTAAGCCAGTTAAGAAAGTGGAACTGTTTTTGTCTTGTATAATGTGCCAAGAACTTATTTTTAGAAGTAAGCTTTACTGGCTCTCGACTAAGATTTTTAGAAGTAGTTGTAATTGTTAGGTTTCTGTCTCAGGTGTTACTGTCTTAAGTTTAGAAACAGGATATTGTTCCTAACTCACTAAAACAGAGCAGCTATTCTCTTCAACTGTCAGTAAAACAACAAAGTTGCTGAGAACAAAATTTAGTTGTATACTGAAAAGAAACTCGATCTGATGTTCCAGGAGACTGAACAAATAGCACATACCATCTGAAACATGAATTAAGTCTTGTCTAGAACAAAAATCAGTGTTTTAGCTGCTTGGAATTTCAAGGTAAAATGATCTTAGTATGTACCAAATTTAACAGTTAATTTCTGCTGCTTAATCTACTTTGCTGCTACCCAGGAAAAGAAAGATTTTTAACATATGGCACAAAAGATAAACATGTGAAAATATCCTTTGTTACAGATGGAATAACTCTTACTGACTGCTGCCTGAATACATTCGTTCTAATGTATTAAATGGTGGATTACTTGGCTGAATCAGTACTTGCCTTTTTAATGTAAAACTTGCCTTTAAAAACATTCTGCTTTAGTATCCAGGTAGCGGGCAGTAGGTGAATAGGTCCAAGGTGAGTTTTACAGGGTGCTAACAGGTAGCAGCAACACATACAGTTGTGATTGGCGTGAAGCACAAAAACAGCGGCAGAAAGTTGCTCTCACTGTATGAGGAATGTTCATTGCTGAGGTGACACTCCATTTGTGATTGCATCATTGGCCTTTGCATGTATTAGTCTGCGTACTGATGTTAATGAGTTAATGATATTGGTATGTTTAAGTTACTGCTTCAAGGTATGGACTTTGTCTTCCTTTGTGCAGTGTTCCCCGTTACGACCAGCCTCCCCCAGTGACTTATCAACCACAGCAAGTGGAGAGAAGCCAGCCCCTCCTTGTCCCTGCAAATCCTTACCACACTGCAGAGATTCCGGACTGGCTGCAGGTCTATGCCAGGGCTCCTGTAAAGTGAGCTTTGTTTTTTTTTTCCCCTTTCATTTCACACTCTGCATGCATTGCTTAGAAGGAAGATTAATTTTGATGACTGACTCTAGCTGGTATCTGTTTCTTAACTGCACAAGTACTATTGCTGACAGCACATGAGTAAGTTGTACCAAACATTCATCATATTAGTTTGCTTTGGTTTAGGCATTACTTAAAATTATCACAGTACTTCTGGCAGTTTGCGTGATTTGCAAAATGGTACATTACAGAGCCGAGGATGTAATTTACTTTCAGCGTATTTGTGAGAATGGCACCATGTACTTATAAACTATGTGAAATATTTTAGAGTGTTAACTTCTTAATCTATATCTTACCCCTTTTTTAAAAAAACAGATTTTAATTCGCAATTAAGAATTTTGAATTGAGACTGAAATCCCTTGAATTAAAAACTAAGTGTTAGTACAGGGCCTCTCCGCCAAGAAAAGGTTTGAATCAGCATAATGAAACAAATTACATTTTCTAATGGGTGCACTTCTGCAGAAGAGTAACACTAAATAGAAAAGCAATAAAAATTAATTAATTATGGAATCATGTACATTTTTCATAAGAGGAATGTAAAGAAACTGAGTTACACAGCAATGAGTAGGTGAGTCTGCAGTTGCAAATTCAGACTGTGTATGATGTTCAGTGACTTCCACTAAAGAATCCTCTTTTTTTAGCTGCTTCTATTAACTATAATTTGAATGGGTTTTATTACTTCTTGTGGCTCCTGGGCTTGCCAGTAGCCCGTAAAGATTTAAATTGGCCTAAAATCCACCAGTACACTTAGGCACCAGGGATATACACGTTCCTGTAACCTATGGGAGGACTTGTTTCCTAGAAATCCTTCTAGGTTTTGGCTGCAGCTGCATTTCTTTATTTAGGTCTTTGGCACATCCAGGCAACGTAATTTTAAATATTTCAGCCTGTATTGTATGGACTCTTGTTGGTACTTTTCCTGACACTTGAGAAGCAAATTTAAGACAATTCAAACAATTTAACATTATCAGGAATGTCTTAAGTTTGTTTCAGCCTACTAGATAAATTAAAAAAGCCCCCAAAACCACAACCTAAAACATTTAATTCATTCAAGCTGTTTAAATAGAATTTACATTGTTCAGAGTAATCAAAAATCGTGTATTTTCTAGTATCCTTTTAGCCTGCCATTACAGTAGTGCTGATGGTAATAGGAATATTATTGTAATTCTCAAGCACTTCTGTGAGGAAGTAAATTCTGATCTATGCTAATATTCTGTTAGAAAAGTGAGGAGGAATGGTAGCAGCTGGCTTAGTGTCACCTCATCTTGAGGGCTTCTTGAGGAACAATTGATAAGTAGTTTTCACTGTTATTAAAATCAGGATCACTTATGTATTTTCAGTGTAATTTTAATAATGAACCTTTTCTCTGTTGCCAAAGCAACTGGCTTGAACCTTAAGAGAACATCCAGTAATGCTTGTAAGTTCTCCAGCAGTGTTGTCCAAAAGCTGAATATGAGAACGGTATGAACATTCTCCGTGTTCTGGTGCAGAAATGGAAGTAAGCAGCCAAACACTTTCATAGCAGCAGTAGAGGAATACCTTTTGCAATCTGCTATTCGAAATTTACTTTAAAAATCTCCTGATTATCAGTGCAGTTTTGCACTGAAATCACTGTGGTATGTTTTGTTATTATTTGTTACGTAACACCTGACTGTAGCTTGATTTAGTCAACCAAAGGCCAATTTTTGTTGAGTAAAGTAGCTAATCACAGTAAAAACAGGTAATGTTAGCTTTTGTTTCAACAAGTTTCTCTAAAGGATAAGGATTCTGGCTGCTGGGAAAACCTAATGGAGAGTTTAGTAGGTGTTAGTGGTAACACATCCTATTTTAGTGAAAAATGGTCAAACTGTTAAGATAAAGAATATGATAACTTAGCTCATTAGATGATGAAGAGGCTTTAATGTCTAGTTGAGGTAACAATTTCCTATATCCAGGTATTTTCGATAACTTGAAGCATCCTTTTTACCTCTCTCCTAGCATCTAGTTTTGAGAGCAGAAGTGCAGTTACCAGAATTTGAATGCAGTAGAATTAAGATTCCTGCCTAGCAGTTAACCCTTTGCTTGACTCTAGAACTGAGTGTTTCTCCAGCCTTCCAAGTTAGGCAGCCCAGTCTTGCAGATGTTCCCACAGTATGTTAGACTGCATGCATGGGACTGTCAGGGTGAAGAGACCAAAAATGCCTTTCTTGCATGAGAGATCATGGTTCACATTCTTCCCCCATCTCTTCTGAACAAGGGATCATAGAATCACAGAATGGTTTGGGTTGGAAGGGACCTTAAAGACCATCCAGTTCCAACCCCCTGCCATGGGCAGGGACACCTTCCACTAGACCAGGGTGCTCCAAGCCCTGTCCAACCTGGCCTTGAACACTGCCGGGGATGGGGCATCCACAGCTTCTCTGGGCACCCTGTGCCAGCACCTCACCACCCTCACAGAGAAGATTTTGCTCCTCATATCTAATCCAAATCTACCCTTTTTCAGTTTAAAGCCTGCTACATACTGCAGGATCTGAACACAGGACTTTCTTCCTCTATCTCTTACCAATTGGCTGTAAATATTCAGGGCAGGTCAGTGTCTCTTGTGTTAAAAGTGTCCTATTTTATATAAATACTTGCTATCTACTGGGAAAAGCACTGGAGACTGGGTATTCTGGCTGTGTGTTCTGTCAAGTAAGCTCCTGCTTTCTTACCCAGGAGGGAAGGCTCTGTACTCTGCAGGAATTACGGACTAACATGTTTTCTCCCCTCGATTGCTGGCTCTGTGACTAGATGTCCTTCCAAAAAATGTGAGTCTAGGTCAGGTACTGGTACTCTGTGCCATATTCCTCCGCATCTCTGTGGTTAGTTGTTCATAGACCTTCAATCTTTTGGATTGGAATGAGCCCATTCCAACTGAGGCTGCTGATGGCTTCATCTTTAAGTAGACTTCTTGTCCTGTTCCTTGGCAGGCAAAACAAAGCTCGAACACTGGAAAATAATCCTGGTGTGCTGCTTTTCTTGAGAAACTGTCAGCAGTGAGAGCTTCAAAGAGCTAAAAACCACCAAGGTTTTATTATCATCTGTGATGCAGACCCCAGAAAACCTGCAAACATGTTATTACGTGTAATGGAGTTTTGGTTTCCTTTCTGCTTATGTTGCTACCTTAACAAGAAACAGTCTTTCCACTAAGAATCAGCCTTGCTGCAGCATGTATTTTAATATATGCCATTGGCCCAGAACGTTTGAAAGGATCCATCAGCACAGGGCAAACCTGGGGAAATCCTGCTGCAGTTGAACTCAGTTCAGCTGAGCTCATGATGTGGGAAAGGAGCAGAGAAGGAAAGATGGTGTTCATGTAAACTCATCCACCAAGTGCATCCAAAGATAGCTGTACTTGGCAAACCTTCAAAGCAGCAGTGTGCAGTCCACCTCTCTCTGGAGTTTGGTCCCCGTATTGAAAAACCAGCTGTAAGTTGGGTGTTTTTTCTCACTTTAGGGAAGAGTGATTTTAGCAGTGCAGCCCTGTCAGGACTGGGATGACTTTAATATAGAAGCTGTTATTTAGGAAGGTTATAGAAGTTGTGGTTATTTAAGTTCTTAAAATTTCTCAGAAGCGTCTTTGGTAGTGACCTGCACGTCTTGGTGCTTCTGATGCATACAGCCTTCCAAGTATGTCCTTGCAATATGTAATGCAGTTTATTTGCTTAATTTTACTGGTATTTTGGCTTCAGCCTCCACTCAAGTGAATGTATCTTCTCATGTATGGTGGAAGTGGGAAGAAATACAACAGTAAGAGTTTGACTTAACAGCTGAGCTAGTTTCCATCTCAGCCGGCTATTCTTAAGGGAGGAGTTCAGGATGGCACTGATGTTTTAAACAACAGGGAACATCCCCAGGCTCACAGTAGCTCATCTTTTCCAGTATGGGGAGTAAGAACATGCAGGATTTATAGCTGCTAGGCCTTGCATTGCTCCCTTGACACCTGCTCGTGGGGACAGATCACTGCCCATAGCTGTGAGCTGTTAGGATGTCCCTCACTGGTGTGAGTACTTGCAGCAGTTAATTATGGCCTAATTGGTTCTGTTGCCACTCAGTAGTCCCTGATGCTGTCTAACATCGCCCCTTTCTGGGGTCCTGTGGCATTCATGACCTGCAGTTTAAGACACCATGACTTAGATTATTGCTGCTAATTAACCAAGATGGGGACAGAGTCCAAGAGCACTTGTTAAGGCTGGAACAAGAACACTTTGGGAACAGCAGCGAGTGGCAAGGGAAGACTTCAGTATTCTGCCTGTGGTGAGGCACTGGCTGGCGAGCATTGGGGTGAGCTGTGGAAATAATTTTATTTTCTGTGTTACTCTTAAAAGATGTTTTATTGCTAAATCTTTTGAGGCTTGTCATGAATGAGATAGCTGGTTTCATTGCTTCCAAAAGGTATTTTCTGCATTGGTTTACTATAGTGAGTTAATAGGATCTTTATTTCTGGAGTTTCTCTTGTTGTATTATAGTGATTCTGCAGTTAGAATCATAGAATAGTTAGGGTTGGAAAGGACCTTAAGATCATCTAGTTCCAACCCCCTGCCATGGGCAGGGACACCTCACACTAAGCCATGTCACCCAAGGCTCTGTCCAACCTGGCCTTGAACACCACCAGGGATGGAGCATTAACAACCTCCCTGAGCAACCCATTCCAGTGCCTCACCACCCTAACAGTAAAGAACTTCTTCCTTATATCCAATCTAAACTTCCCCTGTTTAAGTTTTAACCCGTTACCCCTTGTCCTGTCACTACAGTCCCTAATGAATAGTTTATCCCCAGTATCCCTATAGGCCCCCTTCAGATACTGGAAGGCTGCTATGAGGTCTCCATGCAGCCTTCTCTTCTCCAGGCTGAACAGCCCCAGCTTTCTCAGCCTGTCTTCATACGAGAGGTGCTCCAGTCCCCTGATCATTCCCGTGGCCCTCCTCTGGACTTGTTCGAACAGTTCCATGTCCTTTTTATGTTGACACCAGAACTGCACACAATACTCCAGTTGAGGTCTCACAAGAGCAGAGTAGAGGGGCAGGATCACCTCCTTCGACCTGCTGGTCACACTCCTCTTGATGCAGCCCAGGATACGGTTGGCTTTCTGGGCTGCAAGCGCACACTGAAGCTGGCTCATGTTCATTTTCTCATCGACCAACACCCCCAAGTCCTTCTCTGCAGGGCTGCTCTGAATCTCTTCTCTGCCCAACCTGTAGCTGTGCCTGGGATTGCTCTGAGCCAGGTGTAGGACCTTGCACTTGGCTTGGTTAAACTTCGTAAGTTCAGGTGTAAGTGTAGTTTTCTGACTTGCTTTGAGCCACAACTCCCTGTCTTCTGGTGTTAATTACTTTATTTCCTCACATAAAACATGCTGACCTAGGTTGTGATCAGTGGCTGTTACAACCATGAGGCCAGTTCTAAAGAAAACGCCCAGAACACTTCATGGTCGCTTGCAGAGGTTTGCAGATAATCTCTCCTTTCTTTTTTTCTTTACCAAAACAGATACGACCACATTCTGAAGTGGGAGCTCTTCCAGCTGGCAGACCTGGACACGTACCAGGGAATGCTGAAGCTGCTGTTCATGAAAGAACTGGAACGTATTGTGAAGCTGTATGAAGCGTACAGGCAGGCGCTCCTCACCGAGCTGGAGCACCGCAAGCAGAGGCAGCAGTGGTACGCTCAGCAGCACAGCAAGAATTTTTAAGCAACTCTTTTTTAAAACAGACTTTTATGAGGACACAAAGAGCTTTAAAAGGTTTTCACACTTAAAACTATGAAAAAAGTGCTTTTGTTGAAGAGGCAGCTTATTTTTGTTGATGTTGTTGCACCTTTGTTATTATCCTCTTGAATAATTTTCTACATGTATTATCTATTGTTTATAAAAATGACAAATGTTTGTTAATCTTTTTCCATACAAGAAGTAGTTTATTATTCTGAAAACTAGCGCGGGGTTTAATCAGACACTTGATTCTGGTATCTTTCTCTAGCAGCCGGCTGCATTATTTAGAAGCTGACTGTCTACTTTTAAAGGGCAATAAATGCAACTACATGAAATGGTCCTGGGTTCAAAACGTTAAAATCCCAGTGACTATTTCTGGGTATTTCCCTTGGGATGCCGTATCCCTCTCTTGAGAGAGCTCTGCTCTTTGTTTACAGCTTTAACAGACAGAACACAGACCCTGTTCCCTTTCGGTAAGGCCCAGTGCTGTAACCAGGCGAAACAGCACGATAGCGAAGTCCAAGTTGCCTTATTTTTTACTTCAGCGCATTACTGCTTTGGGTTTACTACTAGTTTTCACAGAAATTAGAGGTGGAATTCCTTCCTGAAGATGAAGGTCTCTAAGCAAACTGTTCCCTCTTTTTAAATCCAAGCTGAACTGTGTTTTGTGAAATGTGACCCTGTCACATGGGAAGGTAAGGGCACTGTCTGACCAGCTGTGCTACACCGTGACACAGAATCACTTTTAAACGAGCTTTAGTCTTGTAGTAACACTTCCTTACTTGGGGAAAATGTTTAATTGTACAGTCAGCCTCTCCAGTATTTTCCTTTGGTTCATTGATTGTCCTGAAATGTTATTTATGGATTCTTTTTAGTGCAATAAACATAGTTGCAGACAAAAAAATCCCCCCAACATTTCTTGTAAATCCTATTAACTCAATAAAAATTGTTTTGTTTAGTGAATGGAGGGTTGTCCAGCTCTTTTGTTTTGCCTTGTAGAATGTCAAACTGTACAAGCAGAGCAAGGATCTGATCAGGATGGTGACAGGCAGAAGCTCAGGCTCTCTGAAGCCATGTAGGGTTTGGAGGCTCCAAGCTTGGCTGTGCTGAGTCAACAATAGGGTCCGTCACATCACGACAGAGAAGTGAAGGGTGGCTGGGGCTGTGGACCTCAGCAGCAACCCTTCCTTCATCTTGGCTTCACCTGAGAAGCTTTTCCTCTGCTGACAGCTGGAGACTTGGTTATTCCCAACACTTGTAAAACCTGGCTTACCTTGTTTGTGAGAGAAGCACCTTCCAGCGGTCAGTCACCCCCGGGCCAGAGGCAGGCCAGGAGTGTATTCCAAATACCAACTCGCCATTAAAAACACCAAAAAGGAAACCAAGAATGTGAGGAACCCAAGAAGAGAAGCTCTCACCTCATTAGTCACCAACTGCTTCCTGCACCACCACAGTCTTAGGAACTGACAGCAAACTTTAATAGTTCTGACAATAAAATAATAGAACCATTGAACACACTTCCGATGCGCAATAATGGATGTATATACAGAAATACAGCAAAACGTTCTCAGTACTTCTACAACGTGGTGCTTTGTGCATCGGTTACCAACAAAAAAGTACGCTTTCCCTACCAAACCATTAACGTACTGTAGCAGAAGTGCCCTTACTGCTTCTGATAAAGCGAGTTAATACATTTTTGTTTTTATAATTAAACAGTTAATGGAAGAAAAAACTTGGTTACATGTTATAACTTGTTCAAGTATCTGAAAATAAGTTGGCTTTTGAATAAGCTAAGGTCTGAAAGAGTTTTAGTTGCAGTATCATGTAACTTACGAGGTTTTAGTGACTTTGTAACAAATTAAGGGGAAAATAAGGCTTTGTAATGAGCTGGGGAGTATGCTGGCTATTACAAATTAAAAGCACTTTGTAGTTGTGGCAGTACCAACATGTACATATGAACAAAATGAAAAACATGCCGAGGTCATCCTGTCACACACGGCACCAAACCACCTTGCACAAGATGTGTTCTCCACTCACGCTCTTCTGCAGCAGGAGCTTGTGAGGGGCATGAGGATGAGTTGCTGGACTGAGGATGAAGTTTCCGTGCCTCCTTCATGCATTGACAGGAACACGCTGGGGTTACACCTTCTTCCTCTCCGAGCCCTCTGTGGGCTCTGCTTTCTGTGCAGGGAAGGCATGGTGGTAGAGGTGCCTGTGCGTCGCCGCCGCGCTGTACAGCTTGTACAGAGCCTGGGAAAAGAGAGAAAGTGGTTGTGTCCCCAGCCCTGCTGCGTGCAATGAGCAGGGTCTGTGCAGCAGCAGGTTCAAACAGGCCACGGCGTGCGGTTTGTTTTGTGTGCTAACTCTTGATTGCATCTAACTGCCAACAGGGAGAAGAATAAAGATCAGCGTTCACTGACTCTTCAAGTGTCAGCTGTGGGAGGAACCCCTGGAGCTGTATTAACCAAGGATGACCCAGAGTGTGAGTAAGGGACTCAAAGGGTTAGGAGGTTTTCCCCTACAGGTTTCATGCACAGGAGTTCAAATTTCTGCACCCTCAGCATTCTGTTTCACACCACCAGGCAGACACATACTGCATCATACAAAGGCTTTGCTATACAATGTCTGATTGTCTAGATTATTTTTCTGCAGATTGTAGACTCCGCATGGTTTCAGTTGGAAGAGACCTTAAAGCTCATCCAGTTCCAACTCCCTGCCACGGGCAGGGACACCTTTCACTAGTCCAAGTTGCTCCAAGCCCTGTCCAACCTGGCCTTGAACACTGCTGGGGACGGGGCAGCCACAGCTTCTCTGGGCAACCTGTGCCAGTGCCTCATCACCCTCACAGGGAAGAATTTGTTCCTAATACCTAATATAAATCTCCCCTCTCTCAGTTTAAAGCCATCCCCCCTTGTCCTATCCCCACAGGCCCTTGTCAAAAGCTTCTCTCCAGCCTTCTTACCGCCCCCTTTATGCACTGGAAGCTGCTCTAAGGTCTCCTCAGAGCCTTCCCTTCTCCAGGCTGAACAACCCCAGTTCTCTCAGCCTGTCTCTGTAGCAGAGGTGCTCTAGTCTTATGAGCATCTTCATGGGCTCCTCTGGACTCACTCCAGCAGGTCTGCAATCTTCTTAACCTGGGGCCCCTGTCTTGACAGAAGCCCATCCTTCAGAAACAGCAGCAGCACAGGCTTCTACAGGGCAGGAGTGAGCAGACTGCGGCCTCAGAACCATCTCCACAGGGAGACAGGCAACAGCTGAACACCAGCAGGAGCCCCAGCAGGAGCCGCTGCAGTGGCTGCACCAGCGTGGATATGGGCTGTGTTTCCTGTACAGAATTCACCTCAGAGCTGTTGTGGAGCTGAGACATGGCTCCAACCCCAAGCGGTGGAGACAGGCAAGTACCACCACTCTTGTGTGGTGACACACGTCTCTCACCCTGACATGCGCTTTATACTGCGTGCAAATAGCACAGGAGAAGTCAAGATACTCTCTATAGGAGATCTACGTGCAGCTATACCAGGTATAGCTGCAGAGGACTTCAAGTGAGTGGCTATCACAGTGCTGCGATTTGAACTTGAACTTCTCATTGGGAAGGCAAAAGAAACTCAACTAAAACTCCACCAGCTCATGCTGGGGACCTGAAGACTGTTGGTGAGCCAGGATTAGCTGAGGATGGGGTGGGAAGAAACAGGTAACTGGCAGAAGCTGAAGCTGCAGCAAGGAGGAAGAGGGTGTAGGGGTATAGGGGCTGTTTGGGGTGATGCTTGACCTAATGGGCCTTAGGAAATGGAAGTGGAGCTTGTCTGCATGTGTGTTGGGATTGTTTGGGAACATAGTGGATATGGTGAAGGAACCTTCATGCAGCTTGTGTTTCTTTCTTGAAAATACACCTTCACATCCTACAAGACAGACACTGAGGTGCTGCAGTGGGTCCAGGAAAGGCCAACAAAGCTGGTGAAGGGTCTGGAGAATGTCAGATGAGGAATGCCTGAGGGAACTGGGGTGGCTTAGTCTGGAGAAGAGAAGGCTTATCACTCTCTACAACTGCCTGAATGCAAGTTGTAGCGAGGTGGGGTCTGTCTCTTCTCCCAAATAACAAGTGATAACAGCCTCAAGCTCTGCCAGGGGAGGTGTAGACTGGGTATTAGGAAACATTTATTCACAGAGAGGGTGCTCAGGCATTGGAACAGGCTGCCCAGGGCAGTGGTGGAATCACCATCCCTGGAAGCATTCAAAGACTGTGTAGATGAGGTTCCCAGTGACATGGTTTAGTACTGAACTTGGCAGTGCTGGGGTAATGGTTGAACCTGATGATCTTAAAGGTCTTTTCCAACCTAGCTGATTCTATGATTCTACAAGGGCCCTTGCAGTATTTTAGGCTTTTTTCTCATGCTAAACCAGTCTCACAGAACTGTCTTTTACTTGACATGATTTGTTCAAGAGCACATCAGTAGCAAAGACTGTTCCACCTCTTGCTGCTGCACAAGCCAGAGCAAAACCCATGGACCCAGTGGGCAGAAAGCCGTTAGCTGCTCAGCATCTGCGGCTCAATGAGGGACCACAGTGCTGGTCTGGGCTGGCCACTGCCTGAAGGAATTGCTTGATTTTTAACCATACATTTTTTTTTGGCCTTTTGGACCTGTGAGAGCTGCTCCAGCTTTAAGAGGAAATCCCCATGGAGCGCCCCACAGAACTCAGTGGCTGAACAGTGCGTTGACAGTGGCAGATGGAGCTCTCGGGCTTTGGTGACACAATAAAAGCTGGAGCTGTCTTTTGTCGCACACCTCAGACAGAGGTGGTCCTTGGCTACAGTGCTGCATTGATGTACGTGTGCGGTAAGGCTGTCTTGTTTGTTTTCATTAGATGCTGATGAGGCTGCCTGTGTGACATGTGCATGGTTGGTGTTTTGGCTTGACCTCTCAGCACAACAGGAAAATCCCCAAACAGAGCTGATGGACGGGAGAAAGATGAAAATCCCCATCACAACAAACATGCTCCCCACGCAAATCTCTCCCCGCTTGGCTTCCAGCACTGCCTGGAGCTCTGCACCCACTTTAACACCCTTCCTCAGGAATCTGGATCCCAGGGAACCACCAGAGCCCAGCCGCTAGTGAGTGCCCTGGTGCAGGGCCAAGACACCAGACGCTGCCCAGAGCCCTTGTGACCCCCCTGTCCTCCATAAGCCCAAAGAAACGTGGTTGAATCGTGCATTTGGGTCCGAGACGCTTGTCCCCATCCGGCCCACGGGAGCTGAGTGGTGTTGCATGCAGAGAACAGGAGCCACTTACCTCATTTGTGCTTCCCTGGGGAGAGGCATTGGAAGGGGGGAAGACAAAGAAAAACAATAGCATCTCTGTGTATCATGCATGGTGCTCGTGCCTCTGACCACAGCCACTTGCTGGTGCCACCATGGCCATGTATTCCCAGAGGGCTTGCCCCACACAGGCTGCCCCTCCTGCAGAAACCCCTCACGGCTCTGTCCACCCCTCCTGCAGCCAGTCCCAACTGGACACTGAGCACTCACATGGCACAGAGCTACAAGGGCTTTGAACCCACCCGGGACAGGTGGGCACCAGCCCTGGGCATCATGGTGGGCAGAGTCATGCCACCCAAGCCCCAGTGCCAGCAGCAGAGCCAGCACTGCCTGTCTGCACAGCTCGTCCTTGGGGAACCTTCTCTCCAGTTGGAAAGCAGCACTGCAGGGGCCAGCCTGGGCCAGGGAGCAGCTGCAGGCACTTTCACCTCTTTATTTTTCCCCAGCTGGGCAAGTTGCAAATGGGCAACGTCTCTGGGTTCCTCCTGGCTGTGTCCTGCTCTTGCTTAAACCCAAAATCCCTGCCCTGAACCGGGGAGAAATATAGTCTTTCTTTTTGACATCCACAGACATGCGCATGAAATGCACACACACCGGCTCAGAGAACACCTTCGCAGTGGGAGCCTAGGCAAACCTGCCCATTCCCACAAGGCCTGAGGCTCCACAAGCCAGCATTTGGTGATGGATAAGATGGGAAGAAAAAAAACCAGGCAGAACAAAATAGCTTGCTGTGAGTTTTCTCATCCCCAACCCCGATCTACACAACTTGTCTTTCACACTGGGTAAGATTCAGAGGCTCGGCCTCAAGCAGAGGAAGGGGTGGTACACAGCTCCTGCCTTTGTTGTTCACTCCTGCTCTACAATGCATCTCATACTGCCTACCTTGCCACAGTGAGGCCAATCTCCACTCCCCAAGACATCTCCCCTTTACTATCAACTAAAACGATTTCCTCTGTCCCTGCTTTCCCATTTAAAAGGTCTAAGGAATGGGTCTAATCTTACTGATCACAGCACAACCAGATCAAGCAGCTGGATCTGCCCAGGCAGGCCCAGCTGAAGAATCTAACAACCCTAAAGCAAAAGCCATTTCAAAATGGGACGAAAAGCCCCAGGAAACTTAAGAACTTGGTGGGATTGGTTTTGGTTTGTTTTAAATCAAAAGCTCTTTATCCTACCTGGTCCCATAACGCTGCAGCCACTTGGTCTATTACTGCGCCCAGTTCTCTGTACTCCCCAGAGTATCTGATATATGCCCAGGTACACAGTGTGATAAGTGTCAAGCCCATGATCATGTTGCACAGACTGGCTATGATGTCCAAGCCAATGAAGCCGGTCACTCCAGCTATCACGTAAGTGATGAAGATGACCACAAAGAGTGTGGCAGGGGTGCGGGCAGCGTGGAAGATGTTCTTGCTGTCGTTGTGCTTGATGTACTGAATGTAGAGCTCATCTATCTCATTCTCCAGCTGCTGGAGGTAGCGACGGCTGAACTCCTCCCCACCCATCTTCTTCACCCCGCGAAACAGCTTCACAGCCTCCTCCTTCAGCTCCATGTGTTTGGTCTGGAGGTCACTAGGTGCAAGGAAGGGTTTGTCCCCACCACAGACCTGCATGGAAAACACAGTCCAATCACTCCAGAAATCTCAGCATCCACAGGTCCTCCTGTGCTGTGCCATGCAAATCACTGGAGTTAGGGCTCCACAGGCTCCTGTTTGCCACAGACCACCACATCCTGCATGACAACCTGCATGACTGGGGTGTTTGGGACAGCTCTGCAGGGTGCAGGTAAAATCAGGGCAGCAGGTGTCTGCACTGGGAAGCCGTGTCCCACAGCTTCCCTACTCAGTTCACTCACAGCCCAAGCCAGGATCTTGGGCAACACTGACAGCTGAGCCACACTGAGCAAACTGCAGCATTTTCTAGTTCTGGAAGCTCTGCAGCATTTTACTTCTGCTTCAGAGCATGGACACATTGGTTCTAAGGCTCAGGGCAGTCCACAGGCAGTTTGGCCATGCAGCTCCAAACCTTCCTCCTGCCAACAGGCAGCAGTGTCCAGTACTGATGAACAGAGTGCGGCCCTGAAGTGGCTGGAGACAGGCAGGGGCTGAGCTTCACCTTAAAACATCACAACCAGACCTCATATGAGCTGAGAGATGGGCCGACAGGGCAGGGCATAGGTGAAAAGACGGTTATAATGACTTTATCCCCTAATTAGCACCAGCCATAGCATGGGTTGCACAGTCATGCAGCACTGCTGCCCCACTACATCACATTTTTGGCCTGCATCTACCCATGCTGGGGAATATTGGGAAGATGATGCAAATTCAGCAGAGGCCAAGGCAGTCTGCAGAAAGCTGCCATCAGATGAAACAGAGACTGTTTGTCAATCCCCCTCCCGTCCTGCTGTCATACCCTGATTACTCTCCTCCAGCCTGCAAGAAAGCCCCTCTTCCACCATGAACAGAACCTCTTTGGGACCCTGAACGTGCAAACCAGTCCTGGGCATGTCCATGCTGGAGATGTTCTACCACAACCCAGGCAGGGAGGATTCCCCACAAGGACAGGAGAGCCAGGAGACATGAGTGAAACAACATGCTGAGCACCACCTACCTCTTCCATCCTCCTGCTGTATGTGTCTTTGGCAGTGGCAACTGCTGCTAAATTGTTTGCTTCTGCTGTGGCCTGCAAGAAAGGCAAAAGGGGTACAAAGTTTAGCTGCAGAAGGACAGGGTTAGGAAGTGTAATTGCAAAGAGCAGCAGGCTGCCTGGGTACCCATGGTCCATGCATGTATTTGGCCAGCACAGACCCAAGTGCTCATGTACAGAATTACACATTAAATTCCTTTGTCTCAGCCAAGTGTACTCTCCCCACCTCTGACCAATGCCAAGTAAGATCATCCCTTATTTACATATCCAGTCTCCTCAGTACCCCCAGGCAAAAGCCTGCATGAAGAGAGGATTCCTACCCTCCGAGTCAGAGCAACGAAAACTTTGGCTTCAGCTGTGGGAAACAGCAAGAAAACAGACAGAAAGCTCAGTCATATGTAAACAGCTACAGCTGCAACCTCCCGCAAAGCTGTCTGGCTCAGAGAGCAGAGCTGCAGCCCAGCAGCTGCTGCCTGTGTGAGGGGCTATGTCACCTCCATGTGTGGCCCCACTGCAGCCAAAGATGACGCTTTTTACCTGCAGGGGAATGATTTCAGCTAAGCTGGCTGCCGCTGTGTGCCCAGCCAGCCAAGGTGCATGAGCTATGCTGCCGGAACTGCTCAGACTCATGACTGCCAAATGCTTCCAAAAGGGCTGTTTCTTGGGTTGTTACAATAAGGAGTTTGAAATCAAATCACAGAAGACCCAATGTACTGCACCACGTGGGCACCTCTAACAATTAACTGGAAATCGACAGCAATTATGGTGCACAAATGCCCTCCAGCTGAGCCCTGACACATACCTGCAGCATTGACTTTGGGTGCGGCAATTCTTCCCCTTGGTAGATCTTTATGTACGCCTGCAAAACAGTGCAGAGAAAATGGAATCACACTGAATGCAGCACACATGAGCAACATATGAGCACCCCCACCCAGTCCCAGGCATAGCTTTAAGCAGGATGCTAAAGCACAGAAGAGGAGGGCATTCCTGGCACAGGATGGCTTTGGCAAGGGATGCTCTGTCAGAAAATGCTACTTAATATGGCTCAAGGTCAACTCCTTGGGTGGTCTGAGTCAGTCACTCAATGCTCTTGCTCCACCACTTTCACTTACAGTATCTCTGCCCTCAGATTTGCACCCACCTCCACCCTACATTGAAGGAGAAGGAGTCAGAGTCAGGTAGCTCTGGAGAGCAGGTTGTGAGAATTACTCACTGATACCTTGCACTAAAATGTTCCAGTAGTCATGACAACAAAAATAAGCGTTTTCCAAAGGCAACAGGAATACAGCCCTCAGCCTGCCTCCCTCTCATCCTCAATTCTGCAGGGGAAGAAACCAGCCCTGCCCACTTCCTGGACTTACTGTGTGGTCAAATACACATCCATGAGGTGTTTGCTTTCTGCAGCAGTGAGAGTCAGGACTATTAGCTAGATCAAGAACATTTCCTCCAGCCATCGAGTGCTGGCTTGCCTGCTGCTGTTCCCCTTCAATTACAGCCAAAGTGCAAGCATGTCACAGATGAATAAGCTAATACCTTAAAATACTCCACAAGGCCTCGGCAGGTGATATGGTTTCCATTGATCTCCTTAACATCCAGGTTCTCAGGACTAAGAAGCCAGGGAATCAAAATCTTCAAGTTCTTGATGAACTCATCATCTATTTCTGGAAATAAAACCCAATGTCATCAGTACCAGCCCAGTGTCGGACCTGTGCTTCAGTGTGCACTGACATAAAAAGAGCAGTAGAGTCAAGCCAGAGGCTCAGACACCTTGTAATTTAGTGATGTGAGCACCCAGAAATGATCATGGCTCCATTTAAGTTGTTACTTAACCCATGGGCAGAATATGCAGTTGTGCTACATCCACAAACCAACTTCATGGTCTCAAAAATACAAACTCAAACACAAATGTGACTGTATGGGGAAAAAATCTGCTTTTGCTGATGACTCTGATAAATGTGCACACAACACTGATAGCCAGAGAGCAGCATCTTCTTGCCTAGACACATACACTCTTAGCAAACCATGATTTTAGTATGGGGGGGCATAGATACAAGATGTGCCTTCCCTTTGGTCTGCTCCATAGCACCCATAGTGGAAAAGTTCCGTGAGGACTCAGGCTCTGGCTCTCATCCCTGCCACCTCCTGGGCAAGCAGGTAAGATGTTCTATCCTGAGTTCTTGGTCCTCTATGAACCCGTATGTGAAATTCCCATTTCAAAGCTTTGCAAACCATTAGGTGCTTAGTACAAGTATACTAAAGATTCCTGTGAGTGACTGTGCATTTACACTGCACCATTAGACAGCCCTTGGGGCAGGTACGGGCACAATCTCTACTTCTAGCAGCCTGTCCCCTTTGCAAAAGAACAGAGCTGGAGTGGGGCACTGTTTGAGGAGGCCATAGGCTGCTTGTGTCACTTTAACAGAGGCTAACTCACCTCCTAATAGTCATTCTTATGTCTTCACAGTGGCTGACATCCATTTATTGCCATTTATATTAAACTCTATGAGGCTGAAGACCAAAAAACAATGCAACATCCAGGCATTTGTAAGGAGAGGGGAGGTTTCCCTACATCTTTTCCATCAGCCCACAAAAAGCTGCATACAGTTCTGAGTGAACAAGGAGATGGTGTCAAGAAGCTGCTACAACTCCTGTACCTGTTCTGCACACACCACTTGTTCAATACTAATCAGCACCTGAAACTAAGGAGGGAATTAACAGAGATTAGCTCCATTTCCACAAGCACACTTCCCCACTGCTGCCTCACTGTCCTGCTTGCTGGTTAGCACAGAGATTGCCAGAAGAACGTATCTGATCACTAGATGGACAAAAGCAGAGGAAAATCAACATGTTGATAAGCAGCTGGTTCACAACAAACAATTAAAACAATCCACAGCATGTGGCTCCTCTCAGGGTGGAGAATCTTACCACAGCGTTTTTACCTTCCCCTTTTTTTTAACCTGTTGGACTAAGCCTGCCCTGTAGGGAAACCACTGATCAGATAAATCAGGAAGATTAAATATTCCTTGGAAAGCTTTTCAAAGTGAAATAACATTCCCTTGAAAGCATGTGTAACCAGCCTTCCACTCTCCACAGGCACCAGCCTGCATCTGTGCTGAACCCCAAGTGAGGCACAGGAGTTAACTGCAGGGTTAACGTCACATCCATGAACTTCCTGCCTCAGTCCTGCCTACCAGCCATCTGCCCCAATGTACGTATTGCCAGTGGCTCCAAAACCTTTTCAGCCTCCCAAACCTTATCCACCTTCATCTCTGTCTTGGCCTCCGCATGTTTTTGGCCTCTGTTATCAGCCTGCTGGATTCAGAAGTAGTCAGGCGCGTGTATGTCAGTGGGAGGAGGATCCAACTCCTCTCCCAGAAGTTTTTTCGTGGAAAATACTTAGAGCATTTCAGGAACCAGCAGAACACAGAATCTAAGAAATCAGCTTAAAAAAACAGACCTTTGCCTTCGTACCTTTCAGTTTTCCATCGAAATTAGGGTTGGTGGCAACTTTCAGGCCTGGGTGAGGCAAGAGGAAGCAGGAGATTTTGGTGAAGCAGGAATGGATGTGCTTTCTGACGTTCTGCAGCTCTTCATGCTGATTTCCTGAGACCTGCAAGAGAGCAGTCTGGGGTCAAGGGGCTTCCTTCTGATAGGGACACCAGTAATGCTGGGCCAGCGGTGCTGGCAGGAGAACGGGGAACTCAGAACTGTGGCTGCTTACAGCAGGAAAAAGCAACACAAAAGTAGGAATATGCTGTGCAAGGTCAAAGACAACGCTCTTCCAGTGGCCAAGACCTAGCATATCTCTGACCACATGCCCCGGGGCATGTTATTATCGTTTGGAAAATGTGTATGTCCATGTATGACAGGAATATAAAAACATTTGGGATTTTCCACTAGGGCCTTTCTTGCCTCACATTTAATTAGGTCTCTCCACTACCAAATCACCCATGCATTTCCTGATTAATCCCAGGGAAGCCCTTGCCCATCATTTTTACTTTACAACTACCTATTACTAAAACATCATTCCTGATCTCTTGGGAATCTGCTGACTCCCAACTCTACTGCCTCTCCCTGCTGCTCACAGCAATGAGCCCCATGGAGCCTAGGCTTGGCCAGAAGCCTGGCACAAGCTGCCTGGGCACAAGCCCTCCACTGCATCCAGCAAGGAAATTCAGCCTCCTAAAATGCCTCTTCTGTGATTTTAAAGCACTGGCTAAGTGTGACCATAACCAGCATCTCTATACAATACAGTGCACACCTAACTGGCCACACAGCTGAAACCTCACTGGTGCCAGTGCTCTGCACCCCATTTGCTGCTCCCTGCCCAGGTTTACACCCTCCAGTGCTGCTCCCCCCCCGACCAAGTTCTCACTCTCATGCCCTGTGCACTATCCATCCACACAGGTAATGGCAGTGTATCACCCCTGGGTCACAAGCCAGATTTGCCTCTTTACTCTCCATCACCCACGAGCATGCCCCCAGGTTAACACTGCTGATTAAGTGAGCCCAGATCAGAAAGAACGCACCTTCAGCCGCTTCTCCAAAAATCTTGCACCTCCATCAGATCCATAGGAAAATTCATAAGGGAAGCTCCAGTCCCGAACAAGGAATATAAGGGACTAGAAAAGAGACAGAAACACAACTGGGTCAGTGTCAGTCAGCACCCACTGAATCGAAGTCACCACCTGCTCCAGAGCCAGTTCAGAAAAATTCATCTTTCAAGGGTGTTGCTCTGTTTTGTGCTAATCATAGGGCCAGGACTTGCTGTATGAGATGTTCAGCCCTGCCCTTTTGATAATCAAAAGGAACTTCATGAGGATTTCAGGGCTTCCCTCCCTGCCACCACCACTTGCAGCAGATGTCAGAGCCTACAGCAGTGGCAGAAACCCCTGCACCCTCACCACAACCTTCAGACCACAAGACCTGGCCCTGAGTCTCTGCCCAGCTCCGGCATCATCTCACACCTTTCCTGGTGGAAATACCCCTCTGTGCAGGGACACCCCATCACAGCACTGAGACCATACAGACTTGCTGCACGTGTGGCTGTGTCCTACAAGAGGAAATGGGAAGCAAACTGGTGTACCAGTTTGCTGGGTGGCAGTTTGATTCCCTAGCTTGAAAAAGAGCGTCAAATCATTTAAACTGCAAAATAAGAAAGAGATTTCTGCTAACCAGGAGAAAAGGCAATGAGCTCCCTAATTCCAGCCACATTTAGTTCCATCCTATGGGAATTTTACAGGCTCATTTTTTCAGTCTTTTCCACTGGGCAGCCTTCCAGACAGACTTTTAATGAGAAACAGATGCAGGATAACGAGGCTGAATAAGAAATCACTGCCTTTTGTAATCTTTATTGAGGCATTCGAAGTTCCTATGCAATAAATAAATAAATACCAGCACAGTCAACTTGCAATCTTAAAAATAAAGTTTTTTAAACTGTTTTCAGAAGAAATCACGTCTCCAGTGCCTCATTTGTGCAAGAGACCCATGTCCCCTGTAATGAATACACAGCTTGGAGGAGGGGAAGCCCAGGAGGGCCTGGCAGAGGTGCCAAGGTTCCTCTCATGCACATGAATAAGCAGGTCAGCAAGCGGAATCTATTTCATTGGAATTCCCCTAAAAATGGGCTATGTTTAGAACAAAGATGTAGTGGAGGGAGGGAAAATATTTCATCTCCTTATTATTCTTCCATAAAACATAAGGAAAGCTTAAAAAAAAAAGGAGTGTGCTGGCCATTTCTAACGGCATGACAAGCCACAGCAACTGCACCCAGTTAGCGTTTCAGGACACGCTGTTCTTTTGGAGACCATGAGATGCTTAGCAGGCATGTCCATGTTTAGGACTTTTCCACAAACACATGCCCTGCACTGCTTGACTTGGGAATTATTTTCTCCTTTCTGAAGCAGAACTGTTCCAGACGTGCTGCCTTTGCCATGCCTCGCAGCCACTCTCAGCCCAGCGAACTCCCGGTACCATGCTCAGCCTTCACGAAGGCATCATGACCATCTGGCAAGGGCTCCCTGGGCAGCACAGTTACACCTCAGCGCATGTGCATGGACACACCATGGAGAGGAGAGAGTCGAAGGGATACGTTGATTTTCCACTGCCAAGTCTTACTTCCTTTCCAGCAGGATCAATGCAACTGCCTCATTATCCACACTTTCTCTGCACTCTCTGCTTGGCAGCATTTTCCTATAGGAGCTGTTTTCCAAAGCCTCCTTTACACATTTGTGTATTTTAAGGACAAAAGAGGTTCAGCCTGTTTGACTTACACACGTGGAATCTTGACCAACAAACTCAAGCTGTAGACTCCCTCCTGCAACGAGAGCTGTCTCACTTTAAAGCCTGCAGCTACCACAGAAGCCCCTGCATCTCTCATTAAGCCACCCTACTCATTAAGTTGCCCCTCATTAACAGTGCTCCTCATTGCTAGTCTGACTTTGTCCAGCCTCACGTACAGACGCTGAGTGGCATGCTGCCCCATCCTCCCCAGCTTATTCACCATTGCCCTTTCCCTGCTTCCTAAACAAAACACTCAGCTGCCTTTAAAAAAGTGCTCTGCAGGAAAATGCCACTTTGCAGTCTTGACAGGAGGTCTTCATTACTCACCTGGCCACATCCTCATCAACCCTTCTACCAAATTTCATCACGTCTGAAAGGGTTACCAGCAGCCATTTGATATTTTTCCCCAGATCATTAATAAAGATGACAGTGAATCAGAGACCCTGGGGATAGCCCGAAGGAAACATTTCTGAAGAATTATGATTCCCTATTAAAATTAGTTCAGTGTGCTCTGTCATCTATCAGTTAATGAGTTTTTAATCCATATATAATGGATTAAACACACAAAGCTGACTTGATATGTTGTTCATTTGCTTTTAATCAGCATGGTAGGGAGATAAGGCTTACAGAAGGCAACATACCATGGTGACAGTTACTTTTACCAACTGAACTCGTCATCTTTTAAAAGTTAATAATAGGATTGTTTTACAAGACTTGCTATCCACAAAACTGTGTGACTTCACAGCAATTACAGTCTTTGGTAAAATCAGAGCCTATTATCCAGTCCTAATGACTTAAGCATATTTAAGTTTCCCCTTACAGCCTCCTTTTTATTGATGAAGTAGGAAGTATTTCACTTTCACTGAAATATTTGGCTTCATTACCCTAATAGTTTTTAAATAAGAAACAGGAATATTTATTTTATGTCTGGCTTTTTTCTGTACTTCTTCTAGCTCTTGCTACTACAAGTCATCTATATTTACTGGTAGCTTTCACGTCATTTATCAATCATCTGCCCATGCCAGCATCCAATATACCCTCAAAGCTCCCAAAAATCTTGATTTACCCATTTGTTGTATATTTTAAACTTTTATTTCCACTTCCTGACCACAGACACCCTATAAACCCCTTAGGCCTGCCACCACGGTGGTGAGGATAGCAATTCTCTTTTTATGTTGGAACAAAAACATAAATAGCTGTAACCCATTCCCAATTACCATTTGCTTTTTTTACAGTATGTTTTGCTCTGTGCTGTTTTCCACTTTGGGAAGTTCACAAACCCCCATTCAGCTACCACCTAACCTATCATGGATGCCAGCTGTAGTTGGACCAAGACATTAGGAATGTCAAAGAGCATCTGGTTAAAGGAACAACTTGTACAGCACAAGGCCAGAGCCCCACAGAAGGTGTTTTCCTTCTATTTGCCACCCTGATCGTGCAATGAGCCTTGCAGCTCCAGTGCAGTGTGAGGACACATGGGGACCTCACAGCATTGCTCCCTCCATCCCCTTAGCTCCCTGCTCACACCTGGTCCCACAGACACCCAAAAGCTTCAAAACTAAACCACCTTCCCAGCCTCCCAGGAACAAGGGTTCAGTGCAGCCATAATCAAAGCCACACAAAAACACAACTCCATCTGTTAAAGGACTGGAGCTTTAGTGAGTTGCCACAGCCCTGTCATGGGTGCCTTCTGCTCCCCTACCTTCTGCTTTGTCTCTTTTCATTCATATTCACTCTCATCCTGGAAGGGGCTGTCACAGCCAACTATCCTCCCACCCCTAGAGCTGCTCACAGCCCTTGTGTCCAGAGCAAGCTGGCGTCTGCCTGACACTCTCCCTTTTTTGAAAGCCAGCTTTTCACAGGTTGGAAGGCTGCAGGCTGAACAGATGTCCCTTATTTGAAGTGAAAGCCCCACTTAAACCAAGCTTTCCCACAGCTCTGCTGTCACTCGTGAGAGCTCTGAGCTAATCCTCATCCTTTCATTTTGCAGGCGTAGGGATTCCCAGGGCAGGCGGGTTCAAACCTCCCAGAGCAAAGGCTGGGCAGAGTCCCTGAGTAGACAGCATGACAAACCTGCTGCAAACCTGACTACTTTCCAGGCCTGGCAGGACAGGGCAGAGCTCTTGGGATGGCAAGGATTCAGAGAGGAAAGAGAGAGGAATGTTGGATACATTTGGAAGCGTCTTTGGAGGCGAGGAAGCACGAAACCTCTCCTTCTCGCAGCTGAAGTGCTTCCCAGGCCTCCCGATCTCCTCCCATCCTGCAAACTGCAGTGACACCTCGTGGCGAAGCCAACCAGCCTGGGGACAAGCCACCTCCGGCACAGCAGATGGGAGCTGGCCAGGACCCTCAGACTTACCTGGAAAGGTTTCAGGAATGTCTCCTCCATGGCCAGCCGGCCATACTCGGTGAAAAGCTGGAAGGAGAAGCAAAGAACAACAGGAGTGTTAGCGGGTCAGTGTGCCCGACCGGGCAGGGAGCTGTGGGCCACACAAGCAGCAAGGGGCGGCTGCTGACTGAGGGCTAAAAGCACCATTTGTGGAGCTGGAACAGAAACTGGTGAGCTGTATGCTTTTGGTTCACATCTGAGAGGCACACAGAGCTGTTATGGAGAGCCACCTTGCTGAGCCCTCATGCGAAAGATCTCAGCCTGGAATTTTTGGCTGCCAAATCTGTGAAAAATGGCTCGAAACAGCTACTTGTTACTGCTTTCATACCAACCAGGAACTTCACGTGCTACAGGGGCTGCTGGAACCCCTGCTCTCTTTAAACACCCCAGGAAGAAGCGGAAATTAATTCAGAAATAAGTACTTTCCCTGCAAACCCCCACTGTGCAAAGACCGTTGAGATCAGCCTCCCAGCAAAATGTGAAGGCTCTCCAGTCTCTCTGGACTCTAATTTCTAACTGAAGGCACAATAACGTATTTCACAGATGCCTAAAAATGGGTCAGGCTGTTAAACAATAATGGCTTAAAATCCAAACTGAAAGATCAGAGTTGCACTGGGTAAGTTCAGTGTTAAAAAGACAGTATTATTAAACATATTTACTGACTGAAATTATACAGGTGATCTTCAGATGCTAGTTTTCCAGCTGGAGTTTTTCTTTTCTTAGCTCCTGGAAAAACCTACCTAGCCAAACAACCACCTAAACAGAAGAAAGCTAGAGGTAATACCAGGAAATGGGCAGGACATCTGTGTCACAAAAATCCCATTAGCTACTTGCCTCCAACAGTCAGGGATGCAATTACTCTCAGGGGTCACCTGTACTGAGCCAGTACCGGATGTCAATACCCAGGCTTACAAATGGCTATCTAATTTCTTTGGCCTTCTCCTAACAGTACAAAGAATGAATAATGAAGTCCTGCAGCATGAACAGTGCAACTTCTACATCAGTTTCCCTGTCGTTTAAGTCAAATAAACACTTCTGCTGCCCCTACTCACAGAGCAGTGGATGGACACTCGGCAGCAGGAGTACCGCAGATACAGAGTTGACTCAATGGTCTTAATTGAGTCCAATACATGGACTCAATGATCTTAAAGGTCTTTTCCAACCGAAATGATTCTACGGTTTTGTAATTAATCTGGATCCTTTCCTATTACCAGTCACTTTAGCCCCTTGCTACACTTCACTGCATGTTTCCAGACTCATGGGTCAGTCTTCTGTCAGGCCTCTAATGTCTCTCTGCTTCCTGAGGAACCCTAGCATAACCCTGTGGAAGGATACACAGGCAGTGTGGGCTATACCCAGACTGTCTGCTGCAGACTGTGAGGGGTGCTCCACACTGAGAGGCCTTGTGATGGGCACTCTGCACTGTCTGATGCTCTTTTAACCACATCATTAAAAAGTCAACTTAATCCCCTCTGACTGCAGCACCACCCATGCCAACTGGTCCCATGCAGTGTGGACATATAAAAAGATACTGCCTTTCACTTTGCAGCTTTACACAGCTGAAGACCATCACCACCTCCACTGACAGTCACTTTTGTCTCCTGACTTAGCAGTCTTGATTCTTTCAGTATCTCGGTGCCCTTCAGCCACCGGCTGCAGCACAAAGCACAGCCATGGGCCTTTTGCAGCTCCACAGGTTCAAAACAGTCCCTGGAACAGTCCTGGTGAGTGTTCCACTGACTGCCCTTCCAAAGGACCCAGGCCCCCAAGAAGCCACTCTACAAAAGCATAAGCAAACCTGTCTTGGTTTCAACCCAAGTGACTGTTCCTCCATGCCCACGAACCAATATGAGAACTGAGAAATGGAGGCTTCAAATGTGAAAATGCCTTTCCAGAGCAACAGCCTGCAAGTGCAGAGTAAAGTGCAAGTCCAGGCACCCCAGTTCTGCAGAGCAGCAGGGACAAGGGTCTTACCTGCAAGTGCTGCAGATCATCCTCCTGCACATTCTGGGACAGGTTATAAACCTGCATTTAAAAACAAAAACTTCAGAATACTCAAAATGGCCTGTCCTTTGGACCAACACAGGGGTCAGTGTGGTCCAATTCTACAGCATTACCATGGGGACACAGACAAAATCATAGCTGCCTGTGGTGCTGGTACAAGGCTCCAAGCACAGTCATACTGCTGGACAGACTCACACAGCCAGCCAGCCAGGCATTGCTGTTCCCTGTGCAGAAAAACACTCCAGCATGGGAGCACCAGCCTGGAATCCTGTCAGGTCCAAATAATGTTCCTTCTCCATTTTTATGATGTGCTGAGTTCTATACGAAGACACACTTTCCACATTCACGCTGCCCTCCAAGCACAAAGGCCAGATGGTAGGAAGGGAAGCCCCAACAGGCTCTGTGGTTACTGGTGTCTGAGCCCTTCCAGCCCAGAGGTTCCTCAGTGCCAGCAGCACCAAGACAAAAGCACCCCCAATTCCACAGACCAAGGTCCTTTCCTTTTTGGTAGCTGGAAGCAAAGGGTGGAACTGCTGCTGGCCCTGCTCTTGAGGCAAGATGAGGAGATGAGACTGTTCCCTGTGATGATGGAGTCATATGTGAATCCTGCACTCAGTGCAGCCAGCACACTGGCCTTTAGCTCACTCACCAAAGGCCCTGCCTAGCTGCTGTGTCAGGCAGGTGCTAAGCTACTGGGTTTCCGCCACTGCCTTTTAGGAAGTGATTGCTGTGATTCTTACCTGTATTGAGCTGATCATTGTGCTTAGGGCAAACACAGTGGCCGAATCCCGCAGTGTGGACTGGCTGTCAAAGGTTCCCTGTGTATCCATCAGCAACACTGCAACCTGAGAGGCAGAAAGCTCCATGTCAGCTTGGATGCGCCCATTAAGCATCTGCATCCAAGCAAAATCACTCAGATGCCAAAGGGATGTGGTTAGGGGTGTGAATGTCAGCTGCATTTTTGTACTGGGAATCTCACTGCTTCTGCCTCAGACTTAAAATTGGTGGAGGATAAATAAAAAGAACAGCCCCAGACACTCCAGACAGTGTGATGACTCCAGCAGGCAGTGAAATGAATGCCATGCAAGGCAGAGGAGGGCACTGCTTTGCTCCCCAAATACTTGCTGCCAGTGTGGCTGGGTCTTTTCTGGAGCCTGCATTAGCTTCGTGTCACAGAAGGCAAACTCAGTAGCACATTACACCTCCTTGACCCAAAACACATTCAGCCAGTATCAGAAATCACACCGTGAATAACTCTGCATCACTTTGGTGTCAGGCTCTTTGTTAAAGAGGAGATGAATACAAATATTCCTGCTGTAAATCAAATTTGCAGGATGCGCCAAAATCCAGTCTGCATTGTGTTTGACCATCCTGAATGAAGACATGCCATTTTATAGCAGCTACTGCTCTAGGGAGCGGATGTAGTTTGCAAGGACCTCAGATTCAAGATCTTTGGGAATAGAAGAAAAATAAACTCTGGGCTACCGCAAGTTAGAAGGATACCCAGAGAGCATACCAGGGACACCTAGACATCGTATCAACTCATTGCATTGAACACACTGTCATGGTTTAACCCCAGCTGGCAACTAAGTACCAGACAGCCACTTACTCGCCTTACCTCTCCCCAGTGGGATGAGGAGAATCAGAAAAAGGTAAAACCCACAAGTTGAGATAAGAATGGTTTAATAATTAAAATAAAGTAAAATATTATACTGATACTACTAATAATAGTAATTGTAATAAAAAAAGAGGGTAACAGAACAATAAGTAAAACTCCAGAAAAAACAAGTTATGCATAGTACTATTGCTCATCACCCACGGATCAATGACCAACCTGTTCCCAAGCACCAATTTCCACCCCTGGCCAACTACCCCCAGTTTATATACTGAGCATGACATCTATGGTATGGAATACCCCTTTGGTCAGCAAGGATCAGCTGTCCTGGCTGTGTCCCCTCCCAACTTCCTGTGCCACTCCATCCTTCCACTGGCAGGGCATGAGAAGCTGGGAAGTCCTTCACTTGTATAAACACTACTTAGCAACAGCTAAAACATCAGTGTGTTACCAACATTATTCTCAGACAAAATCCAAAATACAGCACTATACCAGCTACAGGGAAGAAAATTAACTCTATCCCAGCTGAAATCAGGACTCCCATTTATGCTACGTTAGGGGTATGGTATTGAAGACCTTCTCTAAACTTACACAGGCATTTGAGCCACCTAAGACAAGGCAGAAGAGTCTTATCAAAGCTCAAAGAGAAAACCCAGCTGACCAGCAACAGACAGCAATGCAACAGAGAAGCACACACCTTTTTACCATCAGGTTTGTCCACCAGGAAAACTTCACTCCATATCTGAATGCCGGTTGTCTCGCGCTCAGACCCTCCCCTCCAGGAGAAACCAGTCAGAGGCTCGTTGTAATCTCCAACCCAGTCCACTGCTTCCTGCAGGTAGGAACAAAAGAAGTTGCTGGAGTTCTCATCACACTTTGGTTTTATGCTTTTAATTATGTGCTGCCTTCACCTCAGTGCTGGAGCAGTGCACCCTTTATAAGGGAGGTTTCCTACAGGGCAGGAACTGTATCTCAGCTCCAAAGCCAAGATTCTACTGGGGAACCACTGGTGCACACAGCTGTGGCTGTTCTTTATTTTGTGAAAACCACACTAACAAGAAGCTTGAGCATTTCTAGAGCACCAAGCCAGTGTCCTGTCCAGCTCATCCCTGGGTGGTACATGGGAGCAATGAGCAGCAGCACCACACCCCTGGGAAAAGGCACCTCAGCTGCAGCCATACCTTATTGTACATGTACCGCAGCATGAAGTCCATTAGGAATGATTTTCCTTTTCTAAAAGCTCCAGCGACAGACACAGCCACAACCTCTTTATCTCTGACAGCCTCCGAGAGGAGGATGCGGTTCAGTGCAGCTTCATCCAGTTCAAAGGAATGGTCATCTTTGACAATGAGGACCTGCACTGGTCCTGCCTTCCTCACGGACTCCTCCTCCTCTGAGCTCCATTCGTAAGTCTTCTCTGCAAAACTACCTGTGTAAACAAGTAAACCAAGAGCTGTTAGGTTCCTTCTGCAAAGTGCAGAATCACAGACAGCAGGGCTGGATGGGGTGGTAACAGGCCAACTAGCCCAAATACCCATCTCAAGACAGCACCATTCTGAGCAGATGTCTGTTGAACTTGTCCTCCGACATCTCAGTGGAGGCTCCACGCTACCTTGGGGCAACCTGTTCACAGGCTGCCTACAGGCAGAGAGTTCCCTGCTGGAATATCCCTTGACAAAACACATCCATTACTTTCTGTCCTACAAGAGTTGACATGGAGAACAGATCACTCTTTTCTTGCCTGTTACAACTTCCTACACATACAAATACTGCCATAACACCACCATTAGCTTTTTCTATGCTAGAAAAGAGAAGTCCAAGCCCCCCAGTCATCCTTGCCACTACATTATCTAAGCATCTGACTGCTGTCCTCTAGATACTCCCCACCAGGTCTTTCCTGAAGGCTCTCTCAAAAATGTCTCAGCATTCAAACATTCAAGGTGTCCAAGTACCTCATGTCTCTATCAAAGGACACTGCCTTTACACATCCTTTGCAATTCCTGTTTCTGTAGCAACAGCAGAGTCCTTCTTGATCTGCATTCTGCACTAATGCTTAAAGTGTAATCTGCTCCTTCTGAGAGAGCCTCAGCAGGTACCACATACCCCATTAAGACACATGCCCATCCTGATAAAAGCCACTCCTTCACTCCCAGGTGGAGAGCATATAGCAAAGCATGGGCACTGCTCGCTTTCCCACTTTGAAATGGCAAGGTTCCCTGCAGAGCTGCTCCCTGGCATAGAGATGACTGCTGCCCAGGCTGTGTAGTGTCCATATGGCCTTACAAGAGGGTCTCATTCCCGTGTCAGGACCAGGCAGAAGTGACAAGCACACGGCTACAGCAGGAACATTTGGAGGCAAAGGACTCAGTGTTTGGTCACTGTACCCATGTGTGGCAGTGACAGCATGCTAGACACATGCGTATCACCTGCCTGATTCTCCAGGCCAACACAGCTGAGATGATGACAGCTTTTAACGGCCTCATGGTCTGTTTGGGCTGCTTTGCGTACCTGACACAATACGGGAGATGGATGCATTTTAAGACCTGCTGTCCACAGACACTGCAGCCTTTGGCTTTGCAAAGAGCACGCCAGCTCCAGTAATTTTCCTTTCGTTGTCTCCAAACTTCCCAACACAGGAAAGAGGTGCTGAAGGTGATTAATCATGCCAGTCAGTTCACCTACAGCCACATGACATCTAACCAGCAGGAAAGGGAGCGTGTGATGGAAAGTTCCCCAACACCTCTACAAAAACTTCCTGGTTTGTTGGCTCAGGCTGCAACTTTCCAATCATGGTAGCCTCAAGTTAAAACTCCTCAGGCTCTGTTTCAGACCCTGACCTCAGGGACCCAGTTTTCAGCCAGTCCCAGCTATTTCAAAGCACAAGGACTATGTGTGCACATGATAAAAGACAAGCTATAAATACCAAGAGGAACAGGGTTTGCCCATTCTGGGCCTCTTTATAAAGAAGCCTCCAGCAGTAAGTTCATATTTTAAATAACAGCAGTGCTTTTGTACGAGTTTCTGATTTCCTATAGTCCCACAATGAATATCAGGATCATTAAGCCTGGTTGCTAGGGGATTTCTGGTGGCCCTCGGACATATACTACGAGCTTTCTTTGCTCAGGGTTTAAAGACAAAGATCTTTTCTTCCCAATGCTTGGAGGTTTTTTAGCAAAACAAAAGTCCCAAACACTCTGAAAAGCTGGACTCTCCACCAGAGTGCAGCAGCCCAGGACCAGCAGCACTGATCTCCCTTCAAACACCAGCCCCTGCCTCATACTAACGCTTAGGGGCCTTCTGAAAAAAAACAAACCAAACCAAACCTTTCCATTTCAAATACATGGACCCAAAACCCAGACACACCTCGTCAAATGACTTGAAAAATGAAGGCCTCTGAGAGCAGTAAGTCTGCTTGCTGCATGCACCGAACAACATTTCCAGCATTTTGATCTTCCCAACACGTGTGTATGGACAGGGGCCAAAGGGCCACAGACTCACATGCTCTTTTTAAGCATTGACGTGCTGCAAGTGCCATATAAAGTCTACAATAGGCAATACCTCCTCTCCCATGGTTTTCCCAACACCCTGTTCAGCAAATTTTTTTTTCTTTTTACAGCTGCACAGAAAAGAACAGTGGAGAGAGCCTTGTACAGGATGTGATTCATGGCAGAGGCAGGAAAACATTTGTAAATCATATTAACTCTAAGCATTTCTGACTCTAGCCAAGCCATCATGAGTACAGGTAAAATAGCTGATCCACCTTCCCAGACCAGACAAATCCCACCTCCAGGCACACAGATAGAGGGAGAGAGGGACCAGCATTTCATTCGTCCCATGCTAGCAGTAAAGGAAGCCAAGCACCCAGTTGGGTACCAAGATGGGCAGCTACCCTGCTGACTGCGGCCTTCAAGCACAAGGCAAGGCAGCACGGATGCCCCAGCTCACACAGCTGAATGGACTGACAGTCCTGGTCAACATTCCAAGAACCGTGATAGGGGACTGAGAAAAGTCCCTCCCATCCTTCTACCAGAGAGACTGCTGGTGCCAGATCACCCCTCCTGGTGCCTGGACAGGATCTCTCAGGTCTTGTTCTCCCTCCAACTGCCAGAAAGAGCAACAACCAATGCAGAGTAGAAGAGGTTGTGTTGTCCTTTCAAAACATGAGAACCTGTATTTTTTTAGCAGGTATTGACAAAGTTCTGGGAGAATGTCTCCACACACAGGTACCAGTCCAAAGTGGCCACAACCTCCTACGGGATTTCCTTGCTTCCATCACCTGACCACTAGGAAAACCAAGGTGCTTGCACAGCACAGCAGCAAAACACAAAGTATTATGAGAGCAGGACATGTTGATTTCCCAGCTCATCAGAGACATCAGGAGATCTCTGATTATATTAAGCAGATCTCTGAACTAATTTCAGCCCTGTTAGCTCTGCTTCTTTCATGTATGCCATCTGCAGACAAAACTCTGTCTTTCATATTTATTTCCATGTGATGAAACTTCCACGTTCTTCTTATTAGATTATCTGCCATGCTGGAGAAACAGAGATTGTTTTATGACTGCACATTTCTGGAAAGCAATCATTTTCATTGGCCTTTCCGGCATAAGTTAGTTATCTGCTTTGAAGGAAGTTGTACCTGGCAATGGCAAAACATTATCTGGCCAAAAAGGGAAGGAAGGAGACCTCAGCTTTCCTAAACACACTCCTGTTTTCACTCATTTTCTAACTTCACTCCTCCTTTCTGTCGGCTCTTTCTCGGCGCCCTGCAATTACGTCAATTCTCAAGCTGCTCATTCTGAAATTGCCAGGATACAGTTCCTTTTCCCCATTTCATAACAGCTCATTTCCATGACTCTAACGCGGGGTGGACTCCACATCTCTTTTCCATATGGTGATTCAAAGTGGAAAGGTGAAGGAGGTTAGAATTTGCATTTATACCTACTGGGCTCTCAGAAAGCAGCAAGGAAATAGCCCAATTTGTGCAGACAGCCCATAATACAGGACGTAATGCTGACTTTAGTAGAGACTAAGGAAAAAAATATAGCATTTTTCAACTGCTCTGGTTAAAATTAAAGAAATTAAACCAGAATACCTCATGTTGTGCCTGTGTACAGCCAATGTCTAATGTATTTAAGCTCCTACAGAAGGCAAATTAGGCAAATTACATGTCACTAATTATGCAATGTATCTTTGGTGAGTGCTTGCGTAAGCCTGTTCTTCCTTAGCTATGGAAGAACAAGTCACAGAAATGCTGACTTCTTTCCACAGATCAACTAATAAGTGAGCTTTTTCCTGAAATGAGTTTGCACAGTAAGTACATTTCATTCCAGAGAATGAAATGCAGCTATGACCCATCATCTGTGCAAATACAAGCTGCCTAACTAGACACTGAGAAAGCCACTTTGCCAGCCTGGCTCTTGTGCTCTCAAGAGAGAGCAGGAGCCAGGAGAAGCCTTACCTATCCTAGCACTGCCCATGAAAAGCAAAGCCTGTAGCCTGGGCTCCAATCCCCCCACTAAAACACACAGATGTCATGTAGTGCTGCTATCCTGAGGGTATTTGAACCAAGGTACTTCACTGTGTGGAAAAACAGAAACCACCAAAGAGACAAAACAGAAGTTTGATGAGAAGCTTCAACTTGTTATTTCCCTGGAACAGAGCATCCCTGCATCGACCGGGTTAGGTTGCTTATCAGCAGCCCTTGGGGGATTAATTCGATCAGCAGTGATAGCTGTGTGGATCTTTTCTGAAGCTGTGTTCACCCCAGCTGTTTACATTACAAACGTATCACAGTGCCACTGATGATACCATGAGCCAAGTGCTGAACAGACCATACAGTTAGGCTTGATCCCTCCGCACATTCTCCAGAGAGCTTCAGCTTCCAAGAAGCTTATCTGCTCTCCCAAACGGCACTGGCAAAGAAAGACATCTCTCTCCAAGCTGCACTTATCACAGTCAGGAAGGCTGCTGTTGTGACATGAGTTCTGCTCCCTCTATTCATGCTGCTCTACCTCTGCCACATGACAACCAGCCAACAATCATCAGGAAAGCTCTGAGGAGGCTGGGAAAGGCAGCATCACTTTGAGCATGCACCAGACATCCTCTCCTCTCTGAGACAGGCTAGCAGAGAGCTCTGCATCTTATCCAGCTAATGGGGGAAAAATGAAAAACAAAGCACTGAAGCAAAGCATATATATTGGACAGCCAGGGAAGAGGGGATGTTGTAGAGCAATAACCTCTATCAGTCCTGCACAAAGGATGCACAGTAGCTCCCAGCTGCATCCCGAAGCGCTGAGACTGCCATGCAAGCCTGGCCTGGACAGCTGTGAGTTAGCAGATTCCCTCAGTGGGGGGCTGCCAGAAGGTGTCTAGACTGAGGTGCTCCTGGGAGACAGTGTCTTCAAGAGGACAAAGCAGGGAAGCCCAG